CTTTTTCAGAAGTCTCCAGAATATGTCATTATCTTTACGAAAAACTCATTGACAAGAGTAACATTTTTGTCAAAAGCGTTCCCAGATGATTTGACTTGCGGATCGGCTTTTGCACTGATTGTCTTTTCACCTTGTGGTTAGGTTACTTTATGTAACTCCGCGATACCCGCCGCCCGCCGGGGATTCTTCCGTCAAATTGTTTACGATTGTTTTATGGCCTTTTGTCGGATGTGTGTTTGTGAATATACTGGATTGTTCCATTTTGTTGCGGATAGATCGCATCAAGATCGGATGTGCGCATAGAGCTAAAGCTACATATAATTCGGACGCTCTAGCCGTATCTATTTCTGCTGCATTGTCAGCATTAATTTGCAACTAAAAAGCGGCGACATTGAAGCGACAACTGTTGTAACTACATGAAAAACACCAACAACAACAATAATAACAACAACAACAGTGCCGACACGACCGATCGTCAAGTGCCACGCCCATGCCAGGCGGCACATGCCCGGCGGTCACTTTTCAATTCAATTAAAGACTGCAAGTTAATCAATCAATCAATTACTGTAATAATGCCGAGCGATTTGAGCCGAGCGACAACACAAAAAGGCGGCGCCCATCCAGATCCATCTATATCCACCCACTTCTTAAAGATACGGAACCGGATAATCGTGTAATGATACTGTGGCCCAAAATTTGGGTCCAATGTTTGTCCGAATTTGTTGCCATTTACAAAGTTCGCATGTCACTTGATGGCTTCCGAAGTGCCTCTTGTTCCCATCTGATCTCATTGACTGCGGAGCCTCGTCTTTATCTCAGGTGGCAAATAAATTTCATGGAATTTCTTTGTTGAGAGATCAAAGAAGCAGCAAACGCCCAAAATTTATAATATTTGTGTTTTGGTGGCGGAAAATGTAGTTTTTTTCAGTTGGCAACTGAATAATCCGAAATTATTCGATAAACTTTTTGGTTTTCAGAGGATTTTCTATCATAGCCTCTAGCTATATTTCTATGAACCAAAGTTTTCTCAAATCAAGGTGGTAAATCCTCCATCGCTCTCCCTTTTGGATACATTTTAAGGGAGGTGAAAGGCCCGTAGAAATGCATCAGGTTGGCAAGTGCTTGGGAAAGTGTTCACAAAACTGAGTCACGGTCAACTTGCACGAGTTTCCTACAACACATACATCAAGGGACTGCCGAGGTGTTGGCGCTGTCTGGGGCTTAATGACGACGCAGGCGATAAGAAGGGGCAGCGGGCACTGAGCCAAGTTGGAGCCGCAGTAATAAAAAAAAAAAAAAAATGCCTTTGGCCCGAAAGCGAGGCAAAGCAAACAAACGGGCACACGATAATTGACGTTCATTATCAACGGGCAAATAAGAATACAAGTCAATCCGAAACCCTTTAAGTGATCATCACTGAAGCTCTGAAGGGGCTCCAAAAGGGGAAGCGGGGGGTTTCCCCGAAAAGGAAAAAGGGGAGCGGGCGGTGCGGAGCGGTGCAGACATGTCAACGACTTGTAGCGGAAATCTAAAACTCGGCTTGGGCATGGAACTTCCCGTGTGCGGTCCAAACCTTTTGATTGCCCATCTGAAATTATGCCAGGTACTTGGTACTTGCTTGCCTCACCCCCCACCCCCCCTTTAAAATAATAAACATGCATGTGTGCTGTGCTTTTGTAATGACTTTTTAATGGTCTAGTAGTCATCGCACTTTGCCACAAAATTGGCCAGGCCAAGTCGGTTGGTTAATCAATGCGAGCTCTGCGGCGTTATGGCCGTATCTTATCGCCAGTGAGGCCTTCAACTTACAACACACATCTGAATCTTTGGAGTGGAATCGGAAGCATTTGTAGTCGACCAAACAAAAGCCCCCCAACAGCCAAAAACAAAGCACTGAAACCCAGCGTAAAAAAAACTGTTTTGTAAGTCGACTAATGAAGGTCGACAAGTCGGGGCTCACAAATGGGCCCCGGCCACGCCCCATTCTGGATTATGGCCCCTGGCGCGGCCTATAAATCAAGTTAGATTCAGCGGAAGGCGAGAAGCTTTCTGAAGGGCTCCGCGGCACCTGGTTCCTCTAATACTAAGGTCTCAGCTTTGGACCGTGTAAAAGGGTTTCGAACACCTGAAGAGGACGAGCCAAATTGTATTATAGATAAACCCAAACCAATTATTAAATGTATGAAAAGAAGACTAGCTTTATAAATGTTAAATTTCCCATAAGGCAAATTATGCTTTTGAAAAAAAAAAAGGAAAAAGTTTGAGCCTCGTAATTATACTTTACACGTATCCGGATTAAGTTCGCATATACCTTTGATTATAATAAATTTAAATTTTATTATAGTCGTTATTTATTTTTCGACAAGGTCACTGAAAAGTATCTTAATGCATCTCTTGGCATCTCGGGAATTTTTTACACTGTCAAACTATTCTTTGTGTACGTTTTTTTGTTTTTTTGGCAAATTTACTTGTTTTGGCTGCCATCCGATTTTCGTCTGGCGCCATTCGGGAGCCCATTAAAAATCAAGGTGCGATTTCAATTGGACTTTGACCGGACTTTGGCTAATTAAGCGATTATTTCCGTTCTGGTTCGAATGTCGACGGCACTCAAGTGTGATTTATGTCGGACAGTCCCACGCAATAGAAGTGATTTCGATTCCATCCCCGCCCCTGGCCCCTGGCTCTTCTTCCCTTCCGCGCAACTAGTGTACAGAGGTCAAATTCGGAATTCTAATTGACAAAGAGCGTGCACAGTGGGTCAAAACGAGCGCTTGCCTGGCCCACTGCCAGTTGACGGCGATTCATTCACTTCGAGAGCTCCCAGGCCCCCGAAACAGATGCCCCCCCTTTCGCCTAGATTAATGAAATTAGACAATCAGCATCGGCGTCTCAAGTGGTTGGTGGTTGGAAGCAGCAGCAAATGGCGAACGGCAAACGGCGAAAAAAGCGAAATTAAAATCACTTAATTAAATAATTTTTAATGTGTGCCGCCGCCGACCGTCCCTGTGACTCCGCCGCTTGGCAGCCGAAAATTTGAAATTGAAATTTTACTATGGCAGTCGGTGTGGTGTGTGTTGTGAAGCAGCTATCGATGTTGGTTAATTGCCCCGAATGGACATTAAAGCAACACAAATTGCCCCCCATTTCGAGACTCTCTATTTAGCTTTGTGTTCCCCGTTCATTAGGAGAACCCCGATCGCCGACTGCATCCCGTCAAGGTTACCGAATCGCATCTCCACTTCTATTTCTATTTTCATTTCAATTTCAATTTCCACTGCCATTGCCACCGCCAATCCCATTTGATGTTCGATATTACGAGTTTGAGAATTGAATATAACCGCCGATGAGGCCATAAAACACATCCATATTTCCATTTCCTCCGGCCGGCCATCTGATAGATCGCACACAGGCAATCAGCCCCTGCAATTACTGGAAATTAACAGCCTTCTGGCCAGGGAAAAAAGTGCCAAACGAGTTGGCCCAACATGTTTCCAGCTCGTTCGATCGGATTGAACTCGCAGCTAGACTCTCGATTCCTTCACTCAAAACGTCTAATATTTATAGCCTCAGCTCTGAGGCTATAAATATATCAGTTTCCAAACAATATAAACTGAATCAGGTTAAACAGGATTAAAGCCTTCCAGTTGGACTTCGTGCTTTCTTTCTTTCCAAAAAGATTAGTATAAATGTCCCTTGAATGTTTATATTTCTTTCATTTTAAATCAGCATTTAGTTAAGGTTCCCTTCCCGGATGAGTACCCCGCATGAATGACAATAAGTTGCCAAGTTGTAAAATGCCCTCGCCTAAATGATCCTGTATGCTCCGTTCAGTTAAAGCATTCCATTTAGGGACACCAAGGGCTCAATTAAACTTTCCTCTTCAATCAGTCTTTCAACTTGCTCTTTAATTCGCTCCGGCGCACTCCTTTTTGGCCAGCAGCGCAGCAAAATTGCTGTTAATTGCATCTAATTGGGTTTCAATGCGAACTCAACGCGAAAATTCGCACAAAATAACAAAAACCAAAAACCTGCAACGGTAGCCGTTGCCAGGTAGCCGAATCCCCATCACCATCCCCATCCATCCCTGTGTTCGTTCAGGTCGAAAACAAATTAATGACATTAAAGATCGCAAACAGAAGATGCAATTTTCGGTGTAAATAACACAATTGATGCAAATGATGTAGCGGCGATTCGGTCGGAGGCGAGTTTTGGAAGTCCAGAACAAATACAAAGTTTCGGCATCGCGAGAATTTTTCTGCTGGCTACGAAAGCCAAATAAACAAATTTAAGCCAAATTAATGGACAGCTTTTTGGCTCTCCGCTTAGTTGCTTTCTGTCTTTGGTTTGCTTGTCGTACCCATCAAATGTGGGCAGAGACGAAGAGTATATGAGTTTGGCGTTTCTCTCAACTATTGCCTTACAGTAGGTTTGCTCGTTTTTGTTAAAAATCTGTGTAAAGAAACACAACAAAAAAAAAGAAAACAAAATAAAAAACCCTTTACCTTTGATTCCATCACTACAGGGTGTTAGTTAGTCAAACAAACTCAGTCCGACTGATTCGCTTTTGGGTTGGTTTGGCTTGGTTTGATTTGGCGGGGCTTATTTATATTCGTGTTTGCCTAAAAAATTGGCGCTACCTACGCGAGATTTGTTTTTAGCGTCGTTTCTTCTTTTGTTTTCGCGATGATTCATTTCTTAGCCACCGCACTCGCATTAAAGTCCCCCCCATCCAGTATAGAAAGAAAAAACCTCTACTCCCAGAGGGAGGTGAAGCGGGGTCGTTCGCCTAATCAATAACCATCAATCGTCTTTACACACAGTAAACACACATAATAGATGGTCGTAAGCCGCAATTATTGATGGGCCCGTCGATTCTCTCTCTGAGCCGCGTTTCGATCGTTTTCAGTACCGCTTTCAATCCAAGCCGTGCACATCGTGTTTGAACGTTAGACGCTAATGAATGCTAACAGCTCCCCCCTCCTCTCTGCTCTTCATTTCAGCTCCGCTCAGTTCAGCTCAGCTCAGCTCGGCCCGGCGATTTCTGCATTTAATGGTAAGTCGAAGCCGGTCTCAATTTGCATTCAATTTGAGATTATATATACTATTACTATTTTTCAATATATGTATACGAATATGTCGGTTCAAAACATAATGAATTGTACTTCATTAACTCCAGATACTATTATATCTAGTATAACAATCCAGACCATGTTTTTTTTTCCAAATCCAACAGCTGCCTCCGTCGAGTTCCGCTTCAATTTTCCACTGTGTTTATGCTACTGCACTCGTCCCATTTCGCTCGCGAAGTAAACAAACCATTAAATGGCACTGCTAAATATAGTAACGACGACGAGGCGAAACTTTTGGGGCACACACAGCTTCCTGGCTGAGGCCAAATAAATAAAAGAAAACATTCAAATATTACGCATACGCACTGGCGACACGCACAGGCCAAAATGGATAGCCCAGCCAAGCGAAATCAATCAAAGACAACGAATTTCCAGCACGCAATCAATTCATTGCTCTTAAGGAGGTGGACTGCTTGGGTTTTGTGCGTCACTAGGTGTGGCAAAAAAAAAAAAAAAAAATAGGAAAAAATCGAGGAGTACATGGGGAAAGGACCAAGGCAAATCATTTGCCCGTGTGTGTGTGTGTGTGTGAAGGCTGCATCTTTAGGGGGATCAGGGTCCTCGAGACAATTGGGCGCCAGTCGAGTGAGGTCGTCTCGTCCAATCTCGTTTGTAGTCTGGTAGGCACCGACTCACTTTCTGCTGCACTCGCGTGTAAATCAATCAAAAAGGAGCGAGTGCCCAGGACAGGAATCTGCCACATTTACTGGCGAGTTACGCACAATTTAACCTGTCTGCTCCCCGCCCTCCGTACCCTCTTCTGTATTTTCCGTATTTCTGCTCACTCAATTATTATAATTGCGTCGTAAGAGGGTGGAGGCCAGAATGATAATGTCGGCGCCAGCATTTCCGCTCTTATTAACGACTTCTGGTCCTTGGACTGCCGACTGCCGACTGCCGACTGCTGGTCCTGGTTAAACACACCCAACTGAGTATGGACATGTGTCCGCGTTGCGGCTTTGTGGCTGCCTGACACGCACAATTAAGCCAAAGTTAGTCCAAGGATACGGTTTGCTTACTGGTTTGCTTTTATCTCAAAATCAAATCAAACAAGAAAGAAAGCTAGCTTCAGCGAGCCGAAGCTGATATACTCTTTCGGTAAAGTTTCGCCGAGATAGCCTTTCAAAATGAGAGATTAGTTTACGTAGAAAGAGACAGATAAGATAGACAGACTTACATTTCTAAATCGATTGAGATGGTAATTCAATATTCTTTATGGAGTCTGAGGTGCCTTCTCAATTTCCTGTATAATAAAATCACAATTTACTACGCTAACGCACGCTTCCCTCGAAAGATACATATCTATTTGTGGGACCCAAAAACTATAGAGAAGAAAAATAAAAAATAATACTGTCTCTTCTCTAGCTTTTTTGTCTGCCGTTTAGCATTTCCATTTTGCCTCGTTTCCGTTGCGCCCTAATGCGCTTGACCCTCGGAATTTGAATCCGAATCAAAATCGGGCTCCAAAACCCCGTGCAACTCAAGCGAGACAACGCTTGGTTGCAATCTGATCGCGTTTGGTTGCCCCTTCAGTTTTCAGTTAAGTTTCCGGTTAATGTTTTAAACTATTTCATATGGGAACTTATTTTTTTTTCAGTTCCTTTCCATTCAAACTACGAGATTATTATTTTGCCATACTTATACTTCACAATTTGTTGTTTAATTTCCTATATTCCTATGTCGAACTGGGATGGAATTAAAACTCTATTTCGGTTTTTCAACCACTTCCGCGAACCGCTGCCCTCCAGTTTCTATTGCTTCCTTTTGCGAGGGGATCCCCACGCCCCTGGACATGACAAAGGACACCCAGTGTCCTTGCTTTTGTTGCCGCCGTTGTAAAGTTTGAGTGAAAATTCCATTAGGATTATATTACGGCACTCCGCAATTCACACACATGCGCCGAAAGAAGCCAAAGCCACAAAAGTTTCGCTGGCCCATAAAGTAGGAGAATTCGTTTTTGTTATCCTTGAAGGCAGAGGAGGAGCGAGTTGGCAGCAAATCGGGAAGCGGGGAGCGGAAAACGGGGAGCGGAGAGCGGGGAAAGTTCAAATGGATTAGGGCCAAGCTCTGGCGAAGCCCCACAAGGCGTTGGCTGGCCTACTCACACATGCTCGCAGGATGTGCGTGCTGAGCAAACGCCAGGACAGGATATGTGTCAAGGACATGCCACACATCTGAGTGCGTTGGTGTGTGTGCAGCAATGAGGACTTATGGACTTGTGTGTGTGTGCCCTCCAGCTGCTCTCAGCTAGGTGCAATGGGCGTGGCCCTTGGGCTGGGCTGAAGAATATACATTTGGGACACATTTGTTGTCCGCTAATTGATGTCGCTCTTACCTGTCTTTATCGCCCATCTCTCCGATTTCCTTTTCACTGACTTTTTCGGCACTCCCAAGCGCATAAATTTTGAAACTTGTCTGCTTTCGGGGCACCATAGTGAGCAAAAAAAAGGGCACAAGCTTCGCCTAGAAAGTAACTTGGATGGCCAATCGGTTTTCACGGATTTTGCAGTCTATTAGATTGTTATTATTGCAACTTGAAGAGGGGAAGGTCTTCAAAAGTCTGGGTAAATGTTCTTTGCAGAAGGCCAACCAAAATTGAACATAAAATTAAAATACCGAAACGTTTATGTGTCACCATCAATTTACGGTTAGAATTGGTTGAACAAAAAAATTTAATTGGCAATCTCAATTAGTTACACTCAAGTGGTATTCCTTTAACCTCTTTTTCCGAAAGGAGCAGCATGTTTCTTTTAACTGCTGTAGGAACTGCAAGAATTGGCTATGAACTTGGAACCCCCCTTGGACCCCCCTTGAGTGACGCCTCTGCTTTTTCAGTTACAGTGCCGCCAACACAGAAATTTCCATTAGATCTACTTTGTAGCTGTGTGGATAGATGTGTATCTGTATCTTTGTTTCCATTTCGGCCGTTCTCGATTCTCGTTCTCAATAAATAAACACAATAAAGTCTTTTAATGCGAATTCCTTCATAAAAATCACCAAGACAACAATGATGACGATGACGATGATGATCGCTACAGCCGATGATGGTGATTTCGGCGATCTTTTGCTTTTTGCACTGACAGCTGTCGCATGGCCGAGCGAGCATCTAAATGTATCTTATTTTGTTAATTTTATGTTGGCCAGCCCAAGAGAACGAGGTGCGAAAAGTGTTCTAAATGGCTTTGGAGACGAAAAGCCACCGAAAAACCCCATGGCAAACAAAGTGAACGCGCTTTCTGATAAAATTCCACACACAAAGAGAGGCCAAGAGTGGCCATAAATAACAATAAATAAAAAGAACACGCAAATGGCGAGCAGCAGCGATAATGTCACCTTAATCAACATAAATCGCTTCGATGTCACAAAGTGAATTAGCTCTGGAAATTAATTAGATTCCGCCAAATCGACAAATCGAATGGGAGAGAAAAGGAGAATAGGAGACCCGGAGAATCGGAGAAAAACGATCGGGGAATGGGAACTGGGGACTGGGGAATTGGAGAGGTTAGCAGCAACACAACCTGCAGATAAGATTCGCTCGTGTTTTCCACCGATAAGACATCTTTTGACACGCAGTGTTCTGATAAGCCTGATAAAAAACACAAAGTTTAATGAAAGTTCCGATTACGGACGTCCTTGCACGCACACCGCCTAAAAAGTATATCTTCTCTTCCACTGCACTCCAAGTTTTTTTTTTTTTCGTTTCGCTTATCTGAGTGGCAGTGACTAACGACGCCTTGATATTCAGATACAGCTACACGGAGCAGGTGTGTGCAGGCGGATGTACAAGATACCCATATACGAGTATATAGATATAGATATAGATTCTTGCCATCTTTGATTACACAACGCGCATTCCGAACGATAAACTCATTGGGTTTTAGTGTAGGATACTAAGATTGGCATGGATTCAATGCATGTATGTATGTGGATCTCGACACTTTTCAACCAACGAGAGAAAGCCAACCCTCCTCGCTCAACTAGTTTCCCGCTTTGTATCCTTGTATCAACCAATTCATTTCCATAATTTTCTATTTTCAAGGCATTTCATTCACTTCGCTGCTGACAGTTTGAGTTTTATGGCCCGATATACCCTTGCTGGCCATATGGGTATATTCGAATGGGACATAAAGATGAATTAATATAAGGCTAAATCAAACACAAACTATTTAAATTTTTTTTTGGTTTTATGAAAAAATGTATATTGATTACTCAAAAGCTAGGTAAAAACTGTCTGGTTAATAAATTTAAAGAGAACTACATGTATCTTTCAATTACCAAATTGTCAGGGTCTTTTGCTCTTCGGTTTTTCTTTTCTGTCCTCTCGAAACAATTTTCATATTTTGCGCGTCTGCCTTGTTTTTCGGCTCTCGAATTTAACGCTCGAAACGCGGACGGAAATGTTTATCACTGTAAAACTTTCGCCACGCGTCGTCCATAAGTTAATGTGCACCATCCAACCATCCAGCCATCCAATTTTGCATCTTTTCAGCAACCCCGCCGTCAGGACATTTTTGGCACGACAGCGGGACGCGTTTGGAATGTGCGAAAACTTCTTAGAGGGTTCTCGCTCGCATTCTTTCGCTTCCTCCCAGTGTGCGCTTAATTTTTATAACATTTTTATGCTATCTCCGAACCCCGTAAAGCCCCCTTCTTCTGTTTACCCGTGGCGCTCTTAAGTGAATAATAAATTAATTGAATCGCCACGCGGCCCATTCTGGGCTGTAGAATGTAGGGGTTGGGTTGCCTGAGGAATACACCCCGTCCCAATCTCGTAAGTCGCGCTGTGCCATTCGTAAACTTTTATGTTAATGGCCAAGCTTGGGTTTATGGTTATATACCGCTGCCCCGCCGCCCCCCCGCCCCGGGCCACATTACAATTACCCCCCTCCCCCTTCCCTGCAATTAGCAAACTAATCAATGGCATATAGATACACTATCTAAATGCCTGATTAAAGTGTATTTCTTGCCATCTTGAAGGAGATTTGCGGCCCCCTGGCTGCAGTGACACTTAATTGGAAAACCACCGCTCCGAACCGAATTGTTTTTCGTATCTATCAGATACGTACACTTGCCGCCCGCCACTTGCTGTGTTTGCCTTTGGCCTTTCTGTGTTTGGCTTTGGCAATGCTTTTAATTAAGACCGGCCAAGACAGCAAAATAGCAAAAAAAAGTAAAGGCACAACAACATGAGCAGCAGGGATTGTCTCCGCACAACGAAAGTTAATTTTTATGGCTGAATACAGATATAGATACAGATACAGGCACACAAATACAGGCACAAACACCCACATGGCATAATGGCCAACTACTTTCTGCACAAATCCATTTCGGAATATGAATAACAGAATCGAACCGAGAGGAAGAACACATAGAAGAAATAGCAAATAGATGAAACACAACAAAGTTGGCAAAGTTTTTATTCCATTACAATGTGGAGAGCAAGCGAACCTCCCCCACAATTTATTCGCCAAAGGATTGAAATGGAATCCGATGACGCAGGGAAACCAGAAAACCAAATGAGAGCCCTCTGCGATTCCCCGGAATTCGAGACACCCGACTGTGAATGCTTCAAATGGTTTCATATGATTCGATAGTTAAGGGGTGGTGGAACTCGTTTTTGCAGCTATAAGATTTGGGATATGGTCCCTGGATAGTTCTTACAGTCATATACAAATGGATATTTCGTCTAACTTGATTAACTAAATGAAATTCATTCAGTTCCCCACGAAGTTTCCATCAGTTATTAAATGTTACGCGAAAAATCATGTTGTTTTAAATTTTTTGTTTGTCCTGCCTCATTTTGAATCGATCAATTCCAAGTAAAATGTTTAGGAAAAATATCTCAATATTCTTTTGCCCGCTTTGCATTGTTTCGCTGCTCTTGTCCTCTTCCCCCATTTATTAAATCGTGTGAAATGTGGAGTGCGACCGAGGCACGTAGCGAAACAAACAAAATAAAGACCGATATAAGTTCGTGGCGGAGATGTACGGACAACAAATATATATACTTTTATATATTATAACTCAAATGCTTAATGTACTTATGCAGCGTTTTCACATCGCACGCCCCAATGATAAATGCAGGTCCGTGCTCCTCGACCAGAGCATTATGTATATAGCAATTATAGAGTGCTTTTTGTGGTTGTGCAATCGCACCAGTTCACAATTCATTCATTCGCTCTCTCGATCGTTCGCCTACTAATCGTGTGCAAATGGAATGGGAATCCGAATCGGTCTCTGAATCATCCATCGGTCGCACTTTCGGGATATTTTAGATAGCGACGTGACCGGAGCCAATTCGCAATTCTTAACGATGCATGATTAATGTAAAAGTTTGCATGCCAATCGATAGGATTCCACAAAATCCGCGATTAGTTCGATAACAACAGAAGTGATCTACGACAACTTATTCCGATGTTTGTCTAGGTGATGAAAAACCTATCGATTAAGTTGATAATATTCAAAACTAATACAAGAAATTTTGTATTGTTAAATATATTGAAGTGTGATGCTCTCGGTTACTTGTGCAAATGCTAACAACATTATGTTGATAGCGCAATAAAAAGAAGCTATTCGTAAGCCTATTTTGGTTTTTGTACTCGACCAATAGTTTTAGAAGCTTTTTTCCAGCCAGCAAAACTGCCTGAATCGCATATTCATGGCGCTAGTGGCCCCAGCGATTCGATCCGATCTCTACATGATCTCGCCATATATCTTCATCGATCCGATCGTCGTGCAAGCTTCTGTTCTCTATCTTTATTCTCTCTCTTGCCATTTGCTGTTCGATCTCGTGGCCATCGATTGATGTTCGAGTGGCAGCAAAAACTCGCACACTTGAGGGCAATTCACATGCCAGCCGCAAATCAGCCGCAAATGACTTTATTTCCAAGTAGCAGCGAAACAACTAAGGAATGTCAATGTGGCAAGTGTGGATAAAAGGCTTCTGGGGGGGGGGGGTACCAAGAAATCCTACTGGTTGCCTGTCAAAGTTATTCAGTTTGAATAGAGCTTGAGTTGGCAAAGTCAGCTGGACATGTTCAACTCAAGATCGTATCGTATCGATTAAAAGTTTGGACACTTTCTGGGCGACACATTGTCGTTGATGATATTTTGGAAATCGATCAACGAAAGTTCTCGGATTCGAGAGCATAGAAAAAAAAATTGGGATTTACAGTCAGATAAAACAGTTTTTTTTCTGAGACTTGCAGTTTTAGTTGGCTTTGGGCTGCCCTGACCCCAAATGCCTTCGAGGAGGCCACGCATGCGTAGTCGCTGTCGATGCCGCTGATTTTGACGCTGACGTTTGCCGCATTTGGTCAAATAAGCTTTGGCAACAAAGCCGGGCTCGAAAAGCGAAAAAGCGATTTTGTGCCGTCGAATGTCAAAAGTGATTTTCGTTGCAGTGGAAACGGGGGGGAAGGAGCCACATCAAAGGCAGCAAGGCATTAAAAGCTCTCACAAACAACAAACAACAAACAACAAACCCCAAGCCCCCAAAAAATAAAAAAAAAATAAAAAACATGCGAAAGTCATAAATCATAATTCTTCATTCTGCCTGCGCGTTGTGGTGTGCTGCTGACTGACTTTCGGTTTGGAACGGATCGGGGAAAAATGGGGAGAGGAAGGCTCTAAACTTATTGAGCATGTCACACACATACACATACATATACATATAGTACAAGCACCACCACAATCGCAATCACTTATGATAAATGGCCAAAAGGCAGCAGCAACAACAACAACAGGAGAACAGCAGAACAGCAGAAATCGCGTACAAAACCAAAATGAGATTCTTGTGCTCTGTTTTTCGACTTTTGAAGTTTGACAGCCTCAATTTGCATTTTGAGCGAAATTGCGCCCGACCGACCACTAGTTCCCCCTCCCCCTCCTCCTCCTCCTGCCCCGCCTCCTTTTGCATTGCTACCACCACATTAACGCACCCTTTCCCTCGTCGGATAGTTCATCTTCCAAATGTCAGAGAGTCAGGATCTTGAAGATATCTGCAAAAGATATTCACTATGCATGTTTTGGTTTTTGAATTTATGTACTTCGTATATTCTTATAATAATAATAATATTCTTATAGTGCCTAAAGTAATTTCCCTATCATTGCCACTTGACAGGGAAACAACCAACAGAAAATTCTGTGAAATATCTTTATTTTCTAAAGCGTTTTTGAATGTAATTTCATAATTAAAATTGCTAGCCACTTTGTAAGCTCCTCGGGGATTCACGTTTCCATTTTGAAATGTACAAGCAATATCCCCGTATTTATCGGCATTTCCAGACTCAGTTGTTCCGACTCCCCCTCGTCGCCACACAGTTTTTAGGGGTTCTCGGGAGTCAAGCGAATTCATGGATGATTGCCTTCAATTGCATTTCAATTCCGTTTCAATTGCCGGCGAGGAATTTCGCTGCAGTTTCTCCTTCTGCTCACCTTCACCTCGCACACAACCCGTGAGGCATGTGTGTTTGGGACCCCCCTTAGAACCCCCCATTATCCAGATACACACACTGCAATAGCAACAACTACCCGATTCTACCCGATATCTGTAGACGCTGTGGGGCAGGGCAAGTGTGTCTGGTCCCAATTAGCCGATTAATGGCTTAATTGAAGCATCTTGAATACCTCCGCGAGAGAGGGGGTGGGGGTGATAAGTGAGCCTTTTTGGTGCGTGATCAATCACGCTATCGAGATTTGTAAGCTCGATCGCGTGACACGCGCTGCTGCTGCTGCTACAAGCCGCCGAGACTTACATAAATCAATTTAGCCGAGTTATTTTATAATTTAATTGCTTTTGTTTACGTTGACATAGCTCACTCACGTTCGTGGGTCTTTTGGTTTCCCCCAATATATCTCTCTATATATATCTATACATCTATATATCTGTATATCTGTGCATACTATCTGGCGCTCTTCTTACACTTACTCTCTTTTCCGTTTTGTCTCTGTGAATTTTGCAGATTCGCTGCCGATGTGAAGCGAGGTGCCGGCTGTTCGACGTTCAACGCATTCGCTCGGCCTTTGCGCTCTGAGCAACAACAACAGTCGGGGATCTGAGCCGATGGAACTGAATGGTATACCATACCATACTACTCCTCCAGCCCCCCAAGAACCCCTTAATAAGCCGAGAGAAAAACTCTAGATTCGAAGAAAAAGAAGCGGAACAGTGAAAAGTGTGTGCCTCCAAACCCTCTCCGTTTGTAAAACAATATTTAAAAGGGATTTTGAAGAAACTTTTTCGACAATCCAACAAACTAATGCAACGCGTAGGCCTTCAACTGTGATCAATGTATATATAACAAAAAAAAAGTAACAAAAGAGAAAACCTAGAGATAAAGCCAGTTCGTTACAATTTATTTAATCACGGTTTAGTTTTTTTTTTTAATTTCCCGTGTGTGTGTGTCCGTGTAACAACTAAGCCATGTTCAACTCCAACATACCGGCCTCCTCGCTGCTCAGCATCGAGAGCAGCGGCCTCCTGATGGGTGGCCATACACCCAAGACGCCGGAGATTCTTAACTCGCTAATCGCCATGACCAATCCGATGGACAACTTTAGTTTTGGCTCGACAGCAGCCGTTTCGGTTGGCTCGTCCGCTTCCTGCAGTGCGGCTGGCACGCCGGTAGTTACCGTCCGGCACTTCAACGGACATCCCAACGGACAGGTGAGGATTCACGCGCAAGCGGTGTGCCACGTGGCGTATACTTAATATTTCTACACCTCTGTGTTTTTGCAGTCGCAGGACAGCAGTCATTCCAGTTGCTCCGGATCGCCACTCGACTCGCCAGCGGGCACGGCCACCACGCCCAGTGTGCAACAGGTACTTTACTTTTATGCGATAACCATACCATAATCGATTTAAAATCGATATAATCGATTTTATATCAAAAAAACCATTTTAATGTCTAGTTGAAATTTGATCATCAACATCTATTGGAAAGCGATCGAAACCTGTTTCGATCTACGCAAACTTTATAAGCTATTGTTAAAGGAGTTCTTAAATCTTGTGATCCCATGGTTTCAATTCTAAACCAATCGAACTCCGTTATCGATTTATACAGAAATCAATGGTAAACGATTGAACTTCACTGCAATCAATCAAAAACTAATTAAATTGCTACTAGAAGCGACGCGATGGGTTTGAGCAACTTGAGGAACCGAACTTGTTCCATCCAAAAACGATATAGTGGTGCTGGTCATCCGCCCAAGTGGGAGGCAAATTTACGGCGGCTCTAATTTATAGGAAATTTGTGGGAAACAAGTTGAGAAGACGATACGTCTCTCTGGCCCTGCATTGCGGCAATTAAGAGCTGCACCGGCTCAACGCCTATAAATTCGTTTCGAGTAATAATCATAAATCACATTTGCACACACAGATAGAGAGACCAGACCGGGGCTATATAGACACCTGCCAATTATTACTGGGAGCGGACTAGGGATGCGTTCGTTGCACAACACAAAGATCGGCGGCCTTTGGCTCGTATGTAGAATTAATCGCTGAAGTTGACACCACCGGCAGCCGCAGTTACGTGCCTCATTAAGGCCAATGTCAGTCAGCCAGCCAGTCAAGAGTGATTCTCCCCACTCGCACACACACGATTCAGAGGCAGATTCAGCTACGAATTCAGATGCAGACGCAGATGCAGATACTCAAAGCAGTGCCGTAAAAGTGAAATCAATTCTGGCTGCGGCTCGCCAACTGACGCCTACTCACCGCTGCTAAAGCTCACGTCGGTGTATGCCGGACGGACAGACTTCTGGACGGACACCATACGGACAAATAAACGACGGAACGGACAATCAGACCAATGGCCAGTAGAGAGTGCGTGGGTTGATTTTGCACGGCAGCGAGTGCTGCGTGGGCGAAACAGTCATCCAATAATTTAATGAATGAAGCTGGCCAAATTGAAGCGGCCAGATTGAAGCCAGATCGAAGCTGCAGGTTAAATGTAAGCTAATTGTTGCTTGAAGAGTGCCTAAGCCTATAAAATAGAAGTAGTATTTTAACTTGTTTAAAAAGAAAAGCTACAAATAGGGTTCAAAGTTCGTATTAGGAACGATTTTCAATTTAATTGTAAGTGCGGCAGTAAATCTTAGCAAACAATGTTTGCATATTATTACATTTTTGTACAAACCTTTGGTTAGGTAGCAGCGGACTTTGTTTTATCAGGGTGTTTGACCCCTAGTTGAACCCAGAGGAGTCGGACCCGGACCCATCCCTGCGTTTTATTTTATTTTTTTTTTTGCATGCCAAATATTTGCACAAATGTTGCCGAAAAAGACAGTAAAGCAAATGGAAGAAATGTTAAATGGGAAGAAATTATAAGAACGGCAAACAAAACGAGTGAGAAATGTGCTAAGGTGCAAACAAGCCAAACAAAATGCAAATTTGCCAGCCCAAAAAAAATGCCTCTTTAATACTTTTTCGGGTGAATTTTGCGACTAAAGTTGCAGCGATGCGAAGTGCAAAGAAAGGCTCGGCCGTTCTGCAAAGTCTGTCAGATACAGAAATAAAGATAGAGGTACAGAGATACAGAGATACATATGTTCATACAAAGAAACAAGAAACTTTGACTGAAGCCGCAACCTGTGCCGTACGTTTCCATTCCCATTTCCATTTCCATTTGCAGCTCCAGCCCCATTTCCTCCTCCGAAAATTGCACAATTTTCTACGAAACTCTGTCCGACTTTTGAAGTCGACGCTGACCATATGGTCATATATTGGCTCCGATTTGCCAGCGACTTCGATTTCGGGCACCAGTGGACGGACGGGGGGCTCTGGCGCATGCGATTATTATGATTTTGTTTTGGATTTCGACATTCTTTACTTGTCGCTTTTTAAACACAAGATTTATTTATCTGGTTTCTGGGTCAATAAATAAAGCGCAGCGTGCCTAAAATTCAAATGGAATCCGATGCCCAAAAAATGAACACAGGGGCGCAAAGGCAACATTGAAAAGAAGGGCGCGTTCAATTAGTGGCATCCGAACAATTTCTCGAGCAGACAACAAACAAAATGCGCAAAAAAGCGACAACGACAACAACGAAGAAGGGAAACCCAAGCAAAACAACAACAACAAAAACAAACACACAAACACACAAAAAATAAGAGGGCGTCAGTCTGGTCGACATTTCAATGAGCTGCGGATTGAAAGGGCTAATTGAAGGCACAATTTTGACAGCCCCATTGATGGATGCCATATTGCGAGATTTATCGTACTGGAGTCACAAGCAGTATATATTCAATAGTCAGTTCGGCAATATATTATTCTTTAACAGCTGATTTATATAATTTAACTTAGGCTTCATTTCCAATTAGAGCTTTTGGAAAATGCCATACAGAGTTTAGACAACCTTGGAGTAGTTTTATGTAACCCACTTGTTGGTGACAATGAGAATTTAGCTAGAGCATTTCGCCAGTTCATACAGCTAAATGCATTTGGCAGTCAGTCAATCAGCAAGCGTTAAAGGAAAGTTGACAGTGTGCAGAGTGATGGCCATCTGTTCCTGGTCGATCGGGTCTCGAGCTCCATAAATGGAGTGGCCCAGTGCAGGCTGGCTATCGAGGTTGCTGCGGTTTCGGTTTCGGTTTTGGTCTCGGTTTCGATTTTATGTTTCGTTTTTTTTTTTTCCGTTTTTTACTTTAGCTGCCCACCCACCGCTGTCTCGGATTTTATCGAGTGCCAAATGCACTTGTCGGGGGCACAAAAACAGCGAACACTTTCTGGGCGTGGAGACCATCGCGATTTCTATATGTTTCACTTGAAAAATTTATAATTCATGCACACAACTCAGCTCAAGTGTCCCCAAACCCAAACCCAGACCCAGACCCAAATCCAGGGGCCAAGCCCTGGCCAATGCGCAAAAAGGTCGCCGGAGTAAATCACCGGGCAAATAAACAAACAAAATTAAAAATGCCGCTGGAGATAATCTCCTCGCTTCAGAGACCTGGTGCCGAGAAATCGGGCCGCGATTCGTCATAAATATATATCTGCCTGCCCCGCGAAGGGCGTCCATCTCTCGAGCAACTGTGTCGAACTCTCACTACAAAATCTCCACCGGGTGGCAAAGGATCAGTTAAAATAAGCAAGATCTCTAGATAAGAATAAACTTTACTTCGTTTGGTTTATATTCCGTGCACATGAAACATAAATATCGCTTGGAATTGATTTTTGTAGACTCTAGGAAAGTTGAAGACCAACTAAAGCCACCGCCGTTGGAATGCTCGAAATCTGTTCAAAATGTCAGTGAGTTGGGACCCAATCCGAGTTTGTCTACCTGTCTTGGCAACCTGGGCTGCCTTCTTTGGTGGATGCCTCTTTGGCAATTACTGACAATCCACTTTTCGGGTTAACATGTTCACAAAAAAAAAAAAAATAAATAAATAAACAGCAGGCATAAATTAGCTCAAAAACTAGTCTCCTTGTCCTTAAGCAATTTAAGAAGATTTTTACTTTCTAAAAATACATCATATCATTTAATGTCCTACATCAAAATTAGAAGAACATAGATATTTTAAGATTTAATATTTTAACAAAATTGTTTGTTTATGAAAGTTAAATTTTCCTGTGGAATAAACTCCTCTAACCGCTAACTCCGCCTTTTTTGTTTTGGCCTTTGCAGACCTGCTCTCGCCTGATTAAAGAGGGCCTGAAGCTTTCCATCCAGAGCAAGCGCAAGCTGTCCACCTGCGACTCCAGCTCCGGATCGGAGCAGCCGCACTCGAAGTACTCGCGGCGCAGCAGCAACCACAACGGGCACAGCGGTAGCAGCAGCAACAACAACTACAGCGGCAGCATGAGCAACGCCAACGACTTGGACGACGACGAGGAGTCGAGCGACGACGACAGCGAGACCAAGTCGCAACCGAAGGGACTTACTCCCGAGGACGAGGACCGGCGGCGAAGGCGTCGCGAGCGAAACAAGATCGCCGCCACCAAGTGCCGAATGAAGAAGCGCGAGCGCACCCAAAATCTAATCAAGGAGTCAGAGGTCCTGGACACCCAGAACGTGGATCTGAAGAACCAGGTGCGTCTGCTGGAAACCGAGCGCCGGAAGCTGATGGACATGCTGCAGTCGCACGGCTGCCAACGTGCCGAAGGCTGCCAGTTGCCCAACCAGCTGCTGCAATCGCCGGCCCAAAAGTATCTCAGCGAACTGGAACTGGAAACGGTGACCGAAGTGGTGGCCAGTTCCGGCAACAACCATCGGCTGCAGAGCATCCCCTCGATGGCCACCTTCAAGTTCGGGTCCAAGACGGCGGCGGCTATGGCCCAGCAACTGCCCAGTGGCTACTGCAAGCCCTCGCCAAGCGCCCAGGAGTTCGAGCACGCCGGCTACCAGCAACAGCAGCCGCAGCAGCAGCAATCCCTAAATCCCGCCGGCAACAGCGTGGTCGAGCAGCAGCAGCAGCAGCAGCAGACGAGTGCCAGTCCCGGCCTGATGTCCGACTACGTGCCCAACTGCGATGGCCTGAGCACCAGCACCAATCCGAGCCACAACAGCAGCAGCAGCAGCAACGGCAGCAGCAACATCAGCAGCAGCAACATCAACAGCAACATCAGCAGTAACGCCAGCGGCAACATCAGCATCAGCAGCGGCAGTGCAACGGCAACGAGCAACGCCAGCACCACGCCCACCGCCACCAGCAGCGCCATTGAGTTTGTGAAGAACGAGTTGGTGGACTCGCAGAGTCCCTACACCTCCGCCCTGAGTGCGGAGAGATTCCTGTTCGAGCCGAACGACAGTTTCCCGGATATCAAGCACGCCTGTGTTCTGCCCTCGCCCTGCGGCATCAATGGCATCAACATGGCCAGCGTGGTGCACACGAACGGCAGTGCCGGTGGCAACAATAATAACAACAGCAGCAACAACAACAACAACAACAGCAACAGTCTGATGGACTTTCACCAGGGACTGCAGCATGGCATCGGGGTTGGAGTCGGCGTGGGCGTGGGTGTTGGCGTGATGAACCCGTACGACGACGAGCAACTGCTACTGCTGAAAAACAGCTGCTACAGCAACGATATACTGTCCCAACTGGTGGACGACGGCGGGGAGTACGTGGACCTGGACACGGCCACCGCCTACATGAACAACGGCAGTTGCCTGGCGTGAGGAAGGGCGCCGGACAGGGAGCGGGAACGAGACTGCGACCGCGACCTGCTGCTACCAGCCTTTGATCAGTCCAATAGCCACCAGCAGCAGCAGCAACATCAGCAGCAGCAGCAGCGACTAGAACACCGACAACAGCAGTCACACCCTTCCGAGAATGAGGATCCATCGGCCAGTCCGCAAATGGATCGGCAGGTGGAACTTGAACTCGAAATGGAGCTGCAACTCGGAGAGGAGCAGGATCCGGCCTGGGCCCATGTAGACTATTGGTGCTAGGCCACTCCCTACACTAATTTAAATATTAACCGCCGCCACTCATCGATTTACCGAAAGTAATACCATGAAAGCAGTACAAGAAGCTGAAGAAGCCGCAGTCCCCCATAACAAACCAATCCAATTCGACCCGATTGAATTTTTCAACTTTGCCAAAAGTTCTAAAACAGTTACTTTACAATCACACCTTGGAGATATCTAATTTTAAACAGTCGAAATTGTTTTGAAAGTTTAGTTTTTATGTTTTCGTTAATTTTTCCTTACTTAAACGAAATCTTAGACATTCTTAACATTTATTTTATTTCAAAACATAGGCAACCCATCTATCAAAACTATATTTAAAATTTTATCAATCCAAGTTCGAATCCAAGTTCTTCCAATAGCAGAGTTTCCCTGAAAGGCCCCAATGGCCAATAGCAGAGTTCTCCCAATCCCGCGATCCAACCAAGGACCACTCGAATATCATCCCCAAGCCCTAGATCCATCCCCGCCTTATACGATTCCTGACCCCATGATCCCAAGTCCGCCTGGAGCGGCATTCAGCCTGTGGCTTGACTACCTCATGAAACAAAAGCAGAAACAATTAACAAGTAAGAGTTGTAAAGAGTAAGGATTAAACATTGTAAGACGATAGTCAAAAAAGCAGACGAAGCAGAGTAATAGAGAGCACACAAACACACGCCCAGGAAAAAAAGAAGCACTTGCACAACTGTACATAACTCAACATTTGATACGATATAGCTATCGATAACATTCCATTGCAAGCCTGCGAAAGGGAAGTCGAGAGAAGAAGAGTCACATCCGCATCAGTAATTATTAATTTTAATTTGTTCAATTATTTTCCAAGCGTATTTTTGTTTGCTCTTTGCTCCCAACGAAGCCTTAAAAATTATATTAACTATGCTATATATTTGTGTAAACAATAGAGAGAGATAGAGAGAGGGAAAATCTTGTTCAGAATTCTAAGCAGAAGCAGTAACAAAAATTAAAAGCCCATGCGATATATGATGACGTTTGATATTTTTTCTAAAAATTAGGCTTAGTCAGTGATATACCTTATATATACCCTACATATAAACAAGATACATGGATGAATTTTTGTTTTTTTTTTTTGTGTCCATACATTGTAAGCTAAATTAAAAATTGTGTAAGCTGTTGCCTTAATCAAAAATGAAAACGACAAAAAAAGAAATTCAAATTGACAACTAAAACTTAATTACTAATCTTCACTTTGTTAATTCTTTTGCAAAACTAATCTTCAAGAACAAATAATTAAATATTATATATATATATATACAAGAGATAATTGCAAAGAAATATGTATGAAGTATGAATTGGTGGATTCAAAGAACTTAAAGTGCTGCTAAAATTGAAACTTGGAACTCCTTTAAACTTGCGCCTTATTATAGTTTAACGAGAAACAACTTTTGTAACTTATATTATAAACGTCAGTTAGGAGAAGTCAAATAATATATATATATACAAGCGTGTACTAAATTGAAGCAAAACTTATATATTTGTGTGTGCCTATTGCTTGATCAACGAGTTAAGTCAGAGTTCATTTATATATATATATATACATACTTATACACGGATATAACAATAATATATATATATATATATACAAAAGTGTGTGTACAAACAGCTGTGAACACCAAAAAGTGGCCTAGAGGAGCATCGAACCCAAATGAGAGCAAAACAAAAATAATTCCCCTCACAAGTGCTTTGAAATTGTTCGTAATTGTAATTGCCTTGATTTGTACTAAAGAGTTAACCAACGATACCGATAAACGATAAATTATATATATGTAAAATATGCAAAGCCAACTATTTATAACAACCCTGTATAAGTAAACGAACCCCATGAGCCTCTTGATCACCGCCTTTTTCTCTAGATGTACCAAGTCTACCATAATTTTATGTCACCCCAAAATCCCACTTGTATCCGAAGTAACCCCCACGAAAATGCCTACCTATTTGCCCCAAATAGGACTGTTAAGCATGTAAACCATAAAGTAGCCTTTCCATTTGAAATGGAATTTTCAAATCAAAAATTTACCTCACACAAAAAAAAAAAAACTCGCACCCAAAACACACACAAAGAAGCAACCCTGAAGTATATTAGGGTGTGGACTTCACTCGCCGACAATTGATATTACGTTCATTACGTCCAACCAAAACGAAAATCTACAAAGAAAAATAACAAAAAACATTTAAAACGAAAAACTTAAAAAAGTTTTAACCACTCAGGTCAGGCGAGTGAAGAACCTTCAAGGGTTGCCATCACATTCAATGTTAAATGTAATTTGTAACTGTAAATGTTATTTGTAAACGATAATTGTAAACGGCTAAATGCAATCAAGTCCTTTTTGTTAGCCCCCCCAAAAACAAAAGGGGGCAAAAGGATAGTTCTCGCTTGTAAATTTCGTTTAATTTTTGTTTACCCTCGATTTGTTTTGTTTGTTTTCGATTAATATTCTCTAATATACATAAATATGACCTAGAGTCGAGTTTGAGTTTGAGTTTTGGGTTTGTGGGTTTCTCTTCTGCCTGCAGCTGAAAGGCGGCGATATCTTATCTAATAGAGCATCGTAGACATAGATCAACATCATCGGAATGCTATCCATCGCTCTCATCTTCGCAGGACTCATATATTCTCTAGTGGCGCATCTGCATTTTCCGATTTTGACATTTTCCTCGACCCAAACCTGGACCCCTCATTTTTAGCTTTTAGTTTTAGGCTACACATGTTTGTTTTATAAAAGTAATAAACTTAAACACAACATGCGCTACGAAAGTACCTGGACAAAAGTAACGATAAACGATCAACGACAAACGATAGATCAATGTTGGTTATTGTCTAAACACCAAATCGCAAACCTAATTCAGCTGCAGGCAGAACCATACCACAAAGCCCCCTTGAAAACGTAACAAAATCCAGACAGAAAGTCCCGTTTATTTTTAAAGTTTTAGACCTATCTATGTATATTTCTAACAAAATTGATAAAGTTAAACGCCTTTAAATGTGTGTATGTCCACAAACCACAAGAACAAGCAACAAATGAAGAAAACTCCCACAAACTGTGCTAAAACAAACGTATAAAATAATAAGAATGTGTCGAATGTTTTGAGAGAGTCCAGGTTGTTATTTTGTGTAATTTTGACAAGAGCAAAACTATACTGGAAATAAATCCAGCCGACTACTACTAATGTGAAAGCAAAGCAAGAGGAAAAACAGCAACCAAACCCAAGCAAATCTACTTCTTACTGAATTAAAATGACCCCCTAAGTCAGCCCTATCCAGTGTGTTCCATTTTATTCCGTAGCCGTATCCGTATCTCTAATGCTCGCTGTATCCGCATCTGTATCTGTACCTCTAACTGTTTCTGTAAATCGTCTCCGATCCGACCACAACTGATCACACTCTAAATAAAATTCAAATTTAATATCTAATGTCTTAGTTTTGCCTTTGATCTTACTGCCTGCCCCAACATTAGCGATTGCTCATCGATCTTGGATACTACCCGACGTCATTGCGCTTGGGGGCATATATCTGAATCAACCTGACCTGCCTGCAGTGCCTCTAAAGTTGTTACCCTTTTTGAGAGACTGGGTGTTTTGATTTTTGGTGAAGGCTTCATAAGGAATGCAATTGGTTTAGTGGTAGTCTATGAAAAACCATTTCTTCGGAGTGCATATCTGCTATGTAAATACCGGAATGAGATCAGAAGATGAGCTGTCCATATCGATCACAAACAATTGTTTTGCACCGGGTAGGGTATCGTAAGCCTCGGTCAGTGAATGCAATTATCTATTGATTACCGCACTCGATTCAGTTCGCTTTTGGCGCGTGTCTTGGCGTGGGCGTGGGACAATCTGTTCTAGTCGATCCAATCCGATCTGATCTTCCCCTGTGCAGCCCCACCAATTTCAGAACGGGTCTGCTTCGCTGACTGGCGAGTTATAAACAGACGCTGACATCATGTCATGCAAGCTGGATTCTGCCGCTTTCGGCTTCTCAGCGAGCACTACTTGCTATGTCGCCAACTATCCGTAGGTAGGCCCCTCTTAGCCTCTACATCTCTAGTTCTCCAGTTCTCGGGGCTCTCCTCTAATATGCATAAGTTGAAGGCTCGCTTTTGGCGCTCCGTGCTGCGTTCAAGCTTGGGCTCGAACCACTGCTCGTGTGATTAATGCTGCCCCCGGCAGTGATTAATGCCTAATTGCTTATTGAATGTCATAACAGTAATAAAAGAACAAAAAAACAGCGCACAAAATCCTTCTCGCTGCAGCGTGTGTCATAGATTGGGTCACCGTCTCCACGGGAGACCCGTGCACCAGACACGCGGTACGTGGGATGATACCGCCCCAGACAAGCCCTCTGTTAGATGTCATGATGGAAAAACCAGCATAGTTAGGTCAGACCTCTTCGAGAACGCTATAAAATGATACTTTGAGATCGCCTTAACATTGGTCAAGTTTTACTGCTTGAGGGTAAGTTTCTGCAAATCCCATGGTCAATTAAAAAATTTTGACGAAATAAAAAAAAAATTGTGAGCTCTAAAAGTGCTTAACAACAACAACAATTTTCAATAAATCGACTTTCAATAGCTACATTTTTTAAGTTTTAGAGGCAGTAATGTCTCATACAATATGAATATAAAATATAGTATTGTACTCACATTCCCACGATCCTTCCCTTTATCGTGTCGAATGGCATTTGAAAATCCGTAATGGTGCCAAATGTCATCTGGTCAACAGTAGATTTTAGTGTTTGTGTTTATGAGCGAAGAAATCTGAAATCAAAGCAAGTGCGAGCAGAGCTTTGATAAATGATGGCATTTAATCGCATAAAATATCGGCCATAAATAACCACAGAACGCATTATCATTGAGGTAACTATTAGCAATCATAGTGACACGCGCAGGTGTATTTGTGTTTGAATTAAGATAGGCTTATGTACATGTGTTGCAGCATTGGGTATTTATAGTCGTGCGTTAAGTGGAAAATTATGCCACCGAACTCTCAAACAAAAGCAAAAATGCGATAGTAATAAATGGGAAATGTCTTCGGGGTTTGCGATTACGAATTTCGACTTCGACCACTCCAATTATCAATTTCGACCCAACCCGGTCGCCAAGTGCCGACCTGCTGTCTGCCAAGGTCCCAATTCCAATCACAGTCTCAATGGAAAAGCCTTATGACTCAGTTGCTCAGAAGGTCAGGAACAGGTATCGGGAGTGGGTGTTTTATTGCAGATCGGTGAAAGAGAATGAGGCGTGATCCGGTCAAGAACAGATTGCAGGTTGAACCAAATATACATACAGTTACTATTTGGGTGCAGTTAAAATCGACAAGATCAACGATTAATTCATTTAATATGTAGGATAATGATATCCGTTATTGGTGACTGAATATTGTTATAACTGAACAAAATTTGGACGTTTTCATGCACTTGTTATGCAGTCAATATTAAATCTTGTGCACATTACTAGTGCAAAGAGAAAAGGCGATAATGATGGCGTCGTGAGGAGGAGCGTGTAAGCCCAAGGTCAACATTACCACTTATAAAAAATTTTGGGATATTCAATTCCTCATCCTCGTGAGGAGGAGCGTGCGCCTATTATTTATAAGCCCAAGGTCAACATAAAGACTTATCAAAATGGGATATTCAATTACATTTTAAGTTATTAAATCGAAATTTGGCACCAAATCAAAATTGCAATAGACGCCATCTTGCCAGAGCGAGATAGAACAAGCTCTTATGACTCTTATGACAGGAATCAACCAAGCTTTAATGTTTACTAAGCCAGTGCAGCACTCGATTTGCATACAATTTAACTATTACTCACCGCCAGAAACCCAGTTATTACGTCTTTCACTGATCTTTTTTTCACTTTTTGCAACTTTTCTTGAGTTGTTGTTATCCTACGAATTTTGGCGCCTATGCGGCTTTGGTTTATTCTTAGTATGGCGTTGCCAAGCGTTATCAAGACATGCGATACATCGCAACATATCGTTTAAAAACTAAAAAGTGTTTTTCAAGTCTAAATTGCCATCCAAAGAGTGGCAAAAAGGTCACCAAAAAAATTGACTTTCAGATTTGGTTGTTTTGTTATCAAACAATAAATATAAATTTAAATTTTAACAACATATAAATATATCGCTTGCACCTTATGTTTCTTTTTCTATTCGTCTCAATTAATGTTCCATCCCTAATTGTTCTTCTTCTTCTTGGCGCGTCGTTTTGTTTTTACACTGCTTTGGTTTATAAAATGAAAAAAAATTAAAAATCAAATCGGGAAAATGGCCCAGTACACGCCCCGCCAGCTGCTGACAGTGCCCAAAGCCCAGGATTTTGGATTTCCGTACGCCCCATACGAAATCCAGGAGCAGCTGATGCAGGAGCTCTTCCAGGTGCTCGAAAAGGGCCAAGTGGGGATATTTGAAAGTCCCACTGGGACGGGAAAGTCCCTGACTCTCACCTGTGGCTCCCTCACATGGCTGGCAAGACACGAAGAGCTGGTGCGGGCGGAAATGCTGGCGAGGATTCGCGAAGTGGAGCAGGAGTTGGCTAACCTGGAAAAGGAGGGCGAGCAGACGAAGGATTGGTTTGGAAGCCAGGGAAGGTCCAGGATGCAACGGGAGGAACTTCGTGACCTGCAGCACTTACAGCAACTACTAGATAAACAAGAAGAACAACTAGCGCAAATCAAGAAGCAGGCTAAAATCCATAAGAAGCAAAGAAAGGAGCAGCTCATCCGGCAGGATGAACTGGAGAAGGATCAGGATCCGGCCTCTGACGTGGATTCAGAGCACGAGACTGAAGACATGCCCGAGGAAGCCTTGGGAGATCACTATCGACCTGTCCAGATCTTCTTCTGCAGTCGAACGCACTCGCAACTGAGCCAAATAGTTTCCGAACTTCGCAAAACTTCGTTCAACCAGTCGGTAAGGTGCATCTCTTTGGGTTCCCGTCAGCAGTTGTGCTGTAATCCGCAAGTGCGCAGTCTGAAAAACGTGGGACTAATGAACGAACGGTGTTTGGAAATGGCTACCCAGAAAGATCAGCCCAATCCGACCAAGAAAAGTCGACTCACTATGAAAGCTAACGGTAGATGCTCGTTTAAAGCGGCGGCCTTGGTGGATTCGCTCAGGGATTTGGCACTGAGTGAACCCCTAGACATTGAGGAGCTAGCCAACGAGGGAATCGCTTGTGGCGGCTGCTCGTATTACGCCTCCAGATCTGCCCTAAAGCAGGCCCAACTGATTCTGCTGCCCTACCAGTTGCTACTCCACAAATCCGCTCGGCAACAGCTGGGCATTAATTTAAAAGGATCGATTGTACTAGTCGATGAAGCCCACAATCTTTTGGAATGTTTGGCGCAGTTGCATGGCGCCGAGATCAACCGCCAGCAATTAGAGCGAGCTAAAGTGGAGGTCTCCGCCTACAAGGATCATTTCCAAAAGCGTTTCAGCACCAGTAATCTCTTGAAAATAAACCAAATTATCTTTATAGTTCGACGGCTTCTCAAAAGTCTTGATCAAGGTGAGGAAAGCCAGTCTAAGAGCTCAAGGATGCTGCGCACCTATGAGCTTACCGCCGAGGGAGATTTTTTTAACATTAATCTGAGCGAGCTCCTGGATTTTTGTGCACGCACACGTTTCGCTAGAAAAGTTCAGGGACATGCGGCCAAGATGCAGAGGGCACCCCAGCCCAATGAGAATCAGCCTCCTTTGTCATCAGCAAGGAGTTTGATCCTCAAAAGATTAGCCAACGAGCAAAAGCAAAAGGAGATCATTAAGCAAGGAAAGCGGAAACTAGGCGACATAGAGGATAAGGTCGAGGAGCCGGCAAAGATTATTCCCTTGAAAGAAACGCCGTCGCCGATAAGACCTCTGCTGGCGTTTCTTGAAACGCTCACCAGCAATGCAGAGGACGGTAGGATATTACTTGATCCTAAAGAGGGAACGATTAAATATTTACTGCTCGACCCCGCTGAGCAGTTTTCGGATATCTTGAGCGAAGCAAGAGCGGTAAGACGAGCAATCATTTTAAGAAAATAATTACTTAACCATAATAATCCTCTGCAGATCGTTATTGCCGGGGGAACCATGCAGCCCACTCAAGAGCTAAAAGAGCAGCTTTTTGCCAGCTGCCAAGAGCGGCTAGTAGAGCGTTTTTACAGGCATGTTGTGCCCGACGAAGCCGTCTTGCCTTTTGTGGTATCTAATGGTCCAAAGGGTGCACTCTTGCATTTCAACTTTGCCCAGAGATCTAGTCCAGAAATGGTGGGTTCTTTTAAGTTTCCTTTCAGAGTTTGTTTTTTGCTTTATTGATTTTCCGAATCAACTGCAGATGCAGGAGCTCTCAATGGTGCTCCAGAATCTCTGCCAAGTGGTTCCAGGTGGAGTGATTTGCTTTTTGCCCTCATACGAGTATTTGGAGAAAGTTTACAATCATCTGGAGCTGTCGGGAACCCACGAGAGGATTAGTCGCAGGAAGACGGTCTTCCGGGAGGTCGCGGGATCAGCGGAACAACTCTTGGAGAAGTATGCACTGGCCATCAAGGAACCGAGATCGGGCGGAGCTCTCCTTTTGAGTGTCGTCGGAGGAAAACTCTCTGAGGGGCTGAACTTTGCCGACGATCTTGGCAGAGCAGTTCTAGTCGTTGGTCTTCCGTACCCCAATCGCCAGTCGCCAGAGCTGCAGCAGCGAATGCGGCACCTGGATGAGAAACTGGGACCAGGATCAGGCAACGAATTTTACGAGAATCTCTGCATGAAAGCTGTGAACCAGTGTATTGGACGAGCAGTTCGACACATAAAGGACTACGCTTGCATTTATCTTTTGGATGAACGCTTTGCGAACGCCAGGATTCAGAGAAAACTTCCCGAATGGATTTCCCGCCACATTGTGGAGGCGAGTACCGAAAGGGGTGGCTTTGGAGTAGTTCAAGCTCGTACTGCTAGTTTTTTTAAAAGCAGATAAGGAATCTTTGAACCTAATCATAAGCAGTCATTTCAAAAATGTCATTGTTTTAGGTTTTTTTTTATACTTTTTGTGTATTATACTTTGGTAGAAAACCAAGTTAAGTGTAAGACTTACAAACCATGTTTATAATTAAAAATTGAAAGTTATTATTTATTTAAAATTTGTGGGTAAATAAAATTTAATTTACTTCTCTAATAAATAAAAATAATATTATATATCATATAAATATAAATCGAAGATGGTCATTTGATTTTAAATTAATTAATGCGACCCAAACCAAATATACTAAATTTGGCTTTAATTAGTACTTTTTAAATTGGTTTTGGTCGTTACTAAACAGGGCTGCAACGGCGTAGGCTATCGTCCAATTATCAGTTCTTGTTCCACCGCTAACGCTAACGCGTTGAAAAAATAAAAAAAATAAAGGCGCGGAAAAAGTGTTAACTAAATGAATTGAAAATGTAAAGCTGAACCGAATTGTGCGATGGTTCGGGGACTATAGATTCGAGCTTTGTGAGAACTTCAAAAATCAACAAAAGGTGTGAAAAGTGCCGAAAAAATCCGCCTGTGAGCGTGTGTGAGTGTAGTGTTTTTTTCTCTGTATGCAGTATTAGGTTTTTTTTTTTTTATAAACGAAAACATTAATGAAGTTACAAGTTCAAGTTTACTCTTTCTCCATTTAAAAGAATTTTCTTAATGTATATAGGTTTCAAGTATTTTATTTCCCACATTTATTGATAAGAGTGTCTGTGTGTGTGTTTGTTTGCTTTTATCAGAATACAAACCGAATACAACAACAAACATGGGACCCCGTCGTTAAACAAATATTTAATATTATTAATCATATTAGTTGATAAATAAGGGCAACATTGCCAGTCGTAAATTTGGTTAAACTTCGAGATAAAACTGTGGATATAATTACCTTATATATAATAAACTTTTTTTGTTAAAGCGACATTTATTATAGAAGTTTAACTCATCTTTTGAAATGCTTAAGGAAAATTGAGAATTTTGTGCTTTGCTATATTAATGAGTATGATATTATTCATATATAATACAATAATCTTTAAAAACGGAAAGAGCAGGGTATCTAATGCATCACCCCCCTGCAGAAACCGCCCCGCCTCTTAGTGGTTATTCTAGTTAGTTGCTGTCGCCATTGTTTTTGCCTCGCTGGCTGACAAACTCGTTTTGCTTGACTTTGATAAAAATACAGAAAAATTACAAGTAAGCGAGTCAAAGAGGAAGGCAACTGGCACACTTTATACAAAAAATCTTAATAATCAGCAGAAAGAGTCGAGAAATCCGCTTGCAGTTGCACTTTGAAAGTTGAAAGCAAATGGAAGTGCTATCGCTATCGACAGTCATTCCTTAGTCTTGTTTACTTTATGCACTATATATTTTTATTTATTTTTTTCCTGAGATATGAGCCCGAAAAGCATTTTTGGTTGAAGGGCCTCTTGCATACGAGATCATATTTGATTAGGTTTTCTTATTTAAAGTTTCCTACTCTTAGGCTATTAGAAATTATAATAATATGATGATTAGGTTGAAATTATTTTTTCTGATTTTTTATTCTAGGGGATTTAAAAGTCGCAATACATTTTTCTATGGCTGTCTCTCTGGTTTTTGACTGGGCAAAAGAGAGCGCCGCGGATGCTCTTCCACTGATGTCTCTTTACTAAGGCAAGCCGAGGCTCGAACCAATGTTGGCTAGGTGGAAGAAAAATCTAGGGGCAGTGATGCGCATTTGAGGAACAGGGATACCATGTAGTGGGACCGAAGTTTTAGCAGCTGTCGTTTTTAACATTAACTGTAACAGGATAACTTTTACAAACATTTATAGCGCAGCACCAGATCCGTGATTTAATGGTTGTCCGTCAGGTGTAGATGGTGTATCTGCCGCTGCTCTGTTATTTGTTGCTCTGTAAATGTTAAGTCCTTACTCAGTTTCGCATTTCTGCAAAAAATTCCTGTTAGCGAAAGAGGCGAAAGCGCCTCCAGCGGACGAAAACCGAAATATCAACCGCTAAGCTGTTCAACCTACCGCGAGTGAATAAACAGACGACCGATTCCAATTCCAGCCGTCACATCAGCAGCAGCAGCAGTGAGTTCACTTCTTGGAGAGACTTGTTATTGCACTTTCGACCGCGGTTGTCTTCGGAATTCGGAAGTCGAAGCTCGGACAATTTTAAACTCGTAAACTTCGGTAGTCCGCAATCGCCGGGAAGGCACACATCCCAAGTTGTTATCTGCTTTACTGCAGGGAGAGCCCCGTTGTTAAGAATGAAGCTCTGATACATCATTTTTAAACACCTCATACGGCAGAAGTTGAGGAAATCAGGGAGGAAGAGCAAAGGAGGTTGCGAAACGTACCGGAAGCGAAACGGGTCGCGGCTTGGAACGATTCGGTAATGAAACAACACTATGAACGCCCAACTTTCGGCTATATGATGCAAAACATCGATCGCAATGTGCAAACAAGAAGAATATTAATTACAAATTGGCAGAAACAATGTGTAATATTTTAAATTTATAACATGTACCAACGTAAAGCTCGCGAAACTACTTTACTATTTAGTGAATGCGCTTTCGCTAACTCAATCAAAACAAACCGCAGCCGATGTTTATGTGTGTACAATTTTTTAGCATTTCAGAATTTTTCTTATAAATTTTTTTGGGTGTGTGAAAAGTGAAAGTGAAAATTTAGAGCAGCGAATAACAGGACGCGCTAAAAACGAAGAGAGAGGGAGAGAGCATGCGTTGTTGCTATTTATTTGGTTTTTTTTGGAAGGACTCTCCCCCGCACACACGCTCTTTCTCTAACGGTGTTTGCTCTCTTCCTCTTGTTCTTGCAGCGGCTCTCTCTTTGGCAGCAGCGGCGGCGATTTGTGACGTCAAAAGCAGCGACGTCCTTCGCTGGTAGACACACACGCACGCTCACCGACAGACACAATACCACACTGAGAGAAACTCCCACCAAAAGAACCCTCCCCCACCCCTAAAAAATCGAAAGAAAACAAGGAGAGAAAAGGATTTATTTTCCTTTTTAGTCCGCGGGCGTGCATGTGTGTGTGTTTTTGAGGCAGCCGCACAACTATAACTGTATCTAGCAGCAGCAACAACAATAGCAACTGAATCCCAGCAATATAGCAACAAAAATGGAACAGCCAAGCATTCTCGTCAAAATCCTGCACTCGATTCCGCACGTGAATTACACATTCCGTCGGGTTAACGACACCTTCAATCCGGACAGCGATGTTTACCTCGAGGTGAGTACAATCCCAACACACAGTAAGAAAAAAGATCTGATGTTAACACTTTCATTTTAAACTAATGAAATATGTTAATATATAACAACTCTAGAGGTAGGATTTAGCTCGGGCTTTTCTCACCAAATGTTTTCTAGACCAATTATCTTCCAAACAAGAAACTTATAAAATTGGTTTTTGTTAAGTACTTCATCCGATAACGTTAACTGCAACTGTAAAAGGGACCAACCATTGGGGTTATGGGCGGGAATTGGGAAGTGGGAGCACTTTAAATAAGTCATGCGTAAGGCACTTAGTATACGGGAGCGCAGCAAGATATGTAGAATCTTTCATAAAGAAACTTTATTTATAAGAGAATAAGTCATAAAAAGTTATCTTACAATGTTCACCAAATCAAAAATAAACGGAAACGAAAATGAGAAATTATAAACTGTTGAGCAAAGAACATTAATTTTTAAAATATTGGAAATGTTTAAATAGCATTTGGTATTAGGTATTTGCTATTAGGTATTTGCTATTAGGTATTTGGCCTTGATTAATTGAAGTTAAGCGTTATGTGGGCAAAACCCAACTGAAACACTTTGCCTGGAGTTGTAAACAACTTCAAAGTACCTCCATCAGAGATCCAAGGGATTGAACTGTATAGATATCCAATCCTAAGTACCTCTTGAGCGAAACCGGAGCATCTTCAATTGAGATTCGAGTTTTCGGTTTGAGTTATCTAATATCTATTTTGGTGTATGTTTTGTTTCTTTTGATGTCTTTTCGTTGGGCTTTCTTTGTTATTTTTGTCCTTTTTCCACCAGGTTTTACCTGCCCTCCAGGTTTGTCCCGTTTGCAAATGCATAGGATACAAAATGGAGCACAAAGGCGAGAAAAAACGCGTGGATAAATTTCAATTTCCATCGCTTTTCCTCTTCTTCCTTTTTGCCCCGCCTCTCGTTGTTTCATTGCCACTGTGTTCCGATGTTCAGAAGTCTGAATTTTGGGAGAGAGAACCCAATTTTTGACGGTCTCTCATGTCAGAGAGGGACTCTTTTGCAGACGTTCCGTTTTCATGTAGTTTCTGCCATGTGCGCTCCATGTGACGCCTCTGGCCAAGTAAACAGGGCGGGGCGAGGCAGGGTCCTTACTTAGGGGGATGAGGAGCAGCTGCACACTTCCGGCTTCCTTTTTGGCTTTGTCCCTCTTCTATCTCGTGGATTGCCTTTGTTTCTCCTGCCGACCGATCATCATCGTTGTCCTTAACTCCCTCGCATCCTTACCGCTATTTATAAATGTATATTCAAACGGGGCAGGGCAGAATGACGCCCTTTTTACCGGCTTACCAATCAACATATGCAAATCGTTAGATTCCCTTCCCGGGTTTCCCTACTTACGAAATCATCGCTACAATCCCAGCGGAAAAATTTGATTAAAATTAGCAGCCTTCTTTCCATTCTGCCATTTCCTTGATGCTGGGAAATGCCGGCTTCCAGCGCGAAAATTGTGTGTGTGTGTGTGTGTGCGAAAATTCAGGTCAGCTGGCAGAGCTATGGCTTCGGGTTTTCTTTTTCGGATTTGTGTTGTTGCAGTTAGACGTGGATGTGGATGTAGGTCAGACTGCAACATACATAACTCCCCTCGAATGGCATGGGTGAGAGGAGCGGGATTACGGGGACGGTCCGGACTTGGGGCGTAGTTTGTACGCACGTCAGCAAGAGTCATTTGTCACTTGTAAAAACTTGTAGGGGGTGAGCTTAAAATAGTAGCTACATATTCACAAACAAATTTTTTTAATAACATTTAAGTCTTTTATTATTAAATCCACAAGGCCACAATCCAATCCCTTTTAGAGTGTCTATTTAGTAAATGCCGTTCCTCTGATCATTTTTTCCGAGTGTGTCCCGGCAGTGGATGGCTAATTGGTGGGGCAGGGCTTTGGATAAAGCTCTAAGCCGGTAAAGCAGACGAAACCGAAAGGTGCGGAAATGGGGGAAGGGGATTGGAGGGCTTTCACTTTGGGTTACGTTCCGATGCGATAAACATCGAGAACAGCGAGTCCTTTAGAAGCACAGCCATCTAATCGTTATCAACGCCCAGCAATCTTCACCAGAGTCACCCGTCCTATCCACCAATCCCTAGCTCAAATCAGTCCGGCACAGTACTCATTGCATTGATTATGACGCAGACGAAGACGATGATCAATTCAACCTTCAACTAGTGACGGACGTGGACAATAAAAATAGACAAGATCCAACCCCATTTCCACACAAGTATGTGTGGGCCTATTGTACGGGTGCCCTCACGGCAGAAAGGGAAAAAGCGGGTTGAGCAACCCGCATCGGCAGATGAGTCCATAGATTGGACTAAAATTAATCGCGGCCAGTGACTTGTAATGGAGGAATGCAAACGGAAGGGATGGTTTGTTTCCCAGGAATGTGCTCCAAATATAGAGTTCCCAAATTCAGAGGTCCATCTTTGATCTATACCCTATGTTAAATTACCATCATGTCCAATCCGAAAATGATTTCTCTGAAAATCTAGGAATACTATATACATTATCGTTCCCTTAAAATGATAAAATAAGTGTAAGAAAGCTGCCACAAAACTTATCAAAGTTGTAAAGGCTAAAGCTCTCAGCTTTTTTGTTTTGCAATTCACAAAGAATACTCTTTGATCCTAAAGGCTTTCTTAATCTTTCCTGCATTACTCTATTCATGACAGCCCCATTCGCTCGCTTGGGTTTCGCTCAGAGATTGCTCTAAATATAGCTTGAATTTTATGCAGATTGCATATATGTACGTATGTATATGCATTTCGAATATCTCTAGCGGATTGTCAACCTTTTGTGCTTGCGTCAAAACTACGTTGCGGGTTATGGCAACAGCAATCTGTCTGCTATTGGTCCATCCCCTGCTCCCCCCTTTCTCCTCCCGATAGTTTTCCGTCTGCTATCGAAACAACAAAAGGGGTCCGGAGGAAGGACCAGGCCGATTCGGATTCAGATTTGGAGAACGCATTCCCGTTCTGTATTCCATATTCCCACATTGAGGCTGACTGACAGACAGCTGCCCTCACATTTGCCAGATGTGTGTGCCCACTTTACAGATTGTTTTGTATCAGTGTCTTTCGCTTGTTTTTGTTTTTTTCTTCTTTTACGACTTGGTATAAAGATGCTGCACTTGGAACTGAATGGGGCTTAGATGAACTGACTGAGCTCCAAACTGCTGGAACAGATTGCTGTGTCGCCAAGCTGCTGTGAAGAGAAAAGAAGAGCAGCTTCTTTCTTATCCGTTGTTTATTTGCCTTTTGGCCCGCCTTTTGTTGTTTTCCCAGCGAAGAAGTTCAAGACGCTGACCGAAATTGAAAAGTTGGGACCACCCAAAACGAAATCAGTTTGATTTCGGGCTAGGAGTTTGATTTGGAACTAACCCCCACGCTCTTTGGCATTTGACTAATGCTGTTGAGTGGTAAATATAGATCTGTTAATTCCATAACGGAAACAAATAAAGATCTGTTAGTGTTTTTAGTGCCATAATAAAAATAACATATAAAAGACTAGCTATATCATACACATTCTTAATAGAAAGTGTTTTATAAGGCACTTCTATCAAAGTATGTTTATTTCTCGATAAAGTACACAAAGTTCAAGTTCAAAAACGATTCAAATGGCTTTTGTTTACTTTTATATTGGTCTGCCCCGTCCCCCTTTATCTGTATAATATGCATTCGCCCACCTTCACCGCATTAACACAGAAATCTACTCCATTTGGTTTCGTCTTGTTTTGTGGTGGTGAATTCTGTTGGGGATTCTCTGGCCCCCTTTTTTTTCTGCTTTATTTCTCTGGTGTGAAAGTTTTGCGTGGGTTCTCGTATTTCTTGGCCGCAAGACCACATTCTTCAGCTCATAATGAATTAGCCAGAAAGCGAATTCACAGTTCTCGGCGAGATTCGATCCGAGTTAATGAGCCCGAACTCAGCTGATCGTAATTGGATTTCTCATTGGGGCTCCCCGATTTTACCCACTTCACATTGAAAATTCATCACGGAACGCTGCTGGATTAGCATATCAAATTATGCCACGTCAACATGGCCAGACATACCTCCCCGTTCATTTACTCTTCTTCCATTTCCTCTCGGGTTCTATTCAATATCATCGTTTTCTTTCAGGGGGGACCGGAGACAAAGGCTAAACTTCAACCGATTCTCAGTTCTCAATTCTCGGCACTGGGTTTTATGGTCTGTGTCGGGTTGATTTCCTGTGTTGCACTTGAAAAAAAAACCATCCTCGCGATTTGAATAAACCTCATTTTAAATTATAAGTGAGCGGGGTTTGAAGGGCTGTGGACAATTGAATTCACATTTTTTTTATACATATTTTTAAAAATAGATAATTTTTTCAATATGTTGCCGTAGAAGTTACTTGAGATTTCTGTAAATCTTTTTATAGCCAAGGCCAAGGAACAAATCCATTTTCTTATCTCAAAACCGAGCTAACCTTGACTGCTCCTCCAGCAATCTTGGCTTATGTGCCCTATGGCTCTTTCTTATCGCCTTTGCATGTTTTTCTTCCCAATCTAGTACTGAAAAAGGGCGTTGGTTCTCGGAATTACCATAACGAAGTGACAAAGCGGAAATAACACTATCCACCCGCTGGGCTTCACAACCAAATCGCTTCATATTTATGCACTTATTATAACTTTTTTTTTTGAGGTCCGACGAGGGGGCCGGATGTTTGGTGGAGTTCGGAGAACTGGTTTTTCTCCAACAAGAATTCTACAAAGTAACTGGTTGACCCACGCAAAGAGAAAACTTGATCAGAGCTAGAAAGAGGGAAATAATTAATGAAACAAGCTTTTCTTGGATTTCAAATACGTTAATGTAAAAACCATTTTGTTTTTATATCGTATATAAACTTCAAACCATATTGACTCATACTCAAGAGTGATATTTAAAAAGTAACATATGATCTTTAAGTTGTAAAATTATTTATTTTGTGTCTTTCGTCCGATTAAAATGTACACGAAATGTTCCATAGTTCACGTATTTACTTACTCTTGTTTTGTTCAGGTTTTTTTTTTGCATATGCTGTACATTTGAGTCTCTCGTGATATAGTTTACAATTAGCCCCTCGCTGAATCCCCTCGCCTACCCTCTCCTCCGTAAGCTCCTTGTTTTTCCGCCACTTTCATGGTAGTTTTCACACTTCCCATTGAGACACACTTACAAATACTAGGGAAATTGTCAATTAAATGGAGGATGTGGACTGGAAAAGGGTGGTGGGGGCTGCCGAAGGTGGTATTTGAAGAGCTTCAAGGTTATTTGTTGTTGCTGGCAATTTGCTTTGATTTAATTCAATTTGAGAGGCGTCGGAGGCAGCGCGTAAATTTTTGTCATTTTTAGCACCAGCGCCGCGTTTCCGAAAGGCTCCCAAAGGGGGTTGAACACTATAAGAGGAGGGCTAAATGGGGCTGGTATGGGGGTAGTTTTTCGCTTGTTAGCAAGGAAATTTTTCGCTACATTTTGCAGATTGCATGCCCTGGAAAATTGTAGGAGAGAGGGAAAACTTGGGGCCTTAGTATGTAGAGAAAAAAATTCACTTAATAATTAACTCTAAGACCAGAGAAAAAATGCACTCTATAATAATTCAAAGACCAATATTGTTGGATAATTTAAAAATGTGTCCTGTTCATAGGAGTTTGAGTACATATAAACAAAATAATGTTGCTGAGAAATACCCTTCTAAGCGATGGCTGGTCTGTTTTCCCGCCGTGTAATGTAAGGGGAAGGTGGTGCAAACAAGGTTGGTGGTGGGGTGGTGGGGTCATTTCTCAAGTGTCATTCAACTGCGAGGACACGTAAATGTGCCGAGGCACAAAGACGACAACAGCGACGGCGACTTTAACTAGTTTTAATGATTATTTGCATGGCACAAGTGCAATAAATAATAAATACCCCTCAAAGAAGTGATGTGGGTGATGGGTGTGTTGAGGAGGGGCGACTGCCTGCATCCTCCCAGGAGGATGTGGCTTGTCTAATGGGTATGTAAAAGGTAATTGCAATTTCGAATCAATGCTGATTGACTGCTGGACATTAAAGTTTTAAAGGAAAAGGCAGAGCTATAACAAAATCGATGTGATCCTTAAAGTTTGCATTTAAATAAATCTACTTGGGATTTTTGAATAGGTTCTGTGCACTTGCTATTTTTATCGCTCCACTCGAGTACCTAAAGTATCCCCATTTGAAATGCCGAAACTGGAACTCGACTTAACTTGACTGAAATGGACGACTCAAGTGGTCTGACTCATTTGCCATTCATTCGTATTTAGGCTTGAGTGGGTGCGATGGAAACCCCATCCCCATCCATCCCCGTTCTCAACTCCATCTCTGTGCCATATACAGAGGAATATCCAATATCCTGGACTGGTAATTCGAAGCTCACAGTGCATAACGTGTTTTTTTTAATGACAGAGGAAGGCAGTGAAATTACCATCAAGCCAAGAAATTTGTCGGTGCAAAAGTTGGTAAGGGTCAAGTGTCTCTTCGCCAGTTTTACTTGGCAAATTCAATTCAATTTCGGACACGGAGCCGAGCGAAAAAATAAATTAACTTTAAAGAGGACACTCTGCCATGAAGCCAACAAACAACATATTGCAGTGCCAACAAAAGGCATCGTGTTGCAAGTTATTCAATTAAAAGTTTTGCCAATGTCCAGCACAAAGAGCGGAGTGTAGAATTCACTGGAACAGATTTTTATTAAAATTTGCAGAACTGTCTGTCAACAGGTCAAAATGTTGATGTTTGACTAACCATATTGCCAAACTGCCAAATATATTTTTAATTAACTAAATTTTATAGGAATGTCTCTATTATTTGAACCATTTGGTTATCCTGTATTTTACCTTTAACAAGTTCATTGGTAAATCAGATTTCATCAGATCATTTCGGCTCCGTTGTGGATGTTGTAATTGATTCGCCAAAAATGCAATTAATATACAAATAGTTAATTTATCTGTTGTAAACTCTGGGATAAATTCTCAATCTTTTTAAGGATTTATGTTTGCTACTTATTGTTTTTGCTAATTGTTGAGTTTATGCTAACTTAAGCCGTATTATTTCCGTATTTTCTTGCAGAGTCTGGGAATCTTGGCGTCCATTCCTGCCGGCCTTCTGATCGTCTCGCTGTTGGGACTTCTGCTCTACCTGCTCACCCGCTGCTGCGACCGCCGCCAACGGAAGCCGAGTGCTCAGCGCTGCCAGAGCTGCTCGCTGGTCATCATCACGCTGATGACCTGTGGCGCCATCGGATTAGGTGAGTTTGGGTGAATTAGAGTTGGCGTTAAAGCCAGCGATTCCAAGTCCCGACTCCCCGAATCCTGAATCGCGATGGGGAAGGACGTTGAACCGCTGCATCGGATCAAATTGGCAGTCCCAGTTGCATTTGCCAAAGCACGTATAAATCCCTTTGCGGTTCCATCGCGTGTTGGTGGTTGCGGGTTGTCGGTCGTCGGTCGTCGGTTGTCGGTTGTGGGTTGTCGGTGAACAATTGGCAATTAGCCAGAACGCGACTTATCGCCAATGGAGCGGAGCTCAGCGGCTGGTCGGTCGGTGGTCACGTATGCAAAGTCGGGGCAAAGAAGTGGAGCCAATACTGGAGGACCATGCGTCATCCGACGGCGGTGGAAGCGGTGGTTTGGCGGCGACACAAACGATGAAATAATAATTTAATTAGCCGCCGGGCTGCGCAGAGAGCGCTTAATTGAATCAGAAATGCGAAACTTGTGTCGCGGTGCGCATTACATCACTGACCTGCCCCATGATGCTCTTGCCTTGATCTCCGATAAATGAATGAGCTCTCTGACTCGGTTAACCCGATTTCTCCGACTGGCATTATCCCCGCTATCTTCGGCACATATCCAACGCAGGCTCGCTCTTCACAATTTGATTTACTGATTTGTGTCCCTCTGATCTTGCTCCACTTGCAGGCTTGTACGGCAACGATGACTTCCACAATGGTCTGCTGCAGGCCTTTGGCTCCGGAAAGAACGTCGAGGGTCTGGTGCTCACCCTGAAACGTCAGGTATGTCCAAAGTCACACACGATGCCACATTTGCTGGTCTGTCGAGAAAAAACAGCAGCATGTGGCGGTTGTGCAATGTTTTAGATAAAGTTTTTAGTTTTTAAGCCGTTGTGTATCGACTTAAGGCCCCAGGCTCATAAACTTTTTAATAACGCGAATAAGGTCTGGAGTGCGATCTTAGTTACCCTGTGCCCCTCCCCCTCCCCCTCCCCCTACATCGCTTCCGCTATAGTAAAAGCTTGTCTTGCCTAGTTCTTGGCTTTCATAAACTTCTGCTATTTCCATGCAGCCCATATTCCCTTTCCAGGCGGTCTAGCAACCGCCCTTTCGGCTCCATCTTGTTCATTATAATCAACCTAAAAGCTGTGTGTTGACAGTTACGTGCCCATGTGGGAGGATGGGAGGATGGGAGGAAGGGAGGGTGTGTAATGGGGCTAGGAACAGCAGCAGCAGGACTGCAAAGGTGGCGGGTGTGGGCAGGCACTAGGGGAAGTGTCCTCTTGGCCGAAGCTTTCCTATTCATAAACTTTGTCAGCACACACAGACAGAAGAGCGAAGAAAGAGGACGGGGGGGCGGCAGGGAACAAGGCAGATGCGGCAAAAGGTTAAGGGGGTGAAAAGTGGGTGGGATGAGGTGAGTGAGCCAGCAGCATCAAAGGTAGACGACAACGACCAGGACGAGGAGGAGTAGGAGCAGAGGCAGAGAAGACTGAGGGAACGGCGGGGGCCAAACAGATGGCTGGCATTGCTCAACTCTTGAGTAAAACGCTATTAATTATCCCTGGCACAAAGGACATTGGCCGAAAGGAGGGGCTGCGAACGAAGGGGCTTGGCCTGTGGACGTGCGTGTGTGAATCAGTCCCTTGAATCTGAGAAGGAAACCTTCCCGAAGCCGAAGCCGAATCCCGAAAACCCCCAAAACCCTACCCCAAACCAAGTACCAAGTGCGGAAGCAGAAGTATTACGATAGAAACTATTTTTCCCTTTTTGTGTGTTCTTTGTTCCAGGGAATGAGGATAGAGGAAATAGATAGATGGGTACTGCCTTCACCCTCCATCCTCACATATTTGGTCATTTACTTTTGAACTTCTTTCATCTCCCTGGAAATGGAAACATTTAAAAACCATTAATTATTGTACATATCTGCTCGTTAATCTAGACTCGGTATATTTTCATTTGGAATGCTTTATTGTACTTATCTGTAAAAAGTATAAACATGCGAAAATTAAAGTAAATGATTGTCCTCACACTCAATCTGCAATTTTCAGACGGAGAGCATCAAGCACGACTTGGAAACGCGGATGGCCGGGCACAAGGTCGAGCAGCTGGTGGAGAAGCCGCAGTACAACCAGACGGTGGTCATGCTGCTCATCGAGACGTCACGTCTGGTCACGGAGAACACCTCGCGGGCGGTGGCTTCGCTGGACAGCATGGTGCACTACTTCATGAAGGCCAAGGGCAGCGAGAACGACACCTCACTGATGGGCTTGCTGCAGGTGAGTTGGGTGGAGGAGCCTCTCCAGATGCATACGTTTTATACTAATCAATCTCGTTTTGCGCTTGCAGCTGGGAGAGTTCTACGAATCCATTCGCTGGCCAACTACCTTGGCCTTCCTCACTGTGCTCCTGCTGCTCTGCACGGTTCTGGTGATCGGTGTGGCCAGGCGCTCCCGCTGCACCCTGATCTTCTTCAGCGTTTCGGGTCTCTTCTGCATTATCATCTGTTGGCTGCTGGCGGGTGTTTACCTGGCCTCCAGTGTGGCCGCCGGCGACTTCTGTATGCGACCGCACGACTACATGTGCCGCCAGGTGGGCATGGTGGGTGCTTCTTTCGATCCCTTCGATCCCCTTGCAAATCGTACTTAATCCCCAATTTCCAATTCGCAGCGGAGTCCCTACGTTGACTTTCTGAACTGCGGCACGCCGCGCAATCGGTTCATTCTGCGCCTGAACGAGTCCCGCGATCTTGTGGATCGCGCCAGGGAAAGTGTGGACCAGATGCAGCGGTGAGTGAATGCTGGTTGCCTTTCGGATTGCTCTGGGAATACCCTGATTTTTTGTTTCCATTGCAGGATGAGCAAGGACACCTATCCGCACATTGATATCCAGCGCACTCTGAACGCCATGGACAATGATCTGGAGAACACGCTGCGCAACCTGACGACGTTGTCGGCGACTCTGGACCGCCGGGCCATCGACCGGCACTACGAGGAGGCACTCCGCGGACTCTGCGGCGGCGGGCTGCTGGGCCTCAGTCTGATGATGGTGGCTGGGCTGCTCACTTCCTTCCTGCTGACGATCCTCGTGTACGCCGACTCGCACGCCTGGATCTATCTGACGAAGCGGTACGATTTGTGTGCCTCTATATGGCCCTTTAATTAAATAATTAATGAATTTAATTACAGACCAACTCTGGACGCTGACAAATCGGAGACTGCGCCGCTGTTCCCCGCCTCGAATGCGCCGAGCGCCAGCATCTCGCCCACCGCACCGATAAGCACGGGGACGATCAACAGGACGCTGCTGCACCACCAGCAGGCGGCGGCGGTGGGCGGCGGATCGGGCACCCTGCTGGGATCGGGAGGCGGCGGAGGCGGAGCCGGAGGAGGAGGAGGCATGGGCGCCAATGGACACAACGGCGTGGGACCGTATCGCAACGGAACGGCCGGCCTGAGACAAGGGTTGGCATCACCATCATCTCAATCAAGCCACACCTCATCTACCGCCACTTACAACAATCACAACAACGGCACCACCACCGGTTACAGCAACAGCCACCAACAACAACACCACCACCACAACAACCACCTGTACAGCAACAACCACCACCAATACAACAACCACAGCAACAACCACTACAGCAACAATACACAGCATAGAACTAACAACGCGGCGGGCGCGGTGGCAGCGGCGGTGGGCGTGGCCAGCAGCAGCGGTCAGCGATCGCCGTCGCCGCCGCCCGGCTACGATTTGGTGCATGGCACAAGGCATGAACTTTGATTTCATTCGATTTGTTGTTTGTTTTTCCCTCCCAAAAAAAAAAAAAAAAAACGCCCGAAACCCGAATCCCTTCCCTTATGCGTTTGTCCTGTGTTTCCGAAACCCACTGCTCACTGAAATAGGTTCTCATTGGATCATATTTTGTTACTTGTTTACTCGAGAGATGAAATCATCACATATTTGCGTTTATAGGCAACCAAAACCAGTCCAGTACCAAGTTTGGTATGTGAATAACCTGCCGGCTCAAATATAAGTTTTTTTTTATTCTATTTTCTACTGAACATACTGATTTGCAATTTTTAGAATCCATAGAGAGGTTTTAAAAATATATTCAGTGCTCAGCGGGTTTCCGTTTCTAGTAAAAGGAAGTGTTTCTTTATCGTTATCGTTATGTTTTCGTTTGGCTTTTGTTTTGGTTTATTTGTCATTTCGTTGCTCTTTTCGTTGTGCTGCACCTGCATGAGAACACTAACAAAGAACACCAGCACACACTTACTACAAATGAACACGATGACAACCAGCACAGACCCCACCTACACACACAGGTCTCTCAGTGAGGCTTCACTGTAACCGATTAACTTAACTCCACACAGTAAACTCCACGTACTAATCCCTGCAGTTGAAAATGGAAAGAAGTTGATGGAAAGACAGCTAGTTTAACACCTAAACAAAATCCTTATAAACTAATCAGATCTAAATTCCATTGATTTTTCTCACTGAGAGCTTTTGCCCAAAATGTAAATTCCACTTAGAACTTATAGGTAAAGGCTCACATTTTACAAGTTACAATTTCGTGTCTTGACACTACCTTCTAAACAAACGTTGGGTTCATCCGGTAGAAAGGCTAACTATTTCCAACTAAACAACAACAACCCATGCCCAATCCTAAATAGGCAGCTGACTAATGCCCGTCTTTGATATTTCAGGTCGGGTCACCACACGCTGGGTCGCCTGCCATCGCACCACCAGCAATCGGCGTCGTACCTGCCGGGCCCCAACAACGGAAAGTACGCGACGCTCAGCAAGCAGTGTAAGACGCTTGAGTCCAACGACTTCTACTGAGATTCGCTTGCCTGCAGTTCCCATGCAGGCAGTAGCAGCAACACAGCACAGCAGCAGCAGCATCAGCAGCAGCAAAGCAGCCTCATCAATCAGAACCAGATCCAGCAGATCCAGAGCCAGGGCCAGAGCACGCTGAAGAACATCTTTGCCTCGGCCACCCTGCCCCGCTCCACCGGCAGCTCCATTCGGTCGGTGCTCTCTGTCCAGACCTCCAACGCGGGCATCTGCCGCTCCACGGGCAACGGCTTGGACGCTGAACTGGTGGACGACCGCGATCCCAGGGACGTGACGAACAACAGCTTCAACCGCTTCGATCCCAAGTACATTAGCATCGGTCCCAAGGCAGTCAGGGGTCAGAATAACAATCTTAACATTATGTCCGCCGCCGGATCGGCGAATAAGTGTGCCACGCTGCGGCATGTCGGCCGCTACGGTGGCTCTCTGAAGGGTGTGTCCGCCGTCAATGCCACGCCCTCGCCCGCAGCTGCCCCGGCTGTCCATTCGCCGAACTTGCGGAGCGCCAAAACGCCTTTAATAGCCACCGTTTCAAAGGATTACTGCCAGCAGCCGGACTGCATTCCCCAGGAGTTCCTCCTTCAGCAGCAGCAACAACAGTTGCAGCAGCAGCAGTTGCAGCTTCAGCAGCAGCAACAACAACAGCAGCAGCAGCAGCTGCAGCAACAGCAACAGCAGCAACAACAGCAGATGGTGCCACCTGCTCCGCCGCAACCGGCGCCACCGCCTCCGCCCAAACCAAAGATAGTCAATACGTTTACGGAAATCCCCGGCACCACGGGGGTAGGCAGCTCGTATGCCAAGGAGCAGCAGCAGCAGCAACAACTGCTGGTCCTGCAGCAGCAGCAGCAACAGCAGTTGCTGGCCCTTCAGCAGCAGAGGGAGCGGGAGTTGCAACAGCAGCAGCAACAGCAACTGCAGCAACAGCAGCAACAGCGGGAGTTGCATCCACCCACCACCCACATACTGCCCGCCTCGGCTGTTTACAGCATCGAGAGCAGCGACGTGTTGCCCACAGCCGCGCCGCGAGTGCAGCAGCGTTCGCTAAATCCCGCCTCGATTGTTAACCAGCCGCTGCCCGAGATTCCCACCAACCAGCAGCAACAGCAACAGCAGTCAAAGATCTCCGCTCAGCCGCTTTGCGCCGCCAGTTTGGGTCAGTATCGGTCGCTGCAGCGACCCCAAACCCAGAAATTGCAACCGGTGGCCATCTCTTCGCCGCAGCAGCCGCCAACGTTGCCGCCGAAGAACAGGCACAAAAACAGCAATCGAGGCGGCGCCGTGGACAGCAGCAATGCCAACCACATGCAGACCTTGCCGCCAAAGTCAGCTAGCTTAAGACAGCAGCAGCAGCAACAGGAACGGGAAAGGGAGCGAGAAAGGGAGCGGGAGAGGGAGAGGGAACGAGAGCGGGAGCGTCCCCGGCGGGCGGAGACTCTGGACAATGCCCGCAGCTACATAGAGCAGCAGCAACAGTATCCCAGCCAATTGATAACCAGCAGCTACATGAAGAAGCAGCACTCCTACGACAGCAGCTACCATCAGCAGCAGCAACAACAGCAGCAGCAGCAGCAGCAGGCCTTCTACCAAAGGCAGCACAACAACAATTTCTCCACGAAGCAGCAGCAGCAATTGATGCTGGAGCAACAGCAACAGGCCTTGTTCTACAGATCCCTGAAGCGAGGCGAACGCGGAGCAGCTGGAAGCGGAGGAGGAGTTGCCGGAGGAGCCGGAGGACTGGGAGGAGGAGCTGCCATCAGCAACCAAAGCGATCTGTACTCGGTGACGGAATTGTAGGAGTGCGCCTGCTGCGGCGGCGGTGTGGATGTGGTGCGCAGAGGCGCCTCATCCACATCGCTGCACGCGGCGGCGGCGGCCACACAAACTCAGAGCCACAACCAAAACCAAACACAGACGCAGACGCAAATGCAGTCGCAGAGTCAGGCGCCCGTTCCCCTGCCACCCAAGAAGCACCGCCAGCGGGAGAGGGAGCGAAACCTCGAGCGGGAGCAGCAGCAGCAGGTCGCCCAGTGCAATGCCAATCTGTGCGAGGAGCACGAGTACGATGAGTACTATCCGCAGGCGTTCGAGATGCAAACAGCTGTCGGAGGCGGCGCTGGAGGAACCGGAGGCGGAGGTGGAGCAACTGCGAGCTCCGGAGGATCCAAGCATGGCAAAGCGAGCCAGCAGAGAGCAGCCACCTTCGATGTGGCCGATGCCCGGGACTACGAGCTAAAGCGCTTGGGCAACCGCAGATGCCAGCAGCAGGCGGCTCCCAGTAAAAGAAACGGGGGCGGAGGAGCAGGAGCGGGAGTAGGAGTTGGAGTAGGAGCAGCCATTAGCCAAGATCACCATCGCAGCCACGATCGGGAACGGTCGCGCAGCGATCATCGCATTGCCAGCTATGCCTGCGAGGAGGTCAACTCATCGGCGCTGTGCAGCGCCGGCTCCATGAGCTCCATGTTGCAGCCGTCGAATGGAACCGGAACCGCAACCGGAAGCGGCAACGGCCACCGAAGTAGCGGCCACCAGCACCAGAGGGATCACCATTCGCGGGAGCAGCAGCAACAGCAGCAGCAACAGCAACAGCGGGAGCGACGCGAGAAGACCTTTAAGGTATGATTTTTAGAGACGTCATAAGAATTGTCCAATCCGCGCCAGGACAGCAGAAACGGCACCTCCAGGCGGCGGACGCGTTGAGGGAAAATGGAAAGCGAACGTGGCGGATTCTACAGCGATTACTACGAGGAGGAGGAGGAGGTTAACCCCATGAATATGAATGCAAACGCTAGTGAAAAGTGAGTGGAGGAAGCGAAGGCATCGTTGAAGCTTTCCCAATTCGAGATTTAGAGATTCCCAGCCTGTTTTTCTGTTCAGCCTAAATCGCGACTACTCCCTTCTCTCTCTCTGTCCCTGTCTACAAACGCCCTCACTCTGTCGCACACGTGCAGACACGCACACCAGCAAAAAAGAAAAACGAACGAACACACACACATATATACTATATATATATACGTAAATATATATATAAAAGTTATAAAAATCCAACCTCTTCTGATTGATTCAAAGCTGCAAATGCTGTTAAAAGGTGCTAAAATGTTAAGGGTAGTGGTCAAAGTAATTTCTTTGTGTGTACATTTCAATCAGTGTATTTCTTATGTTTAAACCTATTTGTAACTATTTATACAAAATTGATATCACATTTATACAAAATCTGGCATAATCGATGAGCCAATTGCAAAAAGCAATATTTATTATTACATATTGGCAACATTTTTTTTTTAGTTTTATTGTATAGCCTTACTTTTGATTTACGTCCTTTACCCAGGATTATTTTGACCCCTGCTGTGCATAAAGCAATTTCATGTAACCTACATCAGTTCTCTGCTCTGTGTTGTTGCCTATTGTTATATATATATATAGAACTTAACTTTGATTAACCATAACGAATACTTTTTTTGTGACCACTATGAATACGAGTATTTTTTAAAAGCCTTAGTTAAGTACATTTTAGTTTTAAGCGCAAAACTATTTATTTACGTCAGATTGTAAGCTTCGATCCAAAAAATAAGACCTAGAACGTGCGAAAGGCAAAGGACAGTCGGCTAACAAAAACATAATGTTTGGAATATTGTTAATCAAGTGGCTTTTGAAGATTTTTGAGAATGATTTATGAGTTGGAGTCGATGTCTTTTGCATTTTCTGTGCCGAAATAACCTTTTTTTTTTGTAAGAGTGTGTGTGTTATATTTATTATAGTTTTTTTTTGTTTAATAAGCGATTTATGCTACATCATTTTATTGTTTAGGAATCCGTTGCGAGAACCAACAACAACAACTACCACAGCGACACGTACGTAAAAATTTTTGTGACGTCAGAAATCTAAAAAAAAAACTATGAAATACCAGCAGCAAGAACAAAGCATAAGGCAACAAAAATATAAGAAAGACGTTAAAAACCTATGCGGAAAACAACTCACAGGACAAAACAAAAATTGAAAATTTTACATTTTAAACAAGAAAAAGAACATTTTCTTAAATCAAGCAATATGAAAAGAAATAATTAAATCGAAAAGAAGCCATACCAAGTTGTTCAACTATTTTAAACCAACAGTTCAGCAAAGAAAATGATATACAAGAAAACATACATATATACATAAACATCAATTAAATACATACATACTTATTATAGAGCCAGCATAAGGAATATTAATTAATCGACAACAACCACAAACAATGTTCAGGTCAAAAACTGCATTTAAAAGGAGAAAAAAAATTAAGGACACCCTTGTTAGGCGGTAAATTAAATGAAATGCTCTTTTTATATACAAATATATACACATGCATATATATATATATATTTATATATATAACATATATATAAATATACATATTTAACAAATTGCAATTACCCAAAACAAACAAACCATCAAACACAAAATAAAAAGCAACTTAAAAATGTTGTTGGCACAGCGACAAACACACAACAAACTTTTATAAATCTAACATAATTATACTACACAAAATACAAAAATCACAACACTCATATGTACATGCGAACAGTTGTGGGCAAAATAATTTTAGTGCCATTAGATTTCGAAATCTTAAATAAAATTTACATTTTAAAATGATTTTTTTATTCGTATTCAAGGGTTTAGGTATGATAGATTATTTGTACCATGATATTAGGTCAAAGACTTGCCAGAACATACTATTTTAAATTTGTATTACAAATTTAAAGCTGTACGCACCATGTCCACACTATTATTTTGACCACAGCTGGGCACACAAACGAATTGAAATAGGAAAGACAAAGCAAGCTAAAACTGAAAACACATTTATTCTTTCTGCTGTGCAGATGCAAATAAAACAAGGAATAAACCACTTCAACTATGTTGAAAAATTGCAACACGCACACACAACACAATCGCCAATCCTCCGTCTCTTTCGCTGTCTTACTCTGACTATATCGCTGTCTCGCTCTGAACAATTCACCCACCACCCACACTTCCGTTGTAGTTTGCACTGGGAAATATATTAGCAAAAGTTAACACTCGAGGAGAAAAGTAAGTTAAGGAAATGTTTAAACAAAATCAAGCAAAAGGTCCTGTTCTCCTGTCCTGTAAATACTTATATATATATACGCTCAATATAATTCTATATAACTAAGTAGTAGTTACCACTGTGACTGTTTGTGTGTGTGTGTGCGATGTTTGCAATTGTTTTAAATTTTTTTTTTTGTGTAATTCGAAAAGCAAAAATATTTCGATGTTTCATATGTAGTGTAATGTAGAGTAGCTGAGTCTATGCGATAAGGCCAAAATAGATTTTAAAGCGCGGTAACAAAGCCAAGGATAATGAATCCGTGGGAAAATACCAAACGAAAATTGCAGGAATGTAGGCGGGAAGGTGTTTACTAAAACCATTTACATTCTAAAGCAAAGAGGAAATTATCAAATAACTAAAATCAAATGCAATTAAACACGAAACGTGTATGATAACGAAAATAAAGACAAAAACAAAAGTGTTTTCACGTTTTAGCCATTAAATAAGGGGGACGAAGCGCACTTTTTCGTACTTTAACTGACGCAAAAAAAAAACAATTTATTAATGATATTAAAAAGGGTAGAACGAGAGCAAGCAGCTATGTATTCCAATCTTAAATAGTAAACGAGAAACTAAGACAAATTTTAGAAAAATCAGTTTTTACATAAGGTTAAGACAGATGACACTTCTGGTTTTTCCTTTTAACTACCATTTTCTCCCATTTCCCGCCCACAAGTCCCACAACCGAACCGCGCAAAGAATTCAAAATCCTGTTGACACATTTCAGTGCATATTATATAATGCATATATACATATATAAATAAACCAACAAATATATTACATAAATACATAATTATTGAAATAACGATATAAGTCTGTAAATTTGTTAACATTTCTTAAAGCAAACACAAAGCTCAAGTCAGATCAATCAAGAGCAAAACAAAAATTTAGAAATCGACACCCAGAAGTTGTAGCTACGCCGAAATAAAATTATACAAGAGAAAAATCTTAAAATACGCAAGTACGGGCCACTGTCGTTAAATCATCCAAAACGTGTGAAATATATAGAGTGCAGATCGGTCGGTCAACGCGAATCGAAAACGAAACAATTGTTGAAAGCGGCCGCTTTAAAATCAAAACAAAGAAAAGGAAAACAACACAGAAAAAAGTAAATAATTATATAACAGTTGTGAACAAATTATATTTACATAGCGTATAAATAAATTGCATAACAATTGATTAAATTACTGAAGAGAAAAAAGCGTTTTATTTCCGTTATTAGTTTCTTCATTTCCAACTGACAAATAAATTCAAATCCGATAGGAATCGATAGGAAATTGATAAGAGTGCTGCCCATGCGTTATACCAGGCGTTAGTGACTTTTCTTTAGTGGGCCTTCTCACAAAGCGATAGTGCATTATAACCCGGCAGCTTTTACCATCTCTAGAAAACAAAAACAAAGCGAAACACTGCAAGCTGGAAATTTATTAATAAATATTTAAATAATGGAGCCAAGTACTATGCAATACGATGTTAGCAGGTTCAAAACCTTGTTTGTCACCAGGGATGAAGGGCAAGAGGAGATCTCAAACATGGTCTTTAGATCCGAATTCTATGATGAGGAGTTGGCATTGGAACGGGAAGAACAGGAGCTTGAGGAACGAAATCTGAGTAACCAGCAATCACTGGGTGGTAATGTAAAGACACTTCACAAAAAATCCAATATGTACATAAATGCAACAACCACTTTAATTCATAAAAACATATTCCGTTTCCTTTTTTTAAAACCCAACTTTTCACTTTACTCCTCCCGCCAGGATCCGCATCCTTTATCTGCAGGCACTGTCCAGAGGTGTTCTTCAGCAAGAAAGATTTAACCGCCCATCGTCCCATTCACCGGTTGAAAAGTAATAAGCGAAAACCCACATCCGGATTCCCCTGCGACATCTGCGACAAGGTCTTTCAAAGACGCAACGCCCTCGCGGATCACATGAATGGTCACAACGGGGTACGGAACTACCCATGCCCGGAGTGTCCAGCTCGCTTTGTGCAGCGCAGCAACAGGGATTGCCATCTGAAGAGCATCCACCTGAAGACATATCTGCACTCCTGTACGGAGCCGGGATGTAGAAGACGTTTCAAGCAAAAGCGGGAACGAGACCAGCATGTGAAAACGGTCCATCGGAAGGAGAGAAACTTCGTTTGCGAGATCTGCACGGCTAGCTTCAGTCATCCCATTAACTACAAGAAACACTTGGCGTCCCATACTGCTGAGAAGCAATATAGTTGTCACATTTGTGGCAAATTTTTTGGGCGGCCTGAAAACCGGGATATTCACCTCTTTGTCCACAGTACAAGTAAGGCATATGTCTGTTCCGTTTGTGGTGCAGATTATATGCGACGCAATCAATTGATTCGTCATAGTTCAGAGAGTGGCCACCTCAACGACCGGATTGTACGACAGAAGCCTCAGTTTAGCCCCGCCTTTGCTAGGAAACCCTTTGCTAAAGATCAGGTTCCAAAGAAATCCTATCAGGAGAAAAAAGCTCGGGAGGAAATTACACAAGAAAATCTGCAAGATGCACAAGGAGAGCAGTTTGTGGATGCGGAAGAAATTCCTAAAATATTTACAGAAGAAGAGGAGCCATTTGATCAGGTCTGCATAATGTGAGCGGATAAAAGGTAATTGGCCTTAAAAATACAAAAGAGGAAAAATAATCAGGTTAGTTCGTTTAAGACACAAAGTAATAGATGTTAGGTAAAGTTAAAATAAGAATCGAAACTGAAATATTGTTATATATTACGTTATTAATATATCAATGAAATAATCTATATAAGAAATCAAAAGCTAATTAAAATCTTAGGATCTTGGAATTATGCTTTATGCGGAAATAATCATTTACGAATGATATAAAAATAAACAATTATTACCGTATGCAAGACATGTGTTAAAGACGTCAGGTGAAAAATAAAAAATAAGCGAATGAAAAGTGAATGTCGTTTTGCTTGCACTTCAATAAAAAATGTGAAATGGATTTTGTGGTCCCAACTGCCCCCAGCCCTTGGAGTAGGTTGAAAAGTAACAACATTTAGGTGTATAACCCATACATATACAAATCAGAATGGGAAATGAAATTATTTAACACCTCTTTAATGGTTCATTTCGCTGTTAATGGTTAATGGTTACTGATTTTTTACCACAACTTCGCACTCGATATCAAAATTTGATTGATTAATCGTCTCTGTTGTTAGCTTATCGATAACCAATGGGTGACCACAAAGCCGAGATAAGTATATCTTTCATCTCACTCCCTCCATTGTTACACCTGTCGCTTTTTTTTAACTCTTTGTTAACTGGCATAGAAAATTATCTAATTTATTGTTGTTGTTAGCCTTTCGATTGTTGTGCCTGAATGAACTTGTCGAGAGAGTTAGGCTACCAAAAAGAAATAAAGAAGATTGCCCAAAGGGGCTTACGTAAGCCATGACCCTGTCCAATGATATTTTACCTCAACAGGTTCATTGCTTCTTTGAGTTCATTATTCAGCGTGGGTTACATGATATATAGTAGAGGTATTTCATTTTTTTTTACTTTCTTTTCAGTTAAAGATTAAGTAGTTTTGAATATTGTAAAATTGCGCTGCTAATAAGCTTTACCTATATATTTTACTTAATGTTTTCGGCTCCCTTTTTATTATGACGAACTTTTGTGCCTACTCAGAGACGAACAATATAATATGTATACAGATGATTCCCATAACAGCGGATAAAGAAATACAATACCATGAACTTCAGAAGGTTGGAAAAAATATTTTAAGTTTGCGATGCGTTTTCTATTTGCCTCTTTAGTCACGTTCCTGAGTGAACTCTGGGCACTTCCGCGACGGAAGTCTGATACAATTAGGCACTCAACTTTACGTTTGAGCGTAGGTCAACTCACTCCAGAGAGAAACAGATCCCCTGGTATGATTCACTAAGCCGTTCCGATCGGTGTCTATCAAGCTGTCATCCTTTCACTTTCGTTACGTTGCGCTGCGTCTTGATTTTTTTGATGTAGGTCAGCGACTGCAGGATCAAATGCCCAAACTGGTTGGGCGAATCGCGAAGATTGTGCAACAGAGATTGGAATGGGAAATGGGATTAAGTTAAAGTTATCAATTATATTGAGGTGAGTCGGGGAGTGCGTTCACCATCCATCATCCTGAGGTAAATGGTGCAACTGGGAGATGTACAACTGGGCTATGCAGATGGAGGAAAGTCATTCGGAATCAACTTAAATACATTTTTGGTAAATTGATGCCCTGCTAACACTACTCACAGCACTTGTAATGAAAGACTTCATTACCATTTTTCTTTGTAGGCGGTTTTGGATTAGACCCCCTTTTTTATATTTTTCTTGTAAGTTTTATCTTAATCTAAGTTTCCAAGCCAAGGTGGAGCACACTGATTTTTGAGTCAGATTCAAACATGTCTCATTCTCATAGAGACAACACTTTGATTATATATTATTTGTAAATTTTTAAGCTATTCAGAAAGTAATACTGGCATTAATATGGATGCTCTCAGTAAGGGGAACCAGTTCGACCTGGAGATGAATGAGCTCGTTAAAATGTTTGCAAGCATACATGTTTCAGAGAAGAAATCGGTGATAACTTTGAAAGTGAATGGAGACTTGGAGCTGATCGAAGAGAATCTGGAGCAGGCAGAAAAGAATCTCGATCGGGCGGATGTGGACTTGAATCAGAGGAACGAGTTCGACCAGAAGATGGATGAGCTCTTGAAAATGTTTTCCAGCTTAAACATTTCAGAAAATAAATTGGTGCTAATTGTGAAGGTCGATGAGAACTTGGAGCAGATGGTTGAGAATCTGGAACAGACGGAAAATCTGGATCTGGGTGTGAGTTTGAGTCAGACGGATGTGAGTCTTGAACATACGGTTCCGAATCTTGAGCAGATAATTGAAAATCTGGAGCCAACAATTGCAAATAATGAGCAAGTAGGTGAGGAGACAGAAGACGGACAGACGAACGAGAGTCTGGAGCGGAAAGTGGAAAATCTACAGATCGAAAAATCTACGGATCTGCAGCCAAAGGAAGAAAATCCGGAGCAGACAGATACTAGTCCTGTGAAACATTCCGAAGAGAACAGGCTAATCGAGCAGGCTTTGCTAATGGCCGCTTCCCTTACGATGACCAGCACCCTCAAGATGTTTAAGAAGTTCGCCTTTTGGTCCACGCAGCCGGTGGTCCAGATAAAGGAAAAGGTGACACTCAATAAATGGATCGAACCGAAACGGAAGATTACTGAGATCCGGGTGGAGCCATACCAACTGCCTTCTGGTTTCATTTGGTCAACTGTGGATTTGGATAATAGCGAACAGCTCGAGGAGCTTCACACGTTCCTTAAGGACAATTATATTGAGGATGACCGCAACCTCTTTCGTGTGGACTGTCAGCCGGAGTACCTGAAATGGGCCCTGAAACCGCCGGGCTGGAAAATCGAATGGCATGTGGGTGTGCGGGTGGGTATGAACGGTGCTTTGGTAGCCTTCATTTCGGGTATACCCTCCAGTTTGTGGTGTCACGACAAGGTGATCAAAGTGGTCGATGTCAACTTTATGTGTGTCAACAAGCAGCTGCGACACATGCGAGTGGCGCCCATTTTGATCCGCGAGATTGTACGTCGATCCAATCTAGAAGGCATTTTTCAAGGACTCTATTCCGCCTCCATCCTGCTACCGACGCCAGTTAGCACCTGTCGCCTCTGGCACCGCTTCCTCAATGTCCAGAAGCTGGACGAAGTGCGCTTCTCGGCGCTGCCCCGCAACATTACCCAGTGGCGCGGGGTCCAGACATACAAGCTCACCTCACATACCGCTACGAAGGGGTATCGCCCCATTCGCGAAGAGGACATGGATCAGGCTTACAGACTGCTCCAGGACTACTTGGAGAGCTTTGAAATGTGCCCGATTTTCAACGGGGCTGAGTTCAGGCATTGGTTCACTCACAGACCAGGTGTTGTCGAGTGCTTTGTGGTGGCGGATGCCAACGGCCTGATCACCGATCTGGCCAGTTATCTTTGTCGTACCACGACGGTCCTAAACCACCCGGTGCACAAAAGCGTCCGCACCGCCCACTCCTTCTACAACGTGGCCACAAAGACGCCCTGGGTCGAGCTAATGAACAATGTGCTCGTCTCGGCCAAAAATAGCCAGATGGACCTGTTCACTGTTCTCGATGCCATGGATTGCAAAAAGTTTGTACGCCCTCTAAAGTTCGCACTTGGAGACGAAAAGTTCTACTACTACCTGTACAACTGGCAATGTCCACCAATTGATTCCAAAAATATTGCCCTGACACGCTTGTAACAAGAACTCCTGTGATCCTTTCTTATCGAGCCATTTTCAATTACTTGGTATAACCTTTACAAGTATATATTTTTAACCGTTAATCTTTTTCCTTTGATCACCAATGTGCGCAGCCAAAGGCAAGGGGATTGCCAATTCAAGTTGGTTCACAGTGCTTGGGTTTTGTGTGGATCGTTTTGGGCTTATTGTCATTCCAGCGGCGCTTGGCTCGATTCACTCCCACTGCTGCCCCACCTCCTCTTACTTTGATATAGTTTCATGCATCAAATGCGAATCACAATTTTCAAGCGAAATCCGAAATCGAACAAATCCGTAATCACAAATCAGAGAAAGAAAACTGCCAAAAACGGCGACGTGTCCGGCATTTCAAACGGGTGGGACAACAAATCCGAAGAAAAAGTGTCTGAGAAACTTTCATTTCGCTTTAAAATGAAACAATGTATGCCAAAGCCTAATTAATATTTCAATTTTCAAGTATTTAGCTTTCTAGATCATAAATGTAAAAATTGGAAAAATAAAGTTAGTTTTACCTTGAAGAATACACCTGCGTTTGCGACCTTCTGGATTTCCCACCCCACAAGTCTCCCAAGATTCTTCGTTTCTATTTATCTTTTTTATTGGTTATTCTTGGCTTACAGTAGACAATAGATAGGTATAAAAAAAATAAAGACGACTCTAGGACCTAAAAATAGTATAATAATTTAATGGTATCCATGGGATGATGAGGCCGGTGGACCGTAGCTACTGGCAGGCGGTAAGTAAGTGGCCTCGGGTTCGAAAATGGGCGTGGCCGAGTCACCGGACTGCCCGGGTGGTCCGTAGAGCTGCGCCGAGTAGTCGTAGCCTGGCGAAGAAGGAGCCTGTAGGAACGGAGAGCTGGGCGTGGCGTAGTCGTAGCCGGAAATGGAGTTGGACCCGGACTCGTGCTTGGCCCCCAAAAAGGCGCTTGGCTTGAATGGCACCTTGGAGAGCTCTAGGTCGTGGCTAGGTGTCGCGGAATGGGAGGCGCCTAGGACGTCGGTGTGAAGAGCCTGGGGCTTGCTGGCCGTGTAGCTAAAGTGTCCCAATCCCTTGTGGCCTAGGGCATACACAGGGGTCTCCCTCTCCTGATCCCGCTCTGCCTTTTGCTCCTGCTCGAGGACCTGCACTTGCACAGGCTCCTGCAGGGACTCCTGGTGATCGTAGCCGGGAATAAGGGGAACACCGTAACTGCTCAGGGGAACTCCCTTGCCAAAGGGCGTGGCTGGGGCATCGTAAGAGTAGCCAGCATGCTCTTCTGCTGGCTGAGGCAACGGGTGCTGGGCGAACAACGCTCCTCCTCCGACGGTTCCTCCTCCTGAGGAGTGACCCAGTCCCAATGCGTGGCTCAGTCCGTGCTCCAAGGCGTGCTCCAGGCCGTGGTCTAAGCTTTGATCCAAGCTGGGTCTGTGTCCGTGACTGGGTCCATGGCTGGTCTGGTGGCCAATGCCATGGCCAAAGCCGTGACTGTAGCCGTGGCTGACGTAGCTAGGCCTGTGCACTGGTCCCGATCCATAGCCGATTCCGTGACTGCTTCCACCATGACTGCTACTGCTGGCGAACTCGGGAGTGGCCACAACATAGGTACTAGTTTTGTGGCTGTTACCCAGAAGATTCAGATAAGATCCAGCAGAGGATGGTGCATACTTGTAGCCCAATCCGGATCCGTGGGAATGCCCGTGTCCGTGACTTGTTCCGTGTCCAATTCCGTTTCTTATTCCATGCCCCTGAGCATGGTAATTGTGAGCAGAACCCAAACCACCGGTAGTTTGAACAATATAGGTTTCTATTTTGGGACTTCCACTGATGTCATTATGATGGGGTCTTCCGTGACCACTAGAACTGACGTAACTGGGACTCCCGGAATGTCCGTAATGATGGCCGATACCGCTTTCGCCCTCGGAGTGACTGGCGTAACTGGAGTAACCACCGGAGCCCAAGGAGTTTCCATGGAAACTGCCAAAGTTCAAGCGGTTCTCGTAAGCGGGCGGCAGATATTTGTGGGAGGGGCCGTGATAGCTTGAGATTCCGCCATAGCTCAATCCCGCGTCTCTTTTGAGCTTGGAAGACGAATTAGCTTCTGAAGCGGAAGAAGTAGCAACGGGATCGGAAGTAGTTGTTGTGGCAGATGCCAAAAAGAAAAGGCAGCAGCTTAGCAAGGCCACTACTAACGGTATTCCGGCGAATTGCATGGTACACAAAAAAAAAAAACACAAACAAAATCGAAATCGTAGAATTAATTGTTATCCTTTGATCCCTGGTCGTCCCTGTGGCTCGCGTTTGGATCGATAAAAAGACGCGACTCAACTCGCTGGCGTTGGCTTTATGTTGAAGACCTCTGAACGGCGAACCTTTTATACTTTTTATAGCCACCACTCAAAACTCCATTCAAAACTCCAAAATCTCTGTCTTTGCTTTTGGCCATTGCTCTCTCTTGGCCATACCCCTCTCGTTTACTCTTTCACGCACACGCATGCGAAAAGCAACGGTATTCGGTTTCGCTTTGTGTGTGCCGCCGACGCCGACTGCGCTGCAACCTTTTGCTCATTTACTTTACTCTTACTCTCGATGGCCCAACAGTGGAGCAGAAATAAATTTTAAATATATTTAAAATTCATATTGTATATGCATATTCAGTTTTATTGGTAACTACTTTAGCAGTTTTATTGGTAATAACTTAAGCATACATTAACGTAAGTCTCTAAATAAAGCCTAAGCCACGACTGTCTGTCGTCGTGTAGCGACGAAACATAATAATTTTAAACCAATAAAAATAGTAAAACACTTGCTCATGTCGTGAAATAAATTTGTAAGGTTTTTTCAATAGTTTGATCTTGAGATGAAATGACAGCTACTGTTCCGAATTATCGATAACATTGCTCTCTTTTCCTCATTTGTTCTTTTAGCTCAGTGGCGTGCGCAGCTTAAAATTTGCATAACCACAAAATTGCTTAAAGATTGATTTTAAATAACTATAAATAGTAAAATACTGCTCGGGATCCCAGAAATGTTGGAGAATATAACGTTTTAAATGCGGAACACGAGTTTTTCTAAATGCGGAGCAAGAGTTTTCCTAAATGCGCAGCAAAATGATTGACCGGAGCAAACCTAACCTCAAAATGGCAAGCACATGTGAAGACAAACGCGCTAAGTATGAAGTTAATTTCGGTTAAATTAGTGTTTTACTCGTTTAACTTCTATTGCAGGCGACTTTTTTGTGGATATAGGTTGTTTTACAGTTACGGAAAGCAATAACAGGATATCAACGTATTTTTCTTCCTCCCCCGCCCCCTCGCCATATACGAGAAATATGAAAAACAAAATGGAGGCAAAGCTATGCAAAAAAGAAGGATTAGTGATGGTAAAATATCCGATATTATACACATGCATGGGTAGAGCAATAATCACCGCCAAAATTAAATCATGTAAGTATTTATTATTGTTTACCTTTATTATATTTTAAAAATGGCTAACAGCACAGAATAAGTGGTTTAAATCAATTTACATTTGTGATCCCGAAATTTTTTTGTAGCAAATATTTAACAGAAACTTGATAAAAAAAAGGAAAAATTTTATTTAGTTGATATTAAATATAAAATGCTAAATCCATTTTTTTCCCTACCCCCTCAACTGATCTCTGCTCACTGTGCCAGAGTTACCCACTTGACAGCGCCACTCAAGTTCAAGTGACACTTTTTAATATCACATGTCGGCCCGAACACGCCCCCTTGTCATCCTCATTTGGCCAACGTTCGTGGTTGTTGTTTTTGTCTGTTTTCCGTACTACCTTTGCCCATTTTCCCCTTCTCTTCTGCCTTACTTATCACCTCAGTTTATGCGTAAATTGCATTTAATTCACAGCAACACGCCTCTTTCTTAGTTTGCTTTCCCCCTCTTTTCACTTTTTGCACCTCTCTTTGCCCCGTTCAACATGTAAATGTTGTTGTTTTTTCAGCTGCGCAATTTTTTTTGTAATTCGGAAAGCGATTTGTTTTGCCACCGTTCGGGATCTTAATTTGGGACTTTGCTGTGGATGATGATTTGGCAATAGTTTCAGGTCTTTCCTGCCCCTTAGGTCTGTCACCCTCTCGTCCCTTCAGTGGTGACCCACGGCTAACAAATGGACTTGGCCCGAAACTCAGACGATGTATCTGCATGTGGCCAACATTTGTTTGCTATTAATGATGTGCACCTTGCCCCACACTCCACCACTTTTTTTCCTGGTGTACTTTGCCCGTGGCAACCTTAACTTCTTCTTACAAATTTATTTGACAAAAATAAGAATGCAATAGTTTTTTCTTCATATGAAGCTTACATGCGTTAACTATTGTATTTTAACTTAATTTTCTGATTCCCTAGCGGTTTGTTTTCGCTTTGTGCCCGTTTGTTTCACGAAAAGAGTCGTGCTGGCGCATAGCTTTTAGTTGATGTAATTACCTGGCACCCTCTAAGACACTGCCAAAGACGATTGCGCAATTCGCCAGCCAAGGTCACACCTGCTACGTCGATCGAGTTATAATTTCGCCGATTTACGGCTTGTGCGAGCCGAGACAGCTGTAATTGAGGCATTTGAAAGCGGGAACAAATTGCTAGAGATTCAAAATCCGCCTATGGTAAAAGTCGGCGGCTTTTAAAACCGCCGCTTCCAACAGTGGGCGAGTCATCGCCGGCAATTCATTACATTACCCTAGACCCACACTTGGACTTTAATTTGGTCTGGGAATCGGACCAAGGACTGGGACTTGAACTTGGTCTTAGACCTCCCGAGAATTTATGTACACGCGTGGAAAGAACCTTTTTTGATCCGTTAAGGAGCAGTGAATCAACATAAAAGGAGAGCTCAGATCTAGTTTAAATGGTTGTTTTTAATGTATTTTCGGCATACAAAATTTAATAGCAAACAAATTTTTTGTTATCTAGCTTAACTCTGAACTATATTATAAGAATTACTGGGAGAAAGATAGACATAGCCTAGTGGACCACCTCCTCCTCCGAATCCTTTAGAGTCACTTGGCTGCTCCGATTTCTCCGCCACAGGTTTATTGTAGGAGTCGACAAGAAAGGGGGGTTCCGCCAGTTGATGCTGTGGCTGATGGTCTGGAGATCTTATACCCTGCTCATTACCACCATCTTCGTCATCCGTGTAGCCGACGAATTGTGATGGCCTGAACGGCAGGCTAAAGTGTCCTGCCTGTGGAGGTGTTGCTAAGGGATAAGCTTGCAGCTGGGGCGTAAATAAACCCACTAGAACGGACTGCTGTGGATATTGCCCTTGTGTGGTTGATTGCTGATATGGCTGTTGCATAATATACTGCTGCTGTAGCTGCTGTTCCAGTTGATCTTGTTGTTGATTTTGTGGAAACGTTTGAGGACCAGTGTAACCTTGGCTTATTTGGGAAATTCCCGCCAAAGTTGACAAAGGTTTGGCTGTGGGCAGGATCAAAGGTCGCCAGGGCATTGAATAGAGCCATGCGGGATGAAGGTGTATTCCAGCTTGCTGCTGATGCTGCCGCTGTGCCCTTATTAAAGCAAAACAGCCGACCAGGATCAGGACGTGGAGTTGGTTTACCTTGAACATGCTGCCGAAGATGATTGTCTGTTGCAAATGCTTGAAGTGGCCCTAACACCTAGCCCATATATATGAAAAAGCCTTCATGTCATTCGATATCTTTGGTTCCGCTGTAAAAGATACATTGGACTTCCATCTTTTCCTTTCGGTTACGCAACCTGGCATCCAATTGCCCGTCACCGCTTGATTGTCCATCGCCGAAAACTCCCAATTCTATTAAACTCTATAGTTTTATTAAACCTCATTTTGATTAAATGATTTTTTGGTTTTTGAAGCTTGCGAAAACAATGTTGCAATGCTGCAAGTTTGAAAATTGCTCCTGCTGTCGTCGTCGTGAACGACGTCGACGTCTTTTCTGCGATCAACAACCCATGTAACTGATCTGCAGACTTGGTTTTCGCCGCCCTTCGAACGCAACAATTTCCACTTGAGGTATTTCTCAGATTAGCTGTCAGTTGCACACAGAAAAAAAGTATACGATATGATATTCAAAACATCAATATGATATTTTAGTTTTTTTTATATTTCGAAAGAAAAAGAATTACTTAAATAAAATAATTTAATTTCAGCAAAAGCTGTAAATAGTTCAGTTATATGTATGCTTCGTCAACCTGTCGTCCATGGGCTTTTTTTTAATAATTTTTTCTGCAACACTTTAATTAAATCTATTGTCAAATTCCTTGCCTTTCGTATAACAATTTGCTCACTAAAAATGAAAGTGGCGCCGTGTTAAAATGGCATATACCAGTTTGCCCTCAGTTGGTTTTGCTGCTGTCAGATTTTCATAGTGCCGCTGTTCATTGATCACTTTCGCACGTCGGCAACATTTCAATTCCGCTGACTCGACTTGATTGAAACCAAAGCATGAACTTTGTTACGTTAATGTCCCAGAAATAGAGCCTCAGACTGGGCTGTAAATGCAATATTTTCTTAATTGCTGTTGGCTTCCTGAGGCAAAGAAAGTTGAGGTATTCCTACCGTACTGCTATGTTGTTGTTGAAGTCATGGGCGTTCTGTTTGTTTAACCTTCACTTGGACAGCGGAAGCCGCTGGAAAATACTGAGTCGTCTCTAATTTGGTGGCCCTCCAATCGAGTTTAATTTGCTGCGACGGCAGCAACATAAACATAAACAAATAAGTATGAGAAAATTATAAAATTCTCGTAATTATTTCTGAAAATCATAATCAAATTAGCTACGCTCCCAGTTGGCCAGCTTTGAAGGTTTAGCTGTTTCCCGTTTGGAATGATATCACTTGGGCACGAAATACACACTATAATTTTTATAAATAGACAACATAACAATAGTCACTATTGGATTACTTTTTGTTGAACAAAAGAAACAAAAACACGAAATATTGTTTTACCATACTTTATTAAACTAAAAAAAAATGTTTTCAGTAATCTGTACAATCCTTTTTGATGGAATTTGAATTTCCGACCAAATCCTTTAAAAAAAAAAATGCAAATGTTGAATATGTTACTTTGAGAATGGACTTCTTAACTATGCTCGGGATTTTTGATTCAATTGTGAAATATGTGGTATGAACAAATATCCGAAACGTTGGTTTTAGTAGTAGGGTGGCTGAAACTCCCGGCTGGGATGGGTTAAGCCATTTTTGGAGGATTGCAAAGGTTGGGGGGAGTGCAAATATGGCGGGGATACGGCATGGGCACTAGCCGAGTATTGTCGTTTGCCAATTATTTCCTGCTGGGATTCATGTTGGCGGTGTTCCTCGTTTTGGGGCCAATCCCTTTGAGTGCTTTGAGTGGAGGGTAATTGGTACGATTGGGATTGCATCTGAAGGAAATCAGAGGAGGCTCCATCAAGAGCACTACCGTGATAACTCCCGTGTGAACCACTTGATGCTGGTGAACCGCTCAGCTGATGGTCATGCTGTCGCTGACCCAAAGATGAAAGTCCCGAAGGCGAGGAGAATAACTGTTTGCGGTAGACGTTTGGCAAAGATTGGGTCAGCAGACGAGTGTCCAAAGCATCCAAACCAATAAATTGATCGTTGTCCAAATCGCTTGAGAGCGTGTAGCTTGGAACCAACTTCACATCTTGTCCGGGAGAAGGGATCGTCTTTTGACTATTGGCGTGGGCCTCAGCCGAAGGGAGTCTGTCCAGGTCAAGCTCACGAATTGGTTGCCAAAGGTTACCAGGCAGAGGACGCCGTTGCTCATAGCGATTGGGTTGCTCCTGCTGCTGTTGGTGTTGCTCAGGTTGCTGCTGCTGCAAACCGTAACCCTGGTGATGCTGAGGATGCTGAACCGAGCTCCAGGACTCTACTCTCTGATGTTGCTGGTGACCCAATTTATGCTCAGGTTGCTGTTGCAAGCCGTAACCCTGGTGATGCTGAGGATGCTGAACCAAGTTCCAGGACTCTACTCTCTGCTCCTGCTGTTGCTGGTGACCCAATTTATGCTCAGGTGGCTGTTGCAAACCGTAACCCTGGTGATGCGGCCTTTGAACCGAGTTCCAGGACTCTTCTCTCTGCTCCTGCTGTTGCTGGTGACCTAATTCATGATGGTGTTGCTGTTGCAAACCGTAACCCTGGTGATGCGGCCTTTGAACCGAGTTCCAGGACTCTTCTCTCTGCTCCTGATGGTGCTGGTGACCCAATTCATGATGGTGTTGCTGCTGCGGATGAGCAGGTTCGGAATAGTGTTCGTTGGGCTGACGACCAGAACCGTGATGATGTTGCGCGTGAAGATGTTGCTGCTGTTCATGCTGTTGCTGGTGACCTAATTCATGATGGTGTTGCTGGTTATGGCCTAAGCTCTGATGTTGCTGATAGTTGGAGCCTTCGCTGTGTGCCTGGCGGTCAGAGTTTTGTTGAGGTTGCTGCTGTCCCAAGCTCTGATATTGCTGGTTGGAGAGCACCGACTGCCAAGAGTCACTCTCCTCCTGCCTGTGACGCTGTGTCTGCGGTTGCTGACGCTCTTGATGCTGCTCCGGACCATGTGACTGCTGCCACTCCTGGTGACTATGATGTTGCTGCTTTTCCTCCTGTGGGCGATGCGAGTCCCTGTTGCTGCCATCCGAAAGCGGTTCCTCCGATGGCAGATATTTGTGGGCGGGTCCATTATAGCGATAGCCATTTCTGTTGTTGTTGGGCCTTTGCTGGGGACCAACTACAACCGCCTGTATGTAGGAAACCCCAAGAAGGGCAAGGAGCACAACGAGCTGGCAAAAACATATCCATTACTGTAGGGAAACTGGAAGAAGAAAAGGATTAACTTTACTTACCCTGACAGCTTTCAGCTTCATCTTTGATTTTGGGGCTTGAAAGTTGAATGAGCAATGACTAGCTGTAGCCAACTGAAAATAGTTTTTATACCCACCAACGGCCAGCAGTGAGTAGCTACATGATCTTGAACAAAATCTGTGCGTGAGCGGGGGCCGAATTTGAGCTACAAAAAATAGACACAACGTTGCCGCTGGGCAAAAGTCTCCGAAATCTCACGTAGCTAAATATTTGAAACTCTGAGCCATTTACAAGAGATTCGTTTGAATCTCTTATCATTTTCTAGACACAACCAGAACGTTAAATTGGCGGATGTACTTACTTTTTAGTCTGAATTTAATTTGGAAATCAGTGGCATTACTTTTACTTTGACTTACACAATTCGAGGTTAAAGCTTTGAATCTCTCTCAGTTTTTTTTTTTTGGGGTTGTGGGCGGTTGCCTTACACTTACTGATGGTTTAATGAAAGCAAAAGTGCGAAGCAAAACAAAAAGGCTAAAACAAAATATTCAACGCATTGGGTAACCTTAGCTTTGCTGTATTTCGTTCGATATTGATGTAGAAAATTCGGTTTTTTTCGAATAAATATCGCTTTTGAGACTTTATTCTCTTTGCTTTAAACAGCACTTACTCTTTTTCGTTCGTAATTTTATTTATTATTATTTTAATTTGCGTAATTTGTTATCGCTTTTCTATTTGGCCACTCTCCCAGCAGTTGGCCGCACAATAAATAATCATACTTTATATACTTAGGCTCTAACAAAAAAAAGAATAGCATATACAATCAACCATGCATTAAACTCTGGCATTAAATCAGCTAAGAGGGGAAAATGAGGATTAAAGGGATGGGCTTATTCGAAAGGAGTTTATTTTTTTAGAGGGGCAACTATTTTGGCGGAGGCCTTAGTGCCAGACTGGCTTCCAAGTCCTTTACCTCCGATGCCCGCAGTTGCTTCTTGATCGCTTCTTGTCTCGGATGGGCTCCTCCGCCACGTTTTCCTCGCTTTCCGCTTGCCGCCCCCGCGCCACCCACTGGGACAGCCACGCCTCCTGAAACTCCACCTCCACCTCCTCCTCCGCCTCCCGCCTGACCTCTGACTTTGTAGGTATGCTGATAACCATAGCCCTCGGGATTGTTATTAAATTTCGGACTATAGCTATCATATTCGAGACTCGCATGCTTGTTGTTGTACGTGTGGGCGTGGCCATGGGCGTACTGGTGGCCGTGGCTATGTGTGTGCGCGTGGGCGAGACGTAGAGGCTGTTGCTCCAGCCAGGGATCATGATCATCCAAAGCGGGCTCCTTTTTTAAGACATAATGAAAGGGATACCCCTCCTCGTTAAGAATAAGTTTGGATTCATTTTCCCCCTCAGCCTCCGGTTCGGCAAAGTAACCGGAGTAGCCCTTATAATCCGGATGTAGTTCCCCGGATGCGGTTGCTTTTAGTTTATGGCGATATTCCTGCAGGGCCGCCTCCTTGGTTTTGTAGGGTAAAGCATTGATATCGTGATAGATTTCCGAGTTAAAGTACAGTTTGTGAGGCTTTCCAGAATTCGTAAGCCTTTCCTGATCTTCCCGTGAATCGCGTTCTCGTTCCCTATTGTCCCGTTCCCGTTCCCGCTCCCGTTCTCTTTCCCTTTCCACCCGATCGGGTGTGGGTACAACGTGTGAGAGATCGAATTCTTCTATATTTTTCAGCGCCGCACCGTGATCAAAATGCTCGGCACTCTTCAATGGCAGGGTATAGGGCTTGGAAACAGTTTTTACCGTAGCCGTTTGCAGCGGAGCTCTGGTCTTAATCTTATAGATGAACTCCACATTGGGACTCAGTTCATCAACAGGTAAATCGGGTGCCTGATAGGCCGTTTCCGTTTCGGACTGATAGTGCTGAATGGGTATCGAATTGCTCGCCGATGAACTCCTCAGTTTCCCAGCTATTGGGTGGTGTTGTAGGTGTTGTATTTGCTGCTGGTGATGCACCTGTTGTTGATGGTACACCTGCGGCTTCGGATGATGCTGTTGCTGTTGTTGTTTCGTCGTTGGTGCTGCCGTATATTTTGGTCGCATTGTACTGCTACTGAAGCGCTTTTCCTCCGAATGTGAAGAGGGAATGGATCCGGAAACTCCAGATGAAAGCGTCTGGGTTTTGTAGTAGGTCTTGGTGATGGCCGGTGGTGGCGGTGGCGGCGGGGGCGTGGCCGGTTCCTGGGCCGTACTTATGATTTTCCCCTCTGCCTCCAGTTCCTTCATGTACTTAATCACGGACTTTTCAATCTGTTTCATAATCTCTGATTTCGGGATTTCCGTGGAGGCAGAGACTCTGACTTTTTCTTCGGCCTCAGCCTCCAGATTTCTGTACACTTGCGGGGGGTTATAGGGCTGATAGTTGTTGTTGTACTTGGGACGGTAGTGACGTTCGATGTCCTCTTGTCCTTGGGCAAGGGACTCACCCTCGGTCGAGGGTTCATACAGTTCATAGCTTCGAGTCACGGGTTCCTTCTCGTAGACAGGTGCTGGCGCCAAAGCTGAGGAGAGAGGGGAGGAGGAGGACGATCCCTGGGTTCCTGAGGATCCCGTAGAGGATGGAGCTGAAGATCTTGTGGCCAGGCTCAATGTTTGCTGTTGCAGTTCCTTATGCATTTGCAGCTTCAGCAGTTCCCTTTCCCTGCTCCTCTGTTCTTGGTAACTTCTTTGGGTGGCTGCTTGCAAGTCATTTTGTGACTGAACGGGGTTAAGGTTAGTGTTCTGGTTCTGATGTTGATGTTGATTCTGGTTTTGGTTCTGATTTTGATTCTGATTCTGAATTGGGTTCTTGAGCTGAATCGCGACTGGCTGTTTGTAGGCCAACTTGATGGCATTGGCCACGTACTCAGCCGCCGATTGAGAATCTTCTAGGTTGACAGAAGTTCCGGAGCCAGATGCTGCGGTTGTGGTGCTAAGGATTAGTTTTGGAAGCGATTCTTGCTCTGGACGCACTAAATTCAGTTCCACTTGGCCGTAGCTGAAATCTGAAAAGACATTTTGTATATCAACACGATGTACCTACATAATTTAAAACGGTTTAACTGAATGCTATAATGTACGAATTAAAGTAATTTTACATAAAAATTGCATACATTTAGGCACTTTCATTGTTTAACTGAATAGTTTGTAAACGTCTTCTTCGCTACCAAAATCTTAAAATAAAGTCGATGGAAAACTCAGTTACCTCTGCTTGGCGCTTCCTTTGACCGGCTGTGTATCACTGATCCGCGCCTGGAATATCCTTTTTCGTCTAATCCCCGCCGACTAGCTGCCAAAGCCAGCTGATCCGGTACTCTCTTCTCGCCATTGTCGTCCAGAGAAGATACACCTCCCACCGATTCTCCCGAGCGACGGCGACTATTGCCCGAAGTGCCTGATGTCACTGAAACGGCACTACAAATTGTCGACATCTGAAAGAAATACGAGTTATTGACAATGACATTTTTTTTTCCAAAGTTTGATGCAGTCTTAATTTTAAATTACTAAATACATGTTACGCCTTAGGGCATGGCCTGTTAAGCGATGTTAACTACTCCACTTAACTCCCATTTAGGCTTGGGCTTATTTGTTTGTGTCCGTTTCGCAATTAAACTTATTAAACTATACCAATTCACTTTCGCTTTCGAGGAGGCCAAGAGAAAGAAATCGAGAAGGAGGAGGCTGACTGACAGCTCAATTTCTGTATGATTGGGCTTAAGTTGACCAGGTTCAATGGACCGATGGCCAGATGAGAGTGCAATGAAACATCGGCATGATATACTTGCAGCACGCAATTTCGAATCGCAACGAGGATCGCGTTAAAGGGGAATATGAAATGCTCTTCGGAAAATATATGAATTTTTATATTTTTATAAATAATGAATAGATATTTTCTAATAGATGATTTTTCTGATATTTAATATTGACTTGGGGTCTGTATTATCCATTTCTAAGTTGTCAGGCGAATAGTTCCTTGTTAATAGTTTATGTAGATATAATTTTGTTTAGGACTTTTTTTGTTTTTAGAATCTTTAAAGTGTATTATTGATTTGCTACATAAAGTTTCATCAAGTCGTTCGAATTTGTTACACACTTTAATTTGATTATTTCTTGTAGTGTTTTTTAGAGGTTGTTAAACTAACAAATTTACGAATCTTTAGGAATTAGATTGACTTTGGTAACTCAAAAAACAAACAACACTTTAAAAAATTTAAGAAATAATTTTCACTTCACTTGATCACTGGCCAGCAAAACAAAAATAAGTCCTCGCGAGGTGCGGCTGAAGAGTTCGCACTACTTACGATGAGCACCAGGCACAGGCAAAACTGCCGCCTAGTAAGGACGTTCGATTTCATTTGGATCAGGTGGACTTTGTGGAGCGGATGGTGCTGCTGATAATGACGGGATCGTGGCGCTGACATCGTGGCGCGCCGGCGTCTCAACTGGGATTGTTGGCGGCCAGCTGGCGAGGCGAGGCTTTTATAATGATGCGGACCGCTGCAGCGGAAAATTTATGCGAATGTGCGAACCAAAGAAAAGCGAGAAAAGTGCTGCAAGTGCAATAGAGAGAAACAGTGAAAGAGACAGAGAAGGGGAAAGAAAGATCACTTCACTTTCGATGACAATTTGAATCGTAATAAGCCATCGACGCACAACACTGCGTATGCGTGATAGGTTCGCCCATTATAAGCCGGTAAGGTGCAAACGAGAAGGCCATATGACCGGCCGGAAAGAGATGGGACAACGGGGCTTAACTGGTTTAAAGTATTTAGTTTCTTGGTTTTAGTTTCGGCTTCGGTTTCGATTTCTGTTTGAGCTGCCACTTTGATGGCCAATTAAGCCATAAGCTAAGCCAAACAAACCCCATACCACAAAACAGTTCAATGAAATGTTTGCTACCGAACAGAGAGGGGTAATACCCGTAATTGACTTGTAAAATCCTCACCGCCGAAGTCATTTATTTGGCTGAACGACAAGTGGGGCTAACCCACCTCCACTTTGAGTCCACAGAGCACGTAGTAAATTTGAGAATTTGAATGCGGAGCAATAAATATATATAAATGGATTTATTTTGCTAGCTTTTTTACTTGCCTATGTACTTTCGTTACTATCTTTTTTAACTGGGTGAACCGATTTGATGTTCACTGAGAACTTATGGAGTGGGGCATTTTATTGATTCCGATCTTCACTTAACAGGCTTGGAGATTTGGTGTGTTCCGAATTAATGCAACGATTTGAAAACTATAGTATAGGGGATGAGATTGGTGGTTTTGTCGGTGCAGCAGCTCTCCAGTCAGTGGTTGGCGTCATGGACACTGATTTAGTGCATAATAATTAACAAGGAGCCAAGTCAAACGAAAAAAAAAGTTTACTGATTTATTGAGATTCAAGACGAGGCTGCCGAGTTTCTCGTTACCGAAACCCAAACGGAGCTGATTTTAATTTCGATTAATAGCTCCGGAGTTCAGGGAGTACAGCGATTGATATTAGTGGGAGTATCTCCGTGGAATAACTTGTGATGATTGACACGTGCAAAGGGCGTGTGATTTATATTTTAATATTCTGCAGGAGAAGCAACGTTAAACAAAACTAAAACACTTGCCACACTTAACACTAACGATAATAGCCGTAATAATAAAAGCGAAATAGTTTTGCAGCCGCAAAACAAAAGCTGGCAAAGCGTTTCGGCCCCTCCGCATGTGTGAAGATCAACAACCTTGCTGCCAGCAGTCGAATGCGAATGCGAATGCGAATGCTATATAGCTATAGCTTTTGCCGCTGGGATTGCAAGCCGTGCCCCGTTAAGTGGCCAAAAACTGCATAAACGCCACCAAATCCACTGCCAGTTTCTTTTTTTTTTGAGTATAAAACTTAAAGGTGTATAAATATAGTTACTCTAAATGTAACGTCAGTCAGTTTTGGACCCATTTCATATAGTTGTTAAAGCTTTCGATGAGTTGGACAAACTTCTAGAGTCCATTGTATCAATTTTATCAGATATTTAAACTTAAAGTTTAGGGTAAGACTGTCTAATGTTTGTTCAAAGGAATCCTTTTAATTTTGTCCACTGTGACAGCTGTAACGCTTCGATAACATTGGAAAATTATATTTTTATGGATCGGACTGCTTGCAGCCCCCTCACCACTTATCGTTTAAATGATTAATTTGTTGCCGTAGTTGTTTTAGTAACAGTTTGAGTTTTATGGGTCCATTGTTGGAAAGAAAGCCTCGGTTAGATCATAAAGCAAACAGACCTTTTCTCTACTCGCAGAAAGAGAAGTGTGGGATGATTGATAGGATTCCGGACAGGGAAGAGTCCGAAGTTTTTCCCTGACAGTTGCATATTTGCTCTTGAACACCTTTCTTGGATTGAATCGGAAAAAAAACTTGGCAGATTTCCCACAGACCCCTGACGCTGTGAAAACAATGCCAAGCGACCGGCGGTGAATTTTCAATTTCCTCTCCAAAATGATATCGGGCAGGCCTCCAAGAAGCGGACAGCATAGCACTATCTGGATTTGAGGATCATGCAAATGGAAGCGGGAATGCGGGTTGCTAATGGGAATGCGAATCTCCCAAAAAGTACGGAAGTCGCCAACCACTTTTTAATTTGAGTGGAAAGTAGTCGACAGACGCTGCCGCATTTCAAAATTACGAAAATTGGCACAATTTAGCAGCCATTGCGGCAGCTGATTATGCTAATTGTTTTGCCGCTGTATCTTAAATCTTTACGTAAACATCCATGAGGCAAGAGCGATATGGCAAAAAGGAAGAGACGGGCGGGCAGCATGTGAAAGTGCTGACCATCGCTCGGTGGGGCGGCAAATTGCAGTGTATCGTAATAGATCACTGGAGCATTGGAAGCTGCAGGGGAGCAAATTGAGGGACAAAACTGGTTCATGCCTATATTTAAAAAATGAAAAAATTAAAAGTGAATAACAGAACAGATCAGTCGTCCTCAGGATGCGATTTTTATTATACGAAGTTATTTCTTTTATTTGTTTTTTTATATTTTTTGGTGTTTTATATTACAATGACCTCTCAACTCTTGCTTCTTAATCGCCGTCCATTTCCTCTTTTACCATCTGTTTTTATTGCGTGTTAGGCATCAATTTCGGCTCTTTGTTTTTCCAAATATATTTGGAAATGCTAACATTGAAATCATTCGACTATTAGCACTAAAGTCACGCGGGAATCATCGATGCTATTTTTATGGGTTTCGTGCGTGACTTCCGCAAATAAGAAAACTCCCAAATAAAATGCAAACACTCTGGGTTTGGTTTTCGTTTTAGTTTCTTTTCGCTTTAATCGTAAAAAAATACACGTTAATATGAGTATGTTCAAGAAGCACATTTAATTACAGACTAAATATTGCACACATGATCAGCAGCACATTTTCTTGGTTAACAATATAAACAACATAAAAAAAAACGTACAATGTAGTAAAAAGTGAATGTGTGAAGTGAGTCCAGTCCCAGTCCATCAACTCTCGACGAAGAAAAGGGTGAAACGATGCCGACCTTTTCTGTTTTCCAATGAAATGCGCCCAAAAGTATAGTTTGGATTTGTAAGTCAGGGATCGTGAACTGGTTTCAGATGAGTTTTTGAGCTGGAGGTAAGCCTCTCCCCTACTCCCCCAACTTGGAATAAATACTAATGAAAGGACTTCAGGCACAAGAAGCAACCACAAATTGTGTTAACAATACAAGATTAATAAGGGATGACACTCACTGAAAACTTACTGCCTTGCTGGATTTCTTTTTGGATTCCAAACGGTAAGCATTTTGCAAAAATCTTTCAATATTTTTTCTTAAAATATTCTGGTCTACAATTATACAATCTAACATAGACATATTAAAATTCTGTCTAACATTTTTGAACATAGTGGTTTTAAATCTCTTAAAGAGGTGTCTATAGAATTTTTTAATAATTTATGTTTGATCTAAATTAAATGCCAAGTTTGATTATATGGATGTTGACACAGACACGTACGTCGTCTGTATTTCTTTACTTATCCAGCCAGTCAGTTGATGAATTCAAGCGAATCTCCGTTCCCCTAGACGAACATATATCCGAGTCTCAGCCTTCGAGGAGCTGCGTTGTTTTGTATTCGACAGCCGAACCCATTTCGGCACCCAGTTTCTCCTTCACATACTCCCTGATCTGTTGCAGTCTCTGGTCGCCGGCATTCGAGGCCCCGTCCTCAACCGCGGGCTCTGGCTTGGCCGCCCTCTTTCCCGGACGCATCTTGAGACCACCATGGGCATGGTAATTGAAGGGACGATCGCCCTCCGACTCCTGCTGTTGCTCCTCGAGATTAGGCTGCTGTTCGAGCGGCTGTTGCTGCTGCTGCTGCTGCTGCTGGTGATGCTCATGTTGCGCATGTTGCTGCTGCTGGTAGGGATAGGGATTGAAGATAACCTTTGTGTGGGTAGGTCGTGGATTGTTTTCCGTAATGAGCAGACTGTGCTCCGGCTCTGGATCCTGCTCCTGGGCCACCCCAGGTGCTGAAGGTGGCTCAGATTCTGGCACATAAATTGGCTGTTGGTGTACATGCTGATGTTGCTGTGGCGGTGGCGGTGGCGGTGGCTGTTGTTCCGGTTCTGGTTCCGCTTCCGGCTGGGCCATGGCAATCAGATAGAGCTGAGGTTGCTGCTGCAAATGAGATTGGTGCTGGGCATAGTAGAACTGAGTGGGTTGCTGATAGTCCATGGGTGCGTAGTATTGCTGCGTCTCGTACTGCTGCCGCTGCAGCTGTTGTTGGTGGCGACCTTTGTAGCTCTGATAGACGTCGTCGATGGGTGCATACTGTACGGGTGCAGGAGTGGGTGCCAATTGGTGGGCATAGCTAACATCCTGGTTGTAAGTGGCAGGCCCTGCTGCTTCATATTGCTGCGCAGCATCTACATGCTGATGTTGCTGCCGGTGCTGGTGCTGGTGGTGCTGTTGCTGTTCTGCCTCCTGCAGTAAACTGAGATACTGGGCTGCTCTGATCTCAAGATACTGCTGGAGAAGGGTCTGCAAGTGGGCGGCGTATTTGGCGGGTCCTGGAATGCGCAGGACAATTACAGGTTCCTGGTAACCACCTGGACCACCTGCACCTTCTGCCTCATCCTGGGGCAGATCAATCTGTGGCTGTTCGGGGGCTGTGTGCTGCGGATGAGTCTCATAGCTGGTCTGCGGCTTAAGCTCGTAAGAGTACGACGGTTCAATGGTTACGCTGGTCACCTGCTCGTGGTTGGGGTTGTGATGCTGCTGGTGATATTGTGCCGCCGGCTGCTGTTGTTCCTCTTGCTCCTCTGGCAGTGGCTGTGGATGGGCAAAGCCCGAGGGTATATCATGCTGCGAGTATGGATAGAACATAAACTTGGGTGGCGTATAGTCGTAGCCAGAGTGCGAGTAACCATATCTGAAAAAAGGTTAAATAAGGGTGATTACAATTTGTTTATAAAAATCCACCATCCGTTGCCTTACCCCAACTCCCCCTCGATGGTTCTCTTGCTGTTCTTGCCACCGCTTGTGGAATTATCCCTCTCCACCTTGATCTTGATCTTGTCGCCGTGCAGTCTGAATTGCTTGTCCAGTTCCTTAATGAACTCAAGATCATCGGCAGGCAGATTGCCAAAGGTTTCGCTCAAGGCCGGTGCCTTAGTGGAGCTTTTGCTGGCAGTGGACTTGGCAATCTTAACGCGTGGCTTACTGGGCTTCGTAGTGGTATCTCTGCTGGTCGAAACGGCCACTGTGGTTGGCGTTTTAGTTGGTCGCTTCTTCAGGGTAATCACCTTCTTTGGAAAGCCATTGACCTTTGAACCGGCCGTTTCCGACTGGCTCAAACCGCTCGCCAGGCACAGAAGAGCACTAAGTGTGCCCTGGAAAATATAGAAAACAAAAGAGAATATTCTTAGTTAACGGAACTCAAGAAATACGATTTCGAGAAATTAAACAAAATTTTTTCTGACATTGTTTAACAATGCAAATGCTTTAGTAAAACTTTAAAAAAGTATTACTCTCAATGATTTGACCACCAAGTTTATGGTTGGATTTTACTGAATGTTCGGTTTGACTTGAACCCAAAATAGATTGTTTAATTCGGCGGCTTTTGTTTCGTCCCAATCTTAGTTTGGCCTCAAGGTAAGAGGCGAACCTTATAAAGAGAGACAAAAGGAAAGCTAGAAAAGACCTCAGAGCCATCCGTCGCGTGGTTTCAATTTGGTCTCCATATACCATCAACTCACAACGATCGTTCAATAGAGGTTTCACATTTGACATTTTATCAAGCGAATTGGTGTTGTAATTGAATCTCGTTGTGGTCGAGTTTGTGTCTTGAGTCTTTTGATTTTAGCGATCGTCAGCAGCTAGTGTCATTAGTGTTTTAGATGTTCGGTGTTCGATGTTTAGCTGTCTAGGTGTTCATAGATGACGACTAATAAGCTAACAGTGAGAAAATAATCGAATCGGCGGAACCATTGGTGATGATAATGGGCTACGGTCGATTACAGTTGTATTTACATAGGAATTATGGGTTATTATAGCTTGTTAGAACATGGTAATTGAACCAGTTTAGTATATTCTCGCTAATTTCCTTTTCTGAAAAACCTTTTAAATTACAGATTGGTAAGTAAATGGCAAACAGGAGTTGCTTTCCTTACGAATTATTTATAGAGGGATTTTCACAATTATGGGCTTGAAAAATGAATTATTTTGATTTATCAAGATTTTTTTTTCATGTCCAGCACAAGTTCGCATATTTGATAGTTGGTTGATTTTTAAATGCATTTTGTTACTCAGTTGTCTAGCCAGTAAGTGCGCTTGTGTGTTACCCGAAACTGAGGCAGTGTGTCAAGTCATTTTAATAGCTGTTGTTACTGCTGGTTGCTTATGTAGCAGTTATTTTTTGGCCCCTAAGCAGGAAGAGTTTTTAGGCAGACTTGCCACAACACGGCCACAACAACAACAACAGTGAGTTTTTTGTCAAACGCTAGCATGAGCTGTGGGAGCGAAATAGCTTTTATGTAAGCTCTCGTCCAGCAGCAGCAGCGGCAGCAGCAACTAGTTAGATCTGTCTATCGAATTGATTTATCTTTGCCAACTATTTTCTGTAATAATTTAATTTAAGTGCACTGAGCTTTGGAGTCGAGTCGCTTTTCACTCTTCATAAAAAAGAATCGAACCGCGCAGCTGATGTTGCAGATGAATTGTGATGATATTATCCCCAACATTGAAAGCAACTGAAACTTGGGGCAAACGATCGTCACGCAACGCGTGCGAATTAGTCGGACCTGGCTTTCTTAGTTTTGTTGTGTTTTTTTTTTATTGTTTCGCTTTCGTTATTGCATCATCCAAAACAACAAAAGATGTATCAAGCCCCAGCAAAACAATAAAATGTAATTTAGACAACTACAGATTATCCTGCCAGTGGCTGAGTTGACCTCTTTCCCTCCCGTTAGAGTGTAATAACTTTATGTAACCACATGGGCGAAAACGACAACAAACTTTTTCTGGTTTCCAGCACTGCGAATAAAACTGTAAATGAAAATAATTATAATTAAAAGGAAAATAAAAGTAGATTGACGAGATTGGTTATTGCAATGTCGACGTTCTTTAAAAATGGTACATATGATTATAATATTATTTAATAGATTTGGTATTTACGTTAGGGAGATTCTTTATGACATAAATGATTTGGGAAAAAAACTGAAGTTAAAGATTTAACAAATTTAAGAACTTATATAAAACTTTATTGTTTAGGTTTAAATCGCAATCGCATTACTTAAAGACTAAAAACCACAATGTATTGATTTAAATTAATTTGTGATTTAACACTCGTTAGTTTTGCGCTGTGTGTGCATTTGCGTAAACCGATTTATTGCTACCACTTGGCCAATCGTTCGGCATTCTACCGTGGAATTAAGCGTCCAATTAGTGGACGATCAACGACAGACAGTCCAGCTCCCTCAGCGCGTTGATTGATGGACACGATGAACACGATGGACATGGACATGGACGTGGACATGGAAGTGAACGTGAGGTCTGAGCAAGGGCAGTGCCAGTCTGCCGTTTTGCAGCTGAGGGGCAGAGTCACTAGGGCGAACGATGAGGTCAAGACTGCGATAAATTATGTTGTGGGGGTTCATTGCATCCTCCGCCTGGTTGAGTGAACTGTGCAACTGCAACCACTTTCCCAGCTGACCAAGCCGGCTCTGCAGCTATACAGCACTTGAATGCAAATTAATTTGTCAGCCGACGACTAGTTTTTACTTCGCACAAATTGCACAATTCGATTGGTGGGTGCGATTGCTTTCCGGGTTTGTTCGAAGAGATTGTGTAATCTCTGAGGATGAGGCTCTTGCTCTTACCAATATCAATGCTAATCTCATGGCGAATCCAGATAACAATGCGCATTCACAGCGACTTTTCACACGATCAATCAGACTTAAAATCTATGTATATGCACTATTTATTATTCTGATTCCTTGGGCACCAAAACAAAAACAAGAAATATATCGCTCGGCTACGTCCGTCGTGTTTAGTTTTCTATATGGTCTTAGTTTTCGATCCGGAGCGATGCTAGCGTTCAAAAGTCGCGCCTCTTACTGCAGATGGCGCTGGCGATGCTCGCGGTTTTTATATCGCAACCACAGCAACCAGCAGCAACAACTTGGTCTTCGGGTTGCATCAAGCTGTGGAACATCGGCACCGGAGTTGGAGTTGAATTTTACAAAGCCAAAGGCGAAGGTGGATCGTGAGTCGGGGGAAAAAGAAGCCGAACGGACTGGAGTTTGCCACCAATGACACCGCACGTCTCGTTATATATATATATATATGTATATCGGCGTGTGACTAAATGTGTAGGTTGCCTGAGATTGCTCCAACTTTAAACAAAGTGCCTTAAATATTTGGCAGAAAGAAAGATGTACGAATAAAAAAATAGTTTTTAAGCTAAATGCAAAGAAGTTAGGGGGATTTCAAAGTGGGATTTAAGGTCCAGTTTCCTTAAAGTTTATTGTAACAAAATTAAATTAAAAAAGTTATCCTTCAAGCAGTTTTCATAACTTTTAACACACTCACATAATGAATAGTTTGAATAAATGTGTTTATGTTTTATCTGATTTAAACTCAGTGTTTAACACTGTACAATTTTTATTGCAAAACTTTATTACAGTTGTTACTTAATGTTTAACAACGATTCAAAATAAAGCTGAAACACTTTGGATAACAATTGAAATCATTTAACATGTTTTTAAGGAATGTCCTGAATGTCTAACTATTCTAGCCTAATCTTTGTTCTATATACTTAATAGATTCACTTTACACTTAGTTATAAAATTAACTTTTCATTTTTGAACTTGATTGTATTCTAGAAACAGATAGCTTTCCGCCAAAGCCGGAATTATTTCCCATGCTGAGAATCATCGACTGAACGACCTTGTCTCCCTGTAAGCAACCTTTCACAAAGTGTTAATTTATATCTACCAGAGTTTAAGGGGGAAGCTGAGAGACCTTTCCAATTTCTTTATTGACAAAATAGCGGAGCTTTTGTCTCCACTTTTCCAGTTCAAGTTCAAAGTCATAAAAATATTGCCGTAACTTTAGCTTGTGACAAAGGCCTGGACTTTTGGCTGGCTAGTGAAGTCCAACTTCGGCGGGGCCTTTCATTTTGAGTGAATAAATTTTGGGGTTATTATAATGGTTTCTGAATTTTGTGTTCCCCCAGACAAAGCCAAAACCAATCGAAATCGAAATTTGCATGAAAACAATTGCAGAGCATCCAGATGGGGGAAAAAAAGAGAGTGCCAGAGGTCCGCGTGTAGTGGCAATTTAATTGGCGCATTAAGTTGTCTTCGCTTGGGCTTGGTCTGGGATTTGGAGCTGAGTTTCGGGTTTGGTTGGACCATCGCCAAAGGAGAAATGGCATAACAAAAGCGGGGTTTGTCGTTTGGTAATCCGTTTTGTCAAAAGACACGACAGTAAGCAGAGCGAGATAACGATAAAAAGCAACAGATAACTGAAGAGTTAAACCTGAAAACTGAAAATATCATTCGCAATCACGTGGTGGTTGCACTGTCGAAAGTCTTTTCGCCTCTGATACCCTTGGCTTCAAGTTTTCTGGGCATTTCAGGGTCGCATACAATCTCCAAAAAAAAAAAAAAAAAAGTATGATAAACTTGTCGCAAGTAGGATTGTGGGATTTTTGATTAACGTTGAGAAGTGGATGTGAGACAAGAAATACAGAATACATTTTTTAGCTGGTACCATGCGTGTTTTGCTCTTATTGGGAGTCAGCCTTACTTGAAAATCTTTATTACATCCCAGGGTACTCCTGCTTCTATGCATGTTAACTTTGCCAGTTTGCATTTTCTTCGAGCTCGCCTTCATGGGCGCGCATCGATAAGCGAAAAAAGCAATTGAAATGTTGGTCAGCTCGCAAGTTCGACGCTCTTTTGTGCTCCTCCTAACTCTTGGCTCTCGATTCCATCCGAATCCGATGCCAACAATAACCGCAGCGAATCGAAGCCGCGCGGCTAAGCAAATATTGCACAATCAAAACAGTTCAACCTCAACCTTAGCTCAGTTTCAACTAGCCCTGGCTCATTGTCCGGCACGCTGCAACAATGTCACTTAGCCAGCGCTTATAGCGCGGCATTATGATTATTTATTGTGCCCAGCAAGTCCCCGGATGATTAAGAGGCCTACGATACACTCACATAAAACAGAGATCGGGAAGGCTGGCCGTGGGCAGCCACAAAAGGCGACCCTTTCGGAATTCGTATTCAGATTTCGATGAGGTCTATGAAACTTGACCGTACGATAAAGTTGCACACTGAACCTCTTCAAAGTGCATCTTATTTTACCGGAATCTGTGGCAGACAGGAAGTACGATTGCCAGCACACCCTTTAAAACGGGGCAGGGCTGCTGTCTTCATCATCATCAGCCTCATTTGCTGTCTGCATATTTAATGGGTGACAAACAATGCAGCAATTTTGTGCCAGTGGCAGCTTCATTAACAGCCATGAGGTGGCCGAAACCAAGCGAAATGAAATGAAACGGCAACACAAACAAATGCCACAACTTGCAACTGCTGCAGCATCTTCGCTTCCTACTTGCATAAATCTCAGCATGTCCGTCTTTTGGTCTCGTGTCTAGTAGATTTCGAAGCCGCATCTCTGCATCTCTGGTGCTCGGTACACTGGCACACAAATCATTATTTTGTGGCCACTCTCGAGTAGCATCGCTCCGTAATTGTTTGTTAGTGCTGGCTGGCTGTTTGGTTTATGGCCGCGATTACGTGAGCAATACTTTGTAGCTTCAAAACTGAGAGGCTCTGGAGCTCAACTGGCTCATTGACAAAGTCACATATTGCACATTTGATTCGATTGGCTTCGCTTTTGGCCCGCGATGGCCTGGCCTTACTTTAAATGGAGAGAGCTGCAGATGCTGCACGGGGCAATTTCTGTTATGTGATCAACGATCAGCCTTTGGGGCAGAGTGAACTCCCATTGCAGGTGTAAAAACCTATTTCGAATTGAGTTGAACTTTGAAATCCTAAGAAAACGGTCCCTCATCCAAAAAAAACGAATTTTATGTTCACTGCAATAAATATTCGTAATTATAGTTATATTTAGAAACAAAAAAATATAAAGTTGATAAGACTCTATTTCATTATCTGGATTCCCTGGAATCTCGCTTGTAGAGTCTTAAGTGAGCCGGAGCTGGATAGGCCAGCGTTTGTCGTTGGATGGGAGTGAATCCCTGCTGGGGTTTCCGCTCACCAATCAGGCGGAGAACCTCCCAGCTGGGGATGTACGAGTCGAGCAATGATTTCGATGTCCGACCGGCGAACAAGTCGGGCGTGGGATCCGGCTGCGATGGCCGGAATGGCCGGATCCTCTCCGATCCGGGTCTTCGAGTCGTGATGCTGACAAAACTCGGGGGATATGGCAGTGGAATTCGTGGTCCGTTCGAAAAGTGTCGCTGGGCCGGTTGGGCGGGGGCAAAGGCGAACTGCTTGGATTGCTGCACCAGCAGCGGTGATAGCACATTGTTCGATGGTCTGCTGCTTCCCTGGGTGAATCCATAGATAAACGGCGGCCGTCCATGGGCGGCGGGTGGAAGAGGGCGTGGCCCTGGCTGCTGGGGCAGAGCGTTACTCAACACATATTGGACCCCGTTTGGGCCGATTTCCAGATCGAACGGAACTATGGGTTTTGCGAATCGAGTAGTCGAGGCCACTGTCGTCGCTGCCGTGGGCGTCGGAGTGGGCGTGCCAGCCGTTGGTCGTCTAGGTGCCACAAAAATAAAAAAAATATTCAACATCGGTAAAGGGAAGATATAAAGAAGCTGATTAACAAAGTGCTTAAACCTTTTAAATTACTGCAATCGCGGGCTCTATTTGTCGGAAGCTAATTCAACTTTAGGCGAAAAGCTGTCATTTCAACGCTTCCAGCCGCTAACTAACTAATTTAACCATCCCAAATTGGCTGGAAACGATCATTGGGCTAAAAAAAATCACAGATTGTTTCCAATGCCAGTGTGTTCAGCATTACCATTTACAATTTCCAGTCCTCAAGCGGTAATTTCCCCGTCAATCAGCAGCCCAACTAGCTCCTAATCAGTCGACCATTAGAGGGCTAACCATGGGACTCTGTTCTGTAGTTAAGGGGTAAGTTGGGTGAACTTTGTACTGATTAGTACCTATTATATTGCAGTTCCTCCTGCCTTAAAGGTGAAATTCTCTGACTACCTCGATTAATGTTTAATTTAATAATAATGCCAATAATGTTGATAGTAAAGTTGGATTATTCTAATTGTGCTTTACCCCTGTGTACCTTGCAGAGAGTATTATAATTTCAGTCAAAAGTTTGTAACGCGGTGAAGTATAAGGTATATACATATATTTTTGATCACCGTCTGTATCAATTTAGGAGGTTTCTTCTGTCTGTCTGTTTGTTTTTATGTTAACTAGCGCCTCAGTTTTAAGTTGATCTAGATGAATCTTTACCAAAAGTTGTGAAGTTATTGAAGGCAGTAGATAAGTCGGAGCTGCCCGGATCGGACGACTAATTCTTTTCTTGTTTTAATTAAATTTGAAATGTTTTTCATTAGAGAAAAGTTCTGCTTATATTACATAATATTTTCTTAAGACCAGTTTTTAGTTTGTGTTTCAAGTTTTCTGCTTTCAGGTAAATCATTGTGTGCTTTTAGTTTTGGAAATTAAAGCACACATTTTAGCTTTTACCTATTTCGCTTTTAACCAAGTTAAAAGCTAGAGCTTTCTTTGAGCCAGTTTTGAACCCTGAGAGTGGAGTTTCAAACTTATGTATGCTTGAAAGCTCTCCTATAACCACTACTTACACGTAAAGCACACCTGGCAGGTTTGCGGGAAAGGCATAGCCCGAACTGAGTTGCTGATGCTGCCGCTGCAGCTGCCGCAGTTCCTCCAAGCGCTGCAGACGCTCCAGTTCCCGCTCCCGTTTGGCTGCCTCCTGAATGTAACTGGGTGGCAAACTGGCGGCCACATCCGGTCGCCACTCATAATGGTTGGGCAGGAGCGGCGGTCGATTCAAATCCAAATGCTGGTGCTGCTCCTGTTCCCGTTCCAGGTCTTCAATCCCAAGGGGCAGTGGAGAAGTGTCGTCGTCGTAGCCAAGTGGTGGCGATAGAACAGCTTGGATCCCAGTGGTCAAGGCAATGGACAGGAGCAGGTGAAGTAACATCTGTTTGGGCCCCAAGAAGAAACATGAGAAATCAATAAGGAGATTTAGGTTGCAGATGATAGTTTGAAAAAGTCTTTAAAAGTATTTGTTTATCAATTACAAACTCATTTCCACCCAATTCCATCTTATTTCATCCGAACTGTAGTATGAAACTGACCTTAGGGCTTCGCTTATTAAATGAATTATTTCGTATTGTAACTTTGTTGGTAAAGTGTTCAGTTTTCGTTTAGTTTCGCTCCGCAGAAAAGGAGCCACGCCTTCCAGCACCTATTGATGCGTTCAATTGAGTTTGACCATTTTAAATTTGGCTTATAATTGCAAAAGGGCGGGTACCGCAGCACTTGGCAGTCGAGTTGAAAGATCAACAGAGATTGGGGCGAGACAAATGCGATGTGAAATTCGACAGGTCGCGGGTGGGACTTCCCGTCAGACTACTTTTCGATTTTGCACCTGACAGTGAAGGCCACTCCACTGATAAGCCACTTGCAGAGCGGCCTTTCTAAAAAATCTTCGATTCGTAACTCTGCGCAGTCTCAAAGCTCTGGCCAAGCAACTTACGACCATTTGTCACGCGATGAAGAAGCATTCCAACTGATGGCGCAATATTTGCCACAAAATGCCGCACACACTTCGAAACTCTAGCTACAGTCTCTAAGTCAAATGCGTGCCCCAGTTTGGGAGTCTCTTCTAAATTATTTTGGCGGCCCCATGTCGGCTAATGATCCTAACCGGGTCAAAAGACATAAGACACAAGATGCAAATCCAGCTTGATTGATGGCTTAGAGAAGCTAATGGAGTGCGCATGGTTAACACGCGTAATTTGCGTCCCCCTTCGAAATCGAAAAACATAGACAAAAACCGACCACACAAAGTGCAAACATGGGTAAAAAAAAAAAAAAAAGATGGTGGAAATTGAACAAAAACAAAAGACTTAAGATACAAACTTGGCACAGCGCCAGCGAATAAACTTTGATTTGATCAGTTGAATGCAACTGCAGTTTTACAAGGTTCTAGGGCAATGCCAGTAAAAGAACAATGCCAATTTTTATTTTAACGGCCTTTTAGTTTCAATGGCCTTTCTTTTATTATATGAATGAAAATAACTTAACTTTCACATATTTCTCTTTTTCTACACCTCATTGTGTCCAGCTTAATACCTCACCCAACTCTTCGCTTTTGTTTTTTAAAAATAATACACATACCACATCATTAATCAATTGGCATACCATGAAATTTTCTCGACTGGAATCATTAGAGCTATTTTGTTTTCAAACAACTCAATCAAGCATTCTCACTTTTACTGTCAAATTTGAGCATTGCATAAGCCGGTAAATAATGTCTTTTGTATTAGCATGTCACTGCTTTATATTGTATTATTTTCCAGTTTTTTTAATGAGTCGATGAACGTTGAAATATGTCTTTATTATTATATTATTTTTAATTTAAAGTCCTTAAAATAATTTTGAAAAGATCCCTAGACTTACAGAAAATCTGTTTTAAATTTTAAACACCCCTAAAATCGTATTACTCGTTGTTTCGATTTATATAATCGGGTATATATAATATATATATACAAGTTCTATTGTTTTGCATTCGTGTTTGTTATGCTGTTGGTTGCTTTAGATCGCTCTGCTCGAGATTTATCCATTTGAAATGGCATTCCTTTCTGGTTGGTTACATACGCACCATGATTACAGTGTCCCGTTTATGGCTGCCTCCGCTTGTGATGATAATAACTTGCGCCAAAGATGATGATGATGAGGCTGCTTGACCGCCTTGATCCGGCTGAATGGCGCTGTTAACTCCTTCAAGCAAACCAGCACAGGCAACATTCACCAGTTCGCACGAACTGCACTTAGACAAACAACAACAAAAAAATGCGGTGAGCACTAAACTAAAGCCAAGACCAAAAAGCCGAAAATTAAAATGAAGCCGAAAGTGGAGACTAAAAAGCCGAAAACTAAAACTGAACCGAGCGAATGACGAGCGCTGAGGCGACTGCACTGGCGCAAAGCTCTGACACGGCATTTTATAGTTGTGCCGCATAATTCTCTCAGATCTCAGATCTCAGATCTTGAGTCTCGAACCACCTCAAATCTTACATTTCGAATATCGGAACCGAATGGACGGCGTTCATTGGCCACCTAGAGATGCATATGAGCGAAGGATAGACGGACGGAACACAAAGGCGGACTGAATCCGTTTAGAGCTGTGGCAATTAATCGAAAACGAAAGTAAATAGCTGCAAGCTCGGCAACTCAAATTGAAATCATTTCAAACTCAATCAGCAACAACAAAGCGAACACCGCCCAACCAACAACAACAAAGGCTAATTTACGCGCTTTAAAGTGTTATAACAACGTCGGACAAGTGAAGCGCACACCCCTTCGAAACTATGTAAGACATCTGGAGGAAAGCACGGGTTCGTTCGAGCCACGAATTCAAACTCAAAGCCAACCGGAGCATCGATAACCGCTCATTTCCGCAGTCTAAACTTTGAGGCAAATGGCCGACCTATCATCCAAATCTCATTACAAGGGATTCAGCGCCACGGGGCGTCCTCTACATCATACATCATACATCATATATGTATATATCTTCGTCATCGTCAGTGCATCGACGACATGTGGAATGGTCGGTGATTGAAAGTTAATTGTGGCACTCAATGCGCCGAGGAATGCCTCTCGAATTGCGTCCGGTACCCTAACTTTTAGGGTTAACAGAAATAATTACGTTATAAAACGACCGGAAATTCTACAGCTCAATATGGTATAGCTTTCTGTTTCTAAAAATTCCAAAAGTCGTCCCATAAAACAATTTCTCTAGGGACAGTAAATACCCAAAAAAAAAAAAAAAATGCACTCTCATTATTATTTTTTTTTTTTTTCAAAACAAGTGTATGCCCTAGTCAATGTTTTGCCGCTCAAAAATCAAAGGCCGTTGGGAATTTGTTCAACGTGAAGCGGCAAGTGAAAGATGCTTAAGGCTTACCCCTTACAAGCTCCGATGACTTGGAGTGAAGGTAATGAAAGCTTTATTCCAATTTCAGCCAGTTAATGCCAAATGAATTTGTCAAGTTGTGACAATTAGGAGTAGATAGATGATGACAGTCAGCTCTGACGTAACTCCAAGGTTGGTTTTTGGTGTCCAAGTGCAGACAACACTACAGGTCTCTGTTCCGGTCGGGCGTGAGATGGGATGGGGTCTTTGGTCACTTTCACGCAAATGAAAGAGAAACAAAAACAATGGCCCTGCATTCTGTCAAGGCGACCTTCGGTTTTGGGTCTCTCTAGGGTTTCAGCCTTAGAGGTATTAGAGCACTCTTCCATCTGTGGGGTGTTTTTGTTTGCTCACTGTCCCTCATTTGCTGCTGTGCAAATAAACAGTCTAGATCTCGTTGTGTTGGGTCATCTGCGGTTGGTTCGAGTAAAAACGAAAGTGGGAAGCCCGCTGAAGAACGACGGCAATGACTCAACTAATGTTGGGTTATGTAAATTTAATGGAAAGCAAAGTGGGGCTGCGACTTGAAGTGTTTATTAAGTTCAACTCATAATCGTGGGAGTTGTATTCTGTTTCAAAACTTTATTCTTCAAATTCAATGGACTTCTTACTTACGTATTATTTGTTAGTTGATGGAACCAGTTACTTCATTTAACATAATAAGATTTTAGAACAGAAAGAGGGTCACCAGCAAACCAGACTTAATTTCCCTATAACAGTTTGTTCTTCATTTTTACGGTTAGCAAGAAAAAAAAAAAGTTCTAAGAGCTAAAACGTTGAATGACTTTGGCAGTAGCTTATTTTCTACGACCTAGACCTTAGGTACATGTGTGGGTTTGCGGAGCTGTCATGACCACCACCCATGGAGGAGCCTGGCAAATACTCGTTGAGATTCAGTGAGAAGGAGGGTGGGAAGTGTTTGTCCTTGGCCTCACGATTGATGCGATAGGTGTTGCGGAAGGCAACGGTGGGATTGATGGCCCCAGTGGCGAATCCCTGGAGAGCTGCGAAGTTCGGCGGCAAGGCACTTAGAACCGTCGCTGTCCGTCCTCCGAAGTCTGGTTGTCCCCCAGCGGTGATTGAGGGCGACCCTGCGGCCGAAACGTACGGCGATATGGGCACTATAATCGGTCGGGTGGGGATCAACTGAAGATACTGGACCGTGTTCCCTGACCCGTCTTGGATCGCCTGGGCTGGCAGATACTGCATCAGCATGGGAGTCGACGGAAGGCCAGCCACACTGGGTGTTCCAGCGGTTTGCATCGGCGTGAAATTCGTTTCCATTTCGGGCATCTTGTACGAGGGCTTAAACGAAGGATCCGCAGGAGTCAGGACCTGGGCTTGAACGAGATTTTGGGCCTGATTTTGAGCCTGGTTTTGTTGAACCATGTCATAGCTGCTGGCATAGGCACTCAGCGAATTGAGGTGCGCCTCCTGTTGCTGCTGCTGCTGTTGCTGTTGTGCTTGTTGCACGCTGTTTGGTGACTTGGAGCCCTTGTTTGCTATTTCCGGACTTGATACGGGGGATCCCCGAAGAAGGGGAATCACAAAAAGCTGCAGTAGGAAAAGGTGGTAGTGGATGCGACGGTGGCACAGCATCTACAGGGGGTAAAAACAATATTATTAAGCTGTTATTAACTGTTTGATAGAAACCTTCACACATTTTTATACCCTTGCAGAGCAAAGGGTATTATAATTTCAGTCAGAAGTTTGCAACGCAGTGAAGGAGACACCTTAGACCCTATAAAGTATATATATTCTTGATCAGCATCACGATCTGAATCGAAATCCGTGTGTACGTCTGTCCGTCGGTCCGTCGGTCCGTCTGTCCGTCTGTCTGTTTCTATGTAAACTAGTCTCTCAGTTTTGAAGCTATCGTGCTGAAACTTTCCCAAAAGTTGTGTAGTAATTGCACGCAGTATATAAGTCGGAACGAGCCGGATCGGCCGACTATATCGGATAGCTCCCATACGAGAGATTGAAAAAAAAAAATCTCACTCCGTTGTTTTTGATCAGATCGAGTTGATTTCTTCCAGGTGGCGTTTTATAACTACTATTGAATTTCGGTTTAAATTTTATCGAAATCGGATAACTCTATCATATAGCTGCCATAGGAGAGATCAAAATATATATATAGAATTAATGGAAACTAATTGATAACGTCATTGTTTTTCATCACACGACAATGATTTTTTGAGTATCAAGTTTTTTAACTAGCCTTGATTTATAAAAAAATTTCATAAAAATCGGACAACTATATCATATAGCTGCCATAGGAAAGATCGAAAAATCTATATAGAATTAACGGAAATAAAATGATAACATCGTTATTTCTCATCAGAAAATGATGATTTTTGGAATATACAGTTTTCTAACGACTCTTGAATAACAAATTAAATTTCATCAAAATCGGACGGCTATATCATATAGCTGCCATATGAACAATAGTCAAAAATATGGAAAATTAATAGAAAAGTCGTCGTAGCTTCGATGTTGTTTAGCCTTTGTGTATTCAGTTCGAAATATTTGATGGCTGCAAGGGTATATAAGCTTCGGCTTGCCGAAGCTAGCTTCCTTTCTTGTTAGTTATTATAAATAGCAAAATAGTTGCATTTACGAAGCGTCTAATCACCACTTTATTTATCTTTATTTATTTAACTAAATTTGATTTATTTTTTCAATCAATCTGTAGGTTTCTGCGCCAACGTGCTTTTTTTCATTTATCGAGTATGATGGTAACTTTGTTTTAAATACAGCATCAAATCTTGAACTGTTTTTTATTGTTGTTATATTTCGTTTATTTTTTAACTTTTTTTTTTAAAACACCGAAAAAAATCACCTCAATATTTCACCTCGTTTTGTCCGCGCTTGCGTTTCTAACTCGAGCAGCCAGTGTGTGGAAAACACTTGCACTTTTCCAGGCAAGCGATTCGCTTTGATTAACATGGCTGCGTCGCGAGCTTCGCTTTTATATCGCCTGTCGGCCAATTTCCCGCAATAGGCAACTGGCTGGAGTTAAAGCCAGCAGGTAAAACACGCCAACATCGACAAACAGCATCAGCAACAACATTTGGCTGCCACTTCTCTGGAAACATTTGTGCGGCATTGTTGCGTGTGTCAGGCTGTTGCTGCATGCTGCATGTTGCATGTGGCTTGCCACCGACTAGTTCCTCTTTGCCGGCGGCGTACCCATCGCACTTGGCCACGCTTCAAGTTCAAGTTTACCAGCCATTGATCGCGTATCGTGGCTTCGGTGGTTTCGTTGTCGTTTCTGATCGACTTGCCTGCCTGCCTGGCTTTATTTTGATACGCTGTGTTCCGTCTTCCAAATCGCTTTTTGGGGGCGTGTCTCTCTTTTGGATCTCTGTCCCGGCTTCTTCCGCATTGCCGCATTGCCGTATGGTCATGGATATGGTAAAACGGGTTTTTAATTTCTTTTCGGGGGATGTCGGCGTTTTTCCAGTCACTAGTCGCAAGTATAGTTGGTAGTTGTCATTTTCCAGTTGGTCTTACTGAATCGATTCAATGGAAGGACAGTTGTATAGAGCGGAAAATTGTATTGTAAACAACTTTTGGCATGAAGTGGGGTAAGAAATCAGCCTTCACTAAACGGAAGAATTTAAGTAAAGTAAGGAGCTATGCAACTATAGAATCGGGTACAAGTCCCGAAGAAATAACCCCTTGTGGTACAGTTTAGGATCACATTTTTAAAAGCCATCTGAAATCTGGCTTGGAAAACCTCCCATTAAAACTCTTATTCCATTACTAAACCCATAAATTTATTACTGACTCCGAGGTGAACTGGTATTTGGTTTTAAGCGAATGATGGTTCCTTCCGATTCAACCGGCGAAGCTCCGGGTGCTCTCCTGCCTTTGAGTTGGTACAGTGCTGCCCGTTTCAAGTGGACGGAAGATGAGTGAGGAGCACTGGCGATGAAGGGAACGGCGCCAGTCGAGAAGGCCGCACTGCACCTTCCGCGGCAGCGCGGTGGCCCAGAGGGTAAGCCACAAGAGACAGGCGCCGATGAGTCCAGTGGCCAGGCCCAAAGTCCAGTACTCGCAGGCGAGAAAGGTCTGCTCTTCGATGGCCAACGCCTGGAGCACACCCACTACGGCACATTGGCAAAGGGCCTCTATTCGATGCCACAACTTTGTCAGTGTCACATCGAGCACCAGGCAACAGATGCCAGTTTCCAAGAAGAACGCTGCCCAGGACGAGTTATTGCTTCCATGATTCCTGCTCCTCATCCGCTGGTCGCCTGACGAAGCATTGGGAAAGATCCTCACCGCCTGGAGGAGGGCCACCACGCAAGCCGAGAAGAGCCAGGCGCCCAGAAGAGGAGCAGAAGAGCCCGGTGATCCGCGGAAGTAGTAGTAGTACGAGATGCCCAGAACGGAGTGCAGAATCACCGCCATGCCCAGCGCCGTTAAACGAGCCATCTTAAGAGAGTCCCTATTGGGTCTGGGTCACCAGTTCCTCCTCTCCAGTTTTCAATCCAAGTTCAGTCGGGCCGAGAAAACTTTTGAACGACACTTCAGTTTTGAATGACTTATAAAGCTTTAACAGACTGAGACTCGTCAAACAATAGTTAGAACCTTCGTATTCTATTCTAAGTGGACTGTTTTTGCATTGAATTGCTGCTTCTAAGTTTAATCTTTTCTAACATTTGTATTAGGGTTCATATTCAAACTGTTCACTGTCCGCGTCACAGTTGGAATCGCAAACATCGCGGCAATTATAGCCTCAAGTTAAACAGGCTTCGGTGCCAAGGCCTTGTTTTCCTGATTTTCAGCGAGCCCATTACCTGAAGCAAGTGGAAATGGAAAATGCACTCAAAAGTCGTCAGCTTACTTTCATTTTTCTTTGACCGGAGCTTTGCCGTTGATAGCTTTTGCGGTTTTCAGTTTATGTCCGATCATAAATAAGCTTACATTTCAATTTTCGGATTGGAAATGTGGAGAAGGCTTCTTGGAAAATGTTGATACTACTAAGTTTATATCTTAGATGGCTAATTGCCTTCTTTAAAACGTGAACGTTACAAGGAAAACCTGCATTTGATCAAGGCAAAGAAAACTTATTAAGCTTTAAAAATGCAGCCAAGAAGCAACTTCATTGCTGCGATTTTCTTGGCATACTTCGCGGAGGCAACGCTGAGCTGCAATGATCCCATAATCCGTGGACGCACTTGCTTCTCCCCGCCCGCCAGACATGACGTCCCAATCTTGGAGCAGCAAGCTCTCCGCTTCCTTTGTCAGCAAGTCATAAATCTTCGGATCCGACTGAACTTGATACATCAAAATGTTGGTCAAATTAAATTTCTTGCGCCTCGCCCTGGCGCTTTGCCCCCCGATTCTTTTTGAGTTTTCTCCCAGGAGCAGCTGCCAAGTAATTCGTCAAGCTGCTTTGTCCTCCTCTAGCGGCTGGGTGGGTTCCTTCCTTATCGCATCTTCTGGGCGAGCATTGTTGCTTCAGCTCCTCTTTGCTGTGCTGTGTGCAACTGTCTGCTGTCTCCGCCAACCACTTTCCACCCACTATCCACCCACTTTCCACCCACTATACGCCCACTGTCCGCCTCCCTTTTTGCTGGCTTTCATGTCAACTGCATTTTTCTTTTGCTGTGTTGCTGCTTGTAGTGTGCGCTTTTTCACTGCTTTAAACCACTTAATGGGTTTTTTTTTATGCGGACCTGGCTTAGACGGAGCAGAGAAAGGAGAAAGGAGCGGTGGTGCCTAGGGGCTATTCATGCTGCAGCTTTCTTGTAGCTTCATCCACAAAGACTTGCAATTCATCAAATCTCGTTAGCCTCGGCTTTTATAGAAAATCTGCAGCTGCTTTTGCTTTTGCTTCTGCTTTTATTTTCGGGCTTTTGGGGGCTGCCTTGCTTGCATTCAGCCGGCACGGCACGGCACGCCCCCAGACACTGAGTGGGCGTGGCCACAGCACCGATTCGCATCCGTTTTTCCATTTCCAAACGCACACGGCACGGCATCCCATCATCCCCATCATCCCATCTCCATCTCCATCCCCTCTGTCATTATTGACTAAAAAAGTCTTTAAGGCAACTCTTGCTTTGCTGCTGCTCCAATGCGCTCAACTTTAAGGGCTTTCTTCACCTGATCTGAACATCCTCCCTTTCCTTTGAGCTAATGAAAAGTCTGTGTCACCTGAAATGGAGTGGAATCCTTGCAGCTGCATAAGGCTGAGGGAGCTGCTCGCCTAAACAAAACCAAAACCATGCCAGGAACTACAATAAACGAGAGCTAGCCAATGCATTTTTAATGCCACAACCAGCCAGTCCGCCAGTCCGGCAGCCAACCCGCAACCCACCTTAATACATCCGAGATCCGGGGGGAGGATGTTTGCTCTCCAAGTTCGGTTGCCTTACAAATGTTGCCCTGGCACTGGGACACAACTGCCAAGTGGCCACCACTTTGCGATTCTGAGGCTAAAAAGAGCTCCCTTCACAACTTATTTCAGATGCCAGCCCTGAGTGTGTTTCATTACTTTCTTCTTACAAATTACAAATTACCAAATAATAAAACAAAATTAATGTATCTCATAATAACATAAACACGGGTCTGTTACTAAATTATTGACTCTTAAATAAATACTTGGACACCAACAGGGCTCAATTCAGAGTATATCTATTTGGGGAAACACTGAGGGCAGAGTGGTCTTTGCTTCACCTTTGACCAACACTTTTTTTTTTCTTTCGAAGTCAGTGTTGGTCAGGCCAAGTGTTGGCAGAGCATTTGGAAAGCACTTCTGCTAAGTGGGAGCAGGCCAAACGTTTCACGCACTGGAGCAGCTGGTCCTGGGCACCGTTTTCTGGTTCTCTGCATGCGGATTCTCCCCGAGCCTTCTGGCGCCCTCATTTGCTGACTCCTGGTAAAGTGCCCTATATCACGCACAGGCAAACATTGCAAGGACCCCGAAATGCATTCAATTAACAATTTCTCCAGCCCTCTCTCTACTCTACTCCCGGCATAAAACTTTGCTGGCTTGGCTGCTGGAAAACTGCGAGCAGAGGGTGGTGTGGTGGTGGCTTTTAATCAAAAACTTGCATTTGCCAAGTGGCAGGGCAACTTTTGGCCCAAGTTTTGTGTGTGGCTCCAGAAGTGGGTAAACTTCTCCAAATTGTGACGTAGACAAAAGTCAAATCCACCCTGATGGTATTGATGTTCCCCAACCCATGTGCTTTCAATCAGAAGAGTAGTTTTTTAAGATATGGACTATAAATCTACCACATAAGAAAGCTTATCAAATAAGGTGTTCACCTAAAACCCCTCTAATCGCTTGCTGGTAAATTTAACAATAAAAATCATATTTTTATAGCACTATTACTTTTCTATAATTACCTACAAAGGATTATAGTTATGATAAGCTCAACTTCAAATTAAATACTCCTTCATGCCAGAAAGAAATGTCAGAAAGCAAGTGGATGCCGTAAGGAAACTTGTGAGAAACTTTAAAGAATTGCGGAAAAAAGAGCGAAACCAAAGCCAAACACCAATTGGAGCTCAAAATACAGGAAATGAATTTTTTAAGGATGAGGAGAAGAAGGATGGCTGCCGGGTTGCCGGGTTCGTGCCATTAAGCAAAAGTAATTAAGCGTCGATGCGTTTCATTTGTGTTACTTTTCTGGGCAATTACTGCGGAAAGTTTGCAGTAGAGCGGCGTAAAATGTTCGCTGTTAAGTGTGTAGACCCGGTAGACTGCTTAAAAAAGTTAACACCAACCAAGAATAGATCCCCAGAAGAGGATAGTTTGCGTGCGCGAAGGCAACAGGTGACCGTACTGCTACTAGTACTATTCTGACTACACCATCACCATCACCATCAGCACTTCCATCATCATCATCATCATCATCATTATGGAGGCCATCATGGCGGGCAACAATTTACCAACTACCGGGAATTCCTCTGGCCACTGCAATGTGCAAAAAGTGTTTCTCATTAAAAAGTTGTTTTACAATTTTATTATCCTGTCGTTACCGAGGTAGTTGTAGTCAGTCATCCTAGCCCTTATCCTCGTCCCCCAGGTGCTGGTTCTTTGTCACGAGCTGCTGAGCTCAACCGGGTGACAATGTCAATAAAGCAAACAAACTTCGCACCCGGCCAAAAGCCCTGCGGCACCTCCTCATAAAATTATTTTTAAATTACTTGAAACAAGAAAGGAAGTTATCTTTGGCGAGCTCTGAAGCTTATACACCACACTTGTAACCAAAACAAATGTCGGGAAAAATGCAAACATATATATTATAGATATAAAAATGTATATAAAAGTAATTAAGCAAAAATTAAAATTTCCTTGTTCCTTACCATACGATATAATACCCTCTGCAAGGGTATAAAAATATCAGCAGCGCAAGAAAACTCAAAAAAGTTATCAAAACCAGAGAATACAAAATAATAACGGACGAGGACCAAACAAAAACGTTTGCGATGCTCTGGGGAAAACCCGGAGCTATAGTTGTATTGTTGGGAAAACAATTTTCACAGAAATAAAGCTTTCTGAGGTTTTTCGTGACCCAATTAACTCATATATACTTAAGAGTTTCATTAGCAAAATCACCATTTATGAGCTATTTTTTCAAAACATAAAATGGCATTGGTTCCTGGAATGAAAGTTAGGAGTCCCCCACTTATAACTCTTATTAATATATATATATATATATATATATATTCTTAAGAGTTTCATTAGCAAAATCACCATTTATGAGATATTTTTTTCACAAACATGAAATGAAAGTTAGGAGTCCCCCACTTATAACTCTTATTAAGATAAAGATTAAGCGAATGTGTGGCGCTAATGCTTCCAGTTCCATAACGAAACTGACACAGTCATAACTTTATATACTATTCTGTGGGTTAGGCAAGACAATTAAATGGTTTATCTTTATGCGTGTTATTTTCACCTTTTTTTGTTAGTTAGTCATGTGTTTATTAACCAAGGAGATATCGCCTTAGCAAGTGTTTTTTTTTTTTGGATTTCGGAAACGAAAATTGATAAAAGAGCAATAAAAATGTATGTATAAGAATGGCGCACAATCGAATTGAGGAATTGATTTCTAATCAGGAATTAATTTGCCCCAACAGTGAGCTATCAGTTTATCGAACCATCTTTCTAGGCCATTTTTGTTGGGTTTGCAACTCATATTTTTGATAAACAAGTCGTTTTACAGTCCAGCTGGGGTGTCGATCGATTATTTTTATATTATTACCACCGGATTGGGCCTATTAAATTGGCAAATTTGATAAAGCTCGTGGTCGCAGATAGTTTGCTATGAAGGCGGTTATCATTGTAGCCACTCTCGTCGAGGTGATTAGATTGCGGACCCAGGTGGAAAGAATCTCTCCCAAGCGCTCAGTACGCGGTCGAGCATAATGTCAGCCAGAGGTGGCTTTGCCCGCCTCATATTTCTGGTGGCTGCGGCCGTCTTCGCGCTCCTCCTCCTCCTAAATGCTCTGCAGCGGACGGATGACCTTAAACCGAATGTTCCTCCCGGCCGAAGAACAGAAGTGAGCCCTGCAAAGGTAACGCCGCCGCCTGTTCACCACCTGGAGGAGCCCATGAAGGAGGAGCTGGTGCGACAACTGGAGCAAGAATTGCCCGAGGTGGACTACGGCTTTTGGTACCACTTCGCCAAGCCCAAGGGCTACAAAGTGAACAATACCTGCGCACCATATCCCGATCCGTTGGACCTACAGCTGCACAACATCTATTGGCAGACATTTGTGAACTCGAACGTGACCTTTCGCCTGTACGCCGCCTATTTGGATACAAGAGAGGCGTTGAAGCGTCCTACGGTGAGAATTTTGTCCACTGCCAATCAGATTGGCGACGATTTCCCACCGACGCACTGTCAACTGTGGTTCGAGGGCCGTCACGAACCCATTTTCGTGCCCGTGGCCGAGTATCTGAGTGTGTGGGTGAAGGCGTGGGGCAGCAAGAGGAACCTTAACTACCCGCACCTGCTGAGCTGCCCGGTTCCCGATGAACTGCCACCGTCGGTGACACAAACGTTTCCCAGGACCGTGTCGCTGGTCTCGCAACGTTGTGAAAAGGCCAGCAACTCGTTGAGGGTCAACCAAGTAAAGCCCGACACCACCTCTCAGAATCAGAATGCCTCCGCGAGCAAAGATCAGAATCAAACCACTAGTGAAGAGGCACCTCTGAATTTCGGAGTTTGCGTTAAGGGCTTCGACTTTCCATATGTGGACTTATCGGAACGCCTGATAGAATGGTTTGAACTGCAAAAGATTTTGGGTGCCTCACGGATATACGCCTATATGTACGACGCGCATCCGGCAGTGCAGCGGGTGCTGGACTACTACCAGCGAACGGGATACCTGGAGCTGCGACCCCTGACCTTGGCCAACGGAATGCCCCGGTTGAGGCACTACCAGCACATGTTGCTGCAGCAGCGGAGGCTGGAGAAGCGGTTGAATGAACTGATACCCTACAACGACTGCTTCTACAGGAATTTGTATCGGCACGATTATCTGGTCAATGTGGACGTGGACGAGGTGATAATGCCGCTGGGCGAGAATCGCAATTGGCATCAGTTGGTGCAAAAGGCCCACGCTCTGGAGGCTGAAAAGGGTGGCACATGTGCCGGGCGATTTCCGGCGTTGTGCTTCATAAACTCGTACTTCACCAAAGTGCTTTCCGAGTTGAGCAACCACGAGGAGCAGGCCATCGCCGGGGAGCTGTTTGTGCTGCAGCACACACAGAGGTTCAAGAACTACTCGCTGCCGGGAAGGGCCACCAAGTGCTTCCACAACGCGCGTCTCTCCTTGACGCTGCACAACCACTTCACTCTGAAGTGGCTGCCCGGCGGCTGCAATCCCCGCACTCTGGAGACCTCGGTGGCCCAAATGCAGCACTACAGGGAGCCGGATAAGAAGTACAATGCCACCGATCTGGTGGAGGACCGCAGTGTCTGGAAGTTCGCCGGGGAGCTGCGTGCTGCCGTGGAATCAGTGTGGCTCCATTTGGACGATGTGCTGGCCCAAATCAGTGATCCCGATGAGCAGCTGGAGGAGTCACTCGACCAGGACGGCGAGGAATTGGAGAGAGAGCAACAGCCCCTCCAGCCAATCCTCCAGGCTCCACAACTGCCCACAAGATGAGTTGGAATAGGAATAGTTATATATATATTATATAGGTTATATAGGATCAGAGCAGTGGCGGTGATGTAGTCCATTTTGTCTTTTTTATTAGCCTTAAGTTTTAGTTTTTCCCTGCAATGGTAAATTTTCGACGAACCACGCATCTTTTAGTCGAAGAACGGGGCTTAGATTTATCTATAGTTTTTTTAATTTATTATTTGTTTCTTCAGAAAATGAACATGCTTAGTAATCTACATAATGATCTGATTGACAAAAATAGTGTTTTACCTTGCACTGCAGGAAATCGATCCATCATACTCGACAAGTTTAGAGAGTAGTTTCTCAGCTGGTTTTGTTGCAGTGATAACCTCGGAATTTGCAGTGATTGATTGCATCTGGTCTGCGGAATATCTTATCGACGCGGGAGTGGAATGATATTTGCGTCACTTTCCCCGACCCTTTCGATATGTTTACTTCTTCCATCGTCGAGCAAGCGAACCTCATTGACTCCAAACACACAATTCTTTATAGCGGGAAAAGTCGGCGAAGATAGTGCGCGTCGACAGCTAAAATTGGATTCGGGGAATATCCCACATACCGCTAAAGGTTTTTCAATGATATTGCTCAAAAAAAAAAAGATAACGTATCAATTTGAGGGCACATAAGTGTTTTTATTTTCGTATTACTGGCTTAGTTGAATAACTTATATAAGTAAACTAAAAAGAAATATTTTTTTTTGCTAATTTATAGTTTTATCTTTTAAGAGTGTAAGGTTCCAATAAATATTTAAAGCAATCGCGAAATACATTTAGTTTGCTCTCTTTAAGGCTTCTCTATAATTTATTATCGGCAGCTTATCAAAGCGTTCTACAAAGTGCGAAAGCAATTAAAACAGCAATGGCAATGCGGATATTACGATTAGTAGCGCCAATTTCTTTGGGTAGAACCTCTAAAATATATTCCAGATACAGTGACCGTACAATTGCTAAACTTGGCCAGTAAAACCGAGTCATTGTACACGATAAGCCAGCCGTTTATGTTGCTGCTATTACTGTTGCTTTACCGGCTTATCAGCTGGTATCATTACTAGTTTGGAGGTCTTTTGTTAGAGTTTTGCTGCGTCGATCGACCCACAACGCAACCGTATTAAAAGTAAGCCCAACAGTATGCAACAATTATTTTGTATTAAAAAATGGGGCAGAGGCTTTGACCCTGTTTTTTATTTAAGGCTACTTTGTATCTATAAAACATTTTCTCGTAAATTACGCTAGGTTAAGTTCAGAAGGCACTGAACAGTTTCCAGTAAATAAATGAAATTTATAAAAAAAAAATTGACCCTATTTTCATAACACTCATTAATCAAAGTCTTTTGAGCTTTTCTTCTGAGTGATTTCGTCTCTTAAATTCTTTGTTGTTCCTTGAGTATTTTAACCTAAAATTAGTTAACAAATCGAACGCATTTGTGGGGCCTTGGTAATTCCATTTTGGTTCGCGTTCGGCATAACCTGGTTTATTATAAGAAATTTCTTAGTTCACATTAAATTATATGGTAGCGATACTGGCTATCAAAAAACTAAGATAGCAACAAAAAAAAAAAAAATTTAATTCCAAGTTCCAAGAGTTCGGGAGGTTTGGTTTAGGGCCGCATCAGAAGCATTGTAGCGCCGAACAGAGTGCTGGCCAAGGAATAGGTGAGCCCGGTGGCCGTGTTGTTGGTGGAGGCCGCCAGCAGGATGGGCTTCTCATTGCTGCGGGCCGCAATCCAAGCCTGACAATCGGTTTCGTTCTTCACGAAGCGGAAAATGGACTGGACAATGTTGGCGGGCGTGATCTCAGAGCACTGCTCCAAATGATGAACGACACAGGACTCGAACTTCTGCAGGTCCACGCAGTGCGTGGGCGTGAACAACAGCTCGGGGTTGCTCATCAGGTCGGGAATCGGACCATCCTTGGGGATGTACTGATGGAAGGATTGGTTGAAACAGTGATTGATGGCCTCCTTATTGGCCTCCAGGCACTCGGGTCCCTTCTCGGCGACAAAAAGGGCGATCTGATCGCCGCCCCGCGAGCATGCGAATCCCAGAAGAGCCGCTCCAATGCGGTTCACCTTCTCCTGCTGTCGCCTCTCCTCGGCGGTCAGGCAAAGCTGAGCCTTCTCCTGGAACTCCTTGACACAGGCCTGCAGCTCTGGCACCTTCTGACACTTCTTGTGGAACACGTTGTCCAGCTCGCCATTGGGCATCGCCAGATCCAATTCCTCCTGCAGAGTGCTGAAGTTGGCCGCCCCATTGATGCAGGCGCTCATTTTGGTCGCCGCCTTCTGTACATCTTCGTAGAAGGTCGCATTGTCCACTCCAGTCACTTTCTTGCACTTTGCGCGATAAATCCGCATTAAGTCATCTACAGGTGGAGAACGAGATAAGCACATTAGCGTTGGTAATGGTAAAAAACAACTTGGTTGTCGCTGCAGAACAATTGAAAAGAAGTGAAGAAATGTACCGACATAAGTTTCTCCCCCACAAAAATCCAGTGGTCAATGGTTGTTGGAAAGCTAACTCCCGAAAATATTTAGAAATATGGGTTTACTCTGAGAAATAGCTTATACGTAATGAGGCGTAATGTTTTTAGTCGATAAAAAAAGTTGAAGTTGTTACAGTTTTTCCTAGTTTACTAGCTCAGTGGCCCATGGTCATCTTCCTGTCCCAAAAACTTACCCGCACTGACGTTCGTGTTGCGGTATTCAGGCGGTAGGAACTGGGCCGAAAGTCCACCTAGCTGGCTGGGATCCAACTTGGATGCGGTGGCAGCTGGACTGGCCGTCACCTCCAGAAGCACGGCTCCCAAAGCGGCCAACATGCAGATGGCAAACATCGCGGACTTGTTCATAGTGGCTTCAATGGAGGGCAGTAATTGTGGTGGAGGAGCAGTGGTTTCCGTTCGACCCCTTTGTAGATCCGACTGTGGCTGAGTGAGGTTCGTGAGTGAATGAAGGCGACTTCTCCCGGCCACACAGCTCCTCAGCAAAGCGAATCCGTACAGTGGTTCGAAGTTGATTGAACATTGATTCAAAGCAAGTAACAAAAAGCAAGTTGCAAAACGCAGTATTGATTATCTTATCGCAAGCAAACGTATTAGTTTGTGTAATATAGGGAGCTCATTTTTTATATTTGCTTTAAGTATGATTCAGGTGAACTTTTTTTCACTGAATGCTTGACCAATGTGCGATCGCGTTTCGGCTTCGTGTGATTAACGACAGTGTGACATCATTACGCCTCCGCTGCTGTTTCTGAGCGAGTCCGTTTTCGTTGCAAGTATTTTGGTGGCCAGGCAAAGTGCAAAGTTTTCCTGGGTGGTTCTTTTTCCGGCATTTACACATGGTAGTTATGGGTTAATGATTCACCATAGTGCGGGCAGCCGGTACCTCGCCTTCTACCCATTATCGAGGAAAAAGGGGATAGAAACGAAAATCAAACACGGAGACGTTGGCGCTGCCGCTAAATTGTAAATTTGGCAATATTTCCTGCCTTGATAGTCGTCAGCCGATCGGCTTGAGTCCGCCGACACATATCTTATCGAAATATACGTAATATTTATGTACTTGCTATCGCAATTGTCGGCGGGCTGCGTTTCTTTTGAATTTAAACCAGCATTTGTGAGGAATGGGGTATATGGTTTATCGAACCCAACTAAAATGTTTATCACTGCGGTCATATATGTTACAAAGTCATATTCATGTTACAAAATGGTACAACTAATGAATCAACACGTTAACAATAAATTACCATCTTATTTTATTGGTGATATACACAATCGGCTATCCGTTCTGCATACAGAAGGGTATTTGTTAAATATACATAATTCACCGAAGCTCAATGCCAGATATCGGATGGTTAGAAACTCTACATGCCTGTGTTTCCAGTTGAGTCGACAATCTGTCACCGCACAGCAACAACAAGCTGATTGAAAATAAAAAGCAAAGCGACGCTGGGATTAAGCAGTTTCCCAATCAATTGCTATATTTCTGCCATTTCCCTTGGATCGTCTTGGGTCGGTTTCAGGTGGCTCTTTGTTTACGCGTCTCTTTATTGTTTAGACAGCGAATTCCGTAATTGTAGTCTCACATTCAGTGCACTCTTTATTATGATTATGTGTCGAAACCCACGCTTTTTCATACCTTAGAAAGAATCTGAGAGCACTGCAGAGAGATTAAAGCCTCTGTGATAGGTAGTTCCCATATGATCTTGAACGCGACTTGCGACTAGACTAATTTTAATTACTCACTTGCTGTCTCGGCATCTCGAATTTGACTATCAAAGCGCGTACGAACAAACCAGTTCACATAATGGCGTAAAGTGGGCAAAGTTCAATCAACTGGCGACGTAAAAGACTGATTAGGACTTGGTGGTCTAGATCATACATAAGAAACACATACAGTTTTTGATTTTTTAATGATGAGGGATGAGGGAAGGGGCCTAATCTTCCGAAGGTTCTTGAAAAAGAAGCTTAAACTATCGTTTTATAAGAGGTTCTTATCAATATAAATGAATGTGATGTAATAATGCGTAATCAGCTGAAAATAACATAGCATACTTAAACTACCTATAAACAGAAAAAGTTGATACAACTACTGCATACTTTGAAGCATTCCTACGAAAGACGAAAGACAAGGGGCTATAATTATGCTAAAATGATTTTGATAAAGTGAATATTAGATATTAATTCGCCACGATGAAGACAGAAGATATGACATGGCAAAACAGGAAAATCGGTGTGATTATGGTTAATAGACCTAATGCGCAAAGGAAAAGAGATTGTAATAATGGAAAATCATAATCATAATCGTGGCTGTGGTATTTGAAGTATTAAGCATACGCCATGTTGCACGCTCCAGCTTCGGCGAAGGAGCTGCTTATGAAGCCAAACCAATAAGTTGTTGACCTCCGCCCTCTAGAATTCCATTGCTTTACCAATCCGGTTAGCAATTTGTGGCAACTGCACACACACTTGCCCAGGGAAATGAATTCAAGTAAATGGATATGCGCCTGCTCCGCCTGCTCCACTTTTCCCTCCTCGCCAGCTGCTGCTATTCTTTCCAACTGCCTTAATCAGATATCGTCAAGGACTCGCATGGGGAAGAGAGAGCTTGCTGTTTGCCTTGCTGGCTGCTTTATGAGCTTAGTCCGTGTGCTTTACTGCCCAATTAAGCTAGGAAATACATTTAGCAAGCTAATGAATTATAAACACACACACACGTGCAACAACCGGCAATACAGTACGAGAAAAAACCTAGAGAGAGTTCGGAAAGCCAAGGAACGGAGCATCCGACATTTCAATGCTCTCCTCGGGATCCTAGGAATCATCTTCATCTTGGGTGTCAGCATTTATACTTCTGAAAAGTGTGTGTCAAAATGGACCAAATGAATTACGATTTTGGAGTGTTATGCGCTTCGCAACTGTGCTCTTTTAGGCAATATTTGTATATAATAAGATATAGTTTTAGATTTTCTAATTCTAATCACATTCACCCAAAAAAAACAATGCTATTTTGCATACCGTGTCCAATGACAATGAGAATATCATATAAAGTCTGTGAACTTATTAGCAACTTTCGCATAACGCTAATCAAAGGTTCGGGGAAACCCATCCTGCACAAATCTACTCACCAATGCGCAGAGCTTTCCTTGTTGCCAACTAGTTAAGTATTCCAGATTCCATACGGAACCAGTTAACTTTTCTCTTCGTTAGCTGCTGCTGCCACACATTTGCCCCAACCCCACCACCGCAGTTGTGCGTTCTGCTCCGGAATCAAACATGCCACGCCGTACTCGGCTTGCAGCGCTTTATCCTTTTAAATGAAATTAAGCTAATTTGGAGTACAGGCAGCGCAGCGCGTCATCGTCGTCCTGGGCCAGGAAATGAATTCGGTGGAAACGGGAACGGAACTCATTCTCGCCGTGAAGTTTAATTCAATGCAAAGGGAGGCCAACACACACATACACAGCCACCAGGCTCATACATATGCATCCTATACACCTGCGTGCCAAATCCAAGTTGTGTATGTGTGAGTTAGCCATTTGCAACACATGCTACACGTCTGTGATTCCCCCTACTTTTACCTGCCCGCTGCCCATTCGTTTACCCGGGTATTGTAATTTATTATCCTGCATGGCAAAAAGGATTTTCATCAATTAATCATGCTGATGATGCTACTGCAGCTAGACAGCAAGCACTAACGTACACATTTCACTGTCCGCTGTCCGTTGTCCGTTGTCCGTTGTCCGTTGTCCGCTGTCCGTGGCACAGAATTCGACCATTCGACCCAAAGTCCTAAACGGCGAATCCTTTTCTTTGAACAAAAGATTGAGACCTGGGCTATGGACCTTAAATCTAATAAATTAGTGCGACATAAGTGGGTTAGGGTCAGGGTGGCGATCCCGAACCAAGGGAGAAATCGGTTTAGTTTACCTCAACTCAAAACTCCGAACTTAAAGTAATGCAAATATTAGTCAAAATCAACACGAGCAAGTTGGTTTAAGCTGGTGGCGAAATAAAGGTACATACATGTGCTCGTTATGTGAATATATGTTATCTAATTTAAGGTCATTAGTAATATCTAGTTTCCAAATTAAGTTCGAACAAGCCTTTACTTGAAAAGTTTTATTTCGAAATGGCAGGTTTCCATTTCTTCCATAGCATCCGCCTATTGTCTACGAAACTCGGAGAGATTAAGGTGAGTCGCCGTCGCCGTCGCCGTCGCCCACTCCGCAGGTGGCCTTGGCCTTATTGACTCGTCGGTTAAGCTCCTCGAACTGCCGTGTGTCCTGGCATCTCGGCTCGCATGTGCCATCCTGTCTGGAGGAGCGTGATTTATGGAGTGCCGAGCCGAAGTTAAGTCGGGTGGGTGGGTTGCCTGCTGCCTGACCAGTCGATGCACTCTATGTGTGCGGGCATTTTAATTCGATGCCCGAGTAAATCAGCTTAAAGTGCATGAATGGTCTTTTCATGGACAATTTCATCAATTATTCAAAGCACAGGACGCAGGACTGTTCCAAAGTTCAAGTAAATTATTGCCTGGCGGCAGCAGGCCAGCAAACAGTGCCAAGTGCAAAGTTCGAGCCAATTTTTCGTATAGTTTATTATGCAAAATTTAATTTTAATAAACAAATAGGGGAAAATGAGGTGCAGCTGGCTGGCAGAGACTCGTTTGGCCAAGGGTGCCAGGTCAATGGCAATGGCTAACTGCATTGCGATGGAATTCGAATTCGTTTGGCAGTGCCTTTTAGTCCGAATGATTGATTGATTGACTCGCTGACGTTCTGTTCTACTTGTTCTGTTTGCCATTGCTGCTGAATGTGAATGTGTTGTGTGCGGGCGAAAGCCAGTAGGATTATGTCTGCCTCTGCCGTGGCCCTGTTAAATTTCCTTATTATTTCCATTTACGGTTTTCAATTAGTGCAGTTAGATTGAACTGCGTTCTTGTTATCCCCGAGCACATACACATGTGGAGAAGTCAATGCTCTGGCAACGTAAGTGATTGAGATTTGTGTCTCGTATTGCTATTCCCCAGTAGAGTTGAGTATTGTATTATAAAAGGGCAATGCGTAGAAACCCGCCGCAAGTTGGTAGAACTACTTAGTTGTAACAATTGTGCAAGAATTTGGAAGAACAGAAACAGATAAGTTAAAATTAATCCTATGGTTGGTAAAGGGAATGGGTTGTATCAAAAAGTCAGCCACTTCAGCTTACCCTTTGGTGGATTCCCCCTGGTGAAACAATTCAGATCTGCAAGGGCCAGTGGTGGTGGCAGTGGCTCAATGATCTTTCCCCTCAACCACGACCTTCTGAGTGGAGGCGGCGGAGCCTCAGTTTGGACCGGGTTAATTCGGGTCATAAATTTGCTGGCGATACTGGTTGTTGCTAGTTGCTAGTGCTCCTGCTTCCCGGTTCGTTCCCAAGTAATGCTCTTGCCTCCGCCTCGGTGATATAATGTGACACCAGCTGCTTAATGTTTTGGTTAAAAGCATTCTAAGTGAAATGCAACAGGGCGGAGACACGACCACGGACGACGGAGTTGTTGCAGTCGACTTTCACTGGCCGCAAGCAGTAGACAAAGGCAGGGAGGGAGCCTCGCTGGCGGTTGGCAAAGTGGGGGCATGCCCTGCTCTCGGGCTGGCAATTTGCTTAAGCGAAAGGTTGCTGCCACATATGAGCTAAGGTACACACATCTTTAAGTAGTGTGACAGTGGGCCCATGTGGCACATATCAGGGAATGGGGAATCAAGCTTTAATCTCAAAGAAGAACTATTTTAAGTACGCTTGTTTCAATTTGATTAACATGGCTGTGGCTTTCAGTAAAAATTATCTGAACTGTAATATCGTGTAATTTTATTCCGTGACTCTACCATTTTTCGACACTGTTCGGAATGAAGTTGCTGGTGCTGCTGCTTTTGCCTGCGGCTGTTGTGGCAACATCATCATCATTCATTTGCGCCCAGGTGCGTTTTCGTGTGTGCACTCAGTACTTCCCCCCGTCACCCCGTTTTCATCGACGCTTAGTTTGCACTCGTATTAGGAGTTGAGCTTTAGTTTTCATTCCCGGTGTCTGTTGCACCCACCTTGCGGCACTTTTCTCCAGATCCTTGCAACGCGGTGCCACACACGTGAGACTCCTCCGCCTCCTCCTTCTTGTTTGTTGTTCTTAGAACTTGCGCCTGATTCCGCTCGGCTGGTTTTGTGTGTCTGCTTGCGTTACAGTTGCTGTCTCTGTTTTGGTTTTGGTTTCCGCTCCTGTCCTCTGTTTTTTGGGGCTTTGTCTGGCCGACGACGTCTTAGTCTTGCCAAAACCAAGGACGCCCCTTTAAAGCTTCAGCATGTGCACACACATATGACAATCAGAAAGATGTAGAGCAAGTAGATGTTTATTTAAAGAAACCATAACAGAAAGTTTATATCAATAAGTTCGACTCAGCACAGTGCAAACAGGAAAGGAAGCTAGCTTGGGTTTGCTGGAAAACTAGTTTTAGTACTTACTTACTTACTAGTATTTCCATTCAGGCCGTGATGCTGATCAAGAATATATATACTTGATGGGTTCTGAGGTGTCTCCTTCACTGCGTTGCAAACTTATGTCTGAAATTACAATACCCTCTGCGAGGGTAAACAAAATTAATTTCAACATTTTGCCTTATTTGTTTCTATACTTCAGACACCGTGAGTTTTGGGTGGCTTACAAGCGCCTTCCGTAAGGTCACCGCTCCATGGCGATGTATAAAGAAAACAGCTTAATCAAATATTTCGGCATTTAAGTTCAGAACAGACGTCGTACTCGCTGCGCAGTCTGCAGGTTTTTCTTTTGTCGATCACTCAGCTTTTGGGTGGTGCGCTCCTCGTGTACTGACATCTAGAATCTGACGGCCAGTTCCGGATTAGTCAAGTGCCGAAATGACGTCGAGCTACACGCGCCTGTTCCGCGTCCTATTCGTTATCATATTCCTGAAGTTGCTCTTCCTTCTCGGCCTCTATTTGCACAGTTACGACGGCGTTTCCAGGTTTCACAGGAGTCCGCAAGTGGACATCTTCGACGAGTTGCTAGTGGATCGAAGGGAAAGTAAGCATAGATAAAGCTCTTTAATGGCGAGAAAGAAAATAAAAGCAAATCGAATCTGTAGTGCCCTCGTTGGAGCAGCGAATGAAATGGATTCGTGAGGAGATGCCTTCTTTTCCGCTGGAAGAACTAATTGCCAGAGAGAATCTGCATTTGCCTTCACCAGCTTGTGGCCCGGCGCCAGATCTGATGAATATTGACTTCCACAATACCTATTGGCAGAGGGCTGTTAATCAGAACCTCACGTACTACCTCTTCGCAGCCTACTACGATGCTAGGGAAGCAGTGCCAGAGGCTCCGCTGGTTCGTCTTTTGGCAATGGTAAACCAGCACAAGGACGACTCCTACAAGTACCCCGAAATCTTCTGCCAGTTTTGGTTTAAGGGCGTAGCTTCACCGGTTATTGTTCCCGTTTCGGAGCACCTGGTCATGTGGCCATTTGGGCACGCTCCTCGGCGATATTACCCGACATTTTTGAGCTGTCCCTTGCCGGAGGGTCAGTATCAATGGCAGGTCCCCAAGATGGTTTCCTTGACGGCCAAGAAATGCGACAGGGCAAGAAACCTCTTGAGGGTGATTTACGAAACAGACGAAACAGCAGATGTTGCCAAAGATCTGGGAAAGCCCGAAGTGAACGCCACGTCGTCCTCCAAATCCACCGATCCCAAATTTGTGATATGTGTAAAGGCCATGGATTTTCCGTATGAAGATAAGTCCTGGCGCCTGATCGAGTGGTTGGAGCTAATGCGTTTGTTGGGCGCCCACAAAGTGGTGATGTACGATGCCCAAATGCATCCGAATATGACGAGGGTGATCAACGACTATTTAACCACGAGTCCCGGCTTCGTGGAGCTTCGTCCAATGTCCTTGGGCCGGGGGGAGCCGCATGCCCGACCACATTTCCAGCACTATGCAATGATGGCGGATGGCTTCAATCGAATCCTGAACGAAATGATACCGTACAACGACTGCTTCTACCGGAATATGTACAAGTACGACTATGTCGCTGTGTTCGATATCGACGAAGTGATAATGCCACTCGGCAACTGCACCACCTGGCCGGAGTTGGTGAAACTAGCCCGGATTGTTCCGGACTATGAGAGCCGCACTCCCGCAGATTGTGAGGAGTGGGTGAGCTTCTGTTTCCGGAACGTGTACTACCCAAGGTATCCAGAGCGTCCGAAGGTTTACCGGAACTTGTCCAGCTCCTTCTACATGCTGCAGCACGTGGAGCGGGTGAGGCAGCATTGCAATCGCGGGGCGGCAGCAAAGTGTATCCACGACACCCGATTCGCCGTCGGACTGCACAACCACTTCACATTCTATCACACCGAGGAAGCGGCATGTGCCGCCAAATCGGTGCCCATTGAGTTTGCCCAGATGCAGCACTATCGCGAACCCGACACGAAGTCCCTGCTGATCGATCCCATTGTGGATGCCAGCATCTGGCGGTTTCAGCCCCTTTTGCAGGCAAGAGTTGAGCAACGATACCGGAGACTGGGCTTCCTGCCCAGCGAGCAGCAACTGGCGGAGACTCTGGAAAGTCGTCGAAGGCGGGATGAACTGCAATTGAGGGAGGCCGTGGGAGCAGCCTAGGATCTTATCAGGAGAAAAGCTCCTAAAAACTTGAGCGTTTTTCTGTACATTTTTTTTTTAGCATGACTTAGTAATACTTGGACTCCTAGTGATTTTATGAGTAGAATATTTAATAAATACGCCTATGTATATATGATATATTAAGAAGCTTCATATGTTCAGAATATCTTGTTCTTTATTAAATAAAATTTTGTTTTGTATTAACTGTAATGTAAATGTTTATAAACGAGCCTGTAAGGCATCTGTCAAAAAGAACACCAACTGGAATTAAATGAGTCCGATGTTAAACGAAGAATTGTTGGTACATTAATGAACGGACCCAGTTGGGCAAATAATACGTAAGATTGGGGGTATTTAAACAAGAGAGATCATATTAAATAGGTATATTTGACAATAACATATCTTAAACGCATAATGGCCTCTTTCTTTGCTGGCTTCTGTGAAATTCGCATGACGTCTGAAGACAGGTGGGTCATGAAAGCGTTTTTCGCCAAGTATCATGGACGTCAATCCAAAGATGATGTGTGTGTAAAAGAGAATTCAAAACCCCAAATATTGCACAATTTCATTAACCAATGAGCTCGTTTCGTTGCTACTATTTATTTTCTTTGTAACCTCTGTTGAGTTAGCATTTATGTTGCTCGAGAAAGAGGTTGCAAGAAGTCCTGGTCATTAGCTTCAGTTGGCCACAAACCGTTCAACTCGATGTATGTGACCGGAGAGCCCCGGAGAGCAGCTTTCTGTTAACAACTCTTTAAATATTGGAAATGATTTAGCAGCTTTAATTGATTATCCGTCACACCCGACTGCGACAATTTTAGTTCATGCATTTTTATGCTCCATAAATTAATAATGATGTGTTTGCATTTAAGCTTCAAGTGGTTTTTTCACAACGATTCGTCGTTTTGCAAAAATGCACATAGAATTTTATTTATTTTGCGCACTGAAACTGCACAGACTCATGCTATTTAGCCACTTCTAATTTTTTACATTGCAAAATAACACAAAACTGCAAACATTGCAATGTGCTAATAATAACAAATATGCAAATAAAAAATTCGCACTGAGCTAAACTCTGAACAAAAAGCGCGATACAGGACAAAATTATTCATTATTATTTGGCCAAATGGCGATATTATGGTATAACCAAAAAGACAAAGTGTTGTTGGAATGCAAATTATGCGAACAAGCCACAAAAGCAACTGGTTCGGTGATATTTTTAATTAAATGTTAGCACTTATCCAGAGGCGGGTAACCGGAATGACGAAAATATTTGAGCATCCAAGGAAAGTTCAAAGGCAAACAAAGGAGAGCCAAAAAGAAGGAAGAAAACTAAGTAAAGCGAAACCGGAACCGGAAGCGCAAGGCAGTGACAATGGCGTCGCGTCACACAACTGTCACCAAGAGACAGTCAGTATAATTGAATCAAGTGTCTTATCTTAAGGTTCCCGAAAGGGTAAATAATTTCAAGGATATTTAAGTCTTGTTTTTTTGGTTTTGATGTAACTTTTGCTTCACCATTAGAACAATTTATATTTTCTGTACAGTACATAGCCAGCTTCGAAATCAGTAACAGTTTTAAATTATTTCGCACTTAGAAAATTGACTTAGATTATAATTTTGTACGAATTCAAGATTTTGTTGTTGCCTCAAAGTGTTATCGGGCCTTGGGGTACTCAGATATTGGGTAAGTGGGTAAGTGGGTAAGTGAGTTATGAAGTGAAAATTATGTAGAGTTTTCATCTGTACATATTCGGTGAAATTTTGAATTTGAAGTTTTGCATTCGTTTATTGATTTACGTTTCATGTTTAAGCTTTAGCTATTTTCTCATTTAAATGTAGGTATTGCTAGAATTACAAAAAGCTTTGAGTTCACCGAATTGTAAATGTAAGCTTTTGTGACGTTTCGGCATTTCTATAGCCCTCTCTTTTCAGATTGTGTCTGCTCGATCAGTTAGATTTCATTGGCCTTTACCAACGACAGGGAATCCCCGAAAGTATGCAGAAAGTTGGGCCAATGCAATTGACTGAAACGGAGTTTGGTGGCCAGCTTACCCACTACCCTTGTTCAACCGAAAAATACAAGAACACGGAGGAACAAAGTTTAAACTAGCCAAACAAAACAAAACAAAGCAGAACAAAACAGAGCTAAACAAAACACAAAACGCAACAGGGAGCTGGTCATGTTTTTGTTAATTAAAATTGGCATAGCAGCAGAGAGAAAGGAGCGGCGGGAACAACATTTTTGCATTTCCTTTACTTTTTCGCTGCAGAAAACATTTGAACGTTTGGCTTTTCAACTGAATGAATGCCATTTCTCTCTATATTTACCTTTGGAGTGCTTTATTATTTAATGGACAATTTATTTACTTAACACTTTGGCCCTCTGCAAGGGTATACGAATTGCAATGCATTTTTCTTAGCGAAGAAGCGAAAACAGCCAATATTACCGATTATCTTATATTATGTTTACATCGCAAACAATCTTCAACTGTTCGGCATCACATTTGAATCTTATAAAGTTCGGAGTCCTGTGAAATTCTTTTCCCAGTGAACTTTCGCGTCTTGTACTGTGTTCTAGTTTCAGTTTAAGCTTTACTTTTTTTTTTTTTTTGCTCTCCCCCAGGACTGTCACTAATGTAAAAGCGCATTTGTAAATGGGGACGAAAAGATCCCTGAGCGCCCTTAAAAAGCAAATCGAGCACAATCAGCTCTCTCTTCTCTGTTTCGTTTTTTTTTTTTTTTTTTTTTGTGGAAGTCCTGGTAATCCTCATCCCCTTTTGAGTGATAAGAGTGTGTGTGGGCGGGATCCACTGAATCTGCAACTGAAAATTGAGGCCAAGACACACATTTTCCATTAAGCAATAGTCGGGTAATAGAAAAGGCTTTAAACTCCTTGGAATGAAGCTTGTCAAAAGTCAAGGTCCACTCAAATACTTGAAATACAACACAGGTTATAAAAAATATAGGTAATACATGTACATTATAATTTAACATTTTAATAATCCACAGTTTTGTGGGGCTTGTTTTTTCTTCTTCCGGTGTGGGAATATGAATTCGGTGTTTAGTTTAATATGCAGATTTTTCGATTTGGGTTATGTTTTTCGTCGGTCAAACACAACTTGGTCAGCCTTCTCCCAAGTGCAGGCTCATTATAAATGTGTGAAGTGTTCTCCCACACTTGTGCTTTTTTGTTGTGTCTCGATTAAGCGAGTTCAAGAGTGTGTAAATATTTGTTCCCAAAGTTGGCAGCTTTTGCACACATTCCCTGCTTGGAATAACTTGTGCATTTTATTTGTTGCACATATAACATTTTCAGAACTTCCGTTTCAGGAAGCTATGCCATTATCCTTGAGGAAAATTGTACATTTTCCTTGTGGTTGTCTCATTAGTGAAAAGCTGGGAAAGCGTTTCGCTCGGCGTGAGTAAGTGAAATGAGCTTGGATTGATTTTATCGTTGTTATAGCTAAAAAAAAAAGGGAAAGGACTAAGCGTAGAAATGTATATTGTAAAGATTTTGTAATACAAATGAAATGAGAAAATTTGTTTATAATAAGGATCCCATTTAACAAACAAGTAAGTGGTGATTTTTCTGTTTTAGTGAGTCAGGAACTGTGTTGTGTTCAGAGGCCAGGCTTTCTAAAGCAAAATAATAGAGTAGAGTAGAAGTGAGTCCTCCAGTGCTTACCATCTGCCATCTTACTGTGTAGATGTTTTTCGACCTCCAATCAAGACGCCATGTTTCCAAACAGTTTTTACAAGATGAAGAACTTCGCCGATCCCAAAACGCTGTTTAAAAGCTGCACCAGTAAAAAGGATTTGCCCTCTCAGTCTCCCCAAAAGTTGCCGCTCAAGCTGCAGTTTCTCAAACCGGTGCAGTTCCTCAATCAGCTGAAATTACTCAATCCTCAGTTCAATCCGCAAAGACCCAAGCCAACAAGAATGCGCCGAAGAAGACCAATCCACCAGAGCCGTTCGGGGTGAGTAGCAGAGATGAGCTTGAAATTGTCTTAAAGGTATTATTATTGCTAGAAGGGGGAGAACATGATTACAATACTCCCCACTAAGTTGAAGGATATTTATACTTTAAGAAAAATGAATATAACATTTGGTTTACTTATTTAGTGTCGCAATTTTACAAACAAGTATGCGGCGATTTTTCTGTTAAAATGAGTTGTAGTAGATTTTATTTGAGGTTTGCTACTGCCAGGAACACAACACAATCAGAAGCCAGGCTTTCCAAAGCAAAATAATAGAGTAGAGTAGAAGTGAGTCCTCAAGTGCTAACCATCATCTGCCATCTTACTCTATAGATTTTTCCGACCACCAATCAAGGCGCCATGTTTTCAAACAGTTTTTACAAGATGAAGAACTTCGCCAACCCAAAAACGATGTTTAAGAGCTGCACCAGCAAAGAGGATTGTCCCACGCAGTCTCCTCAAAAAGTAGCAGCTGCTCCAGTTGCAGTTCCTCAAGCCGCTGCACTTCCCCCCCAATCTGCTGAAATTATTCAACAGTCAGTTCAATCCACAAAGACTCAAACTGCCAAGAATGCGCTAAAGAAGACGACGACACCACAAGAGCCCCCCAAGCAGGGGAAAAATAAAGCCAAGAAGGGTAAAAAGAATCAGAAGAATATGCCGCGTACTTCTAGTCAGACGAGCACGAGCAGTATAGGTCAAATAGATGCAAAGAAGAATCAAGTTAAGAATGGAAAGTCGAAAGATAAGGAATTCCCAGATAAAGAGAAGGCACACCACGAGCAAGAGAAGTTGCAGGAAAAACTGAAGGCTATTGAGAAGGAGAAGTTGCTGGAAAAAATGAAGGCCCAAGAGAAGGAGAAAAAATCGCAAGAAAAGAAGTTGTTGTCCGAGAAAAGCGTGGAGAAAAAGAGGCAGGATAAGAGGACTTCAGAACAAAAGTTGCTCGAGATGAAGATCCAGAATAAGCTATCGCAGCAGAAGATTCCAGATAGCCTGTTGGAGCCACAGCTTTATCAGAGCACGATTGCATTAATGAAATCGATTCCTCGGAAGGCCAACGGTGCAACGGTGCTTAGTTTTCCCGAGCCACTAGACGTTGACCCGCTAAGCGATATCAGCGAAGAAAACTCAATGACCGAGGGTAAGGCGAACGATCCCCAAGAGTCCGAAGAAAACGAAGAACCCGAGGGGCCGCAACATCCGCTCAACAGCTGCTGGACTCTGTGGTACCTGGAGAACGATCGCGCCAAAAGCTGGGAGGACATGCTTCACGAGGTCACCAGCGTGGAGACCGTAGAGAACTTCTGGAGCCTAGTGAACCACATCAAGCAACCATCCGATCTCAAAATGGGAAGTGATTATTGTCTCTTCAAGAAGGGCATTCGGCCGATGTGGGAGGATGCGGCTAATGTTCACGGGGGTCGATGGGTCATCACATTAAGTAAAACTACCAAGGCGGATCTCGACAACTTCTGGATGGACTCGATGCTCTGTCTGATCGGCGAGGCCTGTGATTACTCGGACGAACTGTGCGGTGCCGTGGTGAATATCCGCGGCAAGACGAACAAGATCTCCATTTGGACGGCGGACGGGGGAAATGAAGAGGCGGTCCTCGAAATTGGGCGCAGATTGCGAGAGGGCCTGCGCATGGAAAGTGCCTATGTGCTGCAGTATCAATTGCACAAGGACACAAAGGTCAAGCAGGGATCAACCGTCAAGTCGATTTACACCCTTTAGGACCGGACCTCATGATGATCGAGTTTACCCAGCCTCCTATAACTGATTAGCGCAGGTCACATTTTAGTTATTTTCGGTATTTTTTCATCTAAAAACAATAGCCATCTAGCAGCTGACCATCCAATTGAATTTTTGCCCAACCATTACTACCCATTGTTCAGAAGTCAATTGGATGCCAAATTTCCAGTCAAGTCTTCGTTGTACATGTTGTACATGTAAATTTGAACGTTGCTTTTGCGAAGCTCAGAAATATATACAACATAATGAGTGTTTAGCCATGGCAAGTGTTCTATATCTTTTATTTATCTCTTTTTTTCTTTGATTTGTTTACTCGTGTTTGGGGAGGCTTCCTTTAAGTTCTATCAGTCAAATTGTACATATATAAATGCAACAACCTTTCCTTCTGGTTTTTACGCAGGTCAATTTAACATTTCAATTTTGAGGAACATATAACATTGTCTCCATTTCTCGGTAGAGTACAACATGTTCTTTGTCTGCTTCGCTGGCTGCTCACTATCGAACCATTCAGAGTTGGCTGCTTGCTTTTTGTTCGGGGTCTACATTGGACATTCGGACATTGTACGTGGGACATTCGGACATATTTGGCGCACGCCGTCACAAAACTTGGCCGCGCTCAATTGTTTGATTTATTGGCATTTATTGGCAGTTGGCATTTTATTGTGACTTTTTTTTGGGGGGGGCCTAATAAGGGGGAGCCAACTAATGGCGACGGCAGGTGAATTCCCTGCTAGAGAAATCCTTCTGTTGCTGTTTTTGGCGACTTTAATTTCGTTCGATATATTTTGCCTTCTTTTACCTGAGTTAGTGCCATTAAGTTTTCCTCTGAGCTTTTATTTTGAGCCTTCGGTGCAAAGATTTGATCACTAGCCTTACCATTTATTTATTTTTGCTTACGTAACCCTTTTATTGGGGCCTTAAAAGGTCAACCTCAGATGGTTCTCCAGGGAGCAGGCCATTAAAGTGAGCTCACAGTCAATAAGTCACCTATATAATGATTTATGACACCTAAATAATTACACTTTGCCAAGGGGCAACGCAATTGATTAAACACTTTAACGATTCTTATGGCTCCCAATATGGTTATGGACTTGTTAGAGAAAAAAATAGGGAAAACAACATTTCTTCAGCAGCACCGAAATCGATTTGGGCGAGGATCCCAGAAGGGAGAGTGATGTGGGTGAGGGCATTTTCGGATGAGCTCGATGTTTAACAATGGAATTGCCAATAAAAGAAACGAAATCTGTAAATATGCAGAGTGAACAGGGGATGGAAGCCACGCCGAACATTTCACGGATAACAATTGCCAAAAAGTCCCCAGCTCCCGATTTTGCTATAAATAAAAACCGTAGAAAAACTTGTGCGGCCAATCAGACTCCAAGAAATGCCCTTAAGACTGTGATTTCTTCTAATATGTTTGGAGTTGGTAAATAAAATTAAAGTTGAAATAAAACTCGATTTGGAAAAAAAAAAATGTATTTTATTATAGGTTTTGAGGTAACAACAACTACCAATGGACTCAAAAAAAGATAGGAATGAAAATTTACCTTTAAGCTGACAACTACCCCCAAAACTACAGGCCCCAAAAAGTGGCGCCCCACAGGTGGCATTTGTGTTGTAAAGCGTCGATTTACATGCATGCGCAGGGATATATATATAGATATATATTTATGAAAGGAGGGAAACCAGCGAGGCGCTGACGAATTTCAATTTATTTACTTTTATTTCCGTATGCAAAATAGCCGGTTGCGGCTTGATTTTGGTTAGCGCGCACAGGCAAAAGAAAACCAGAATATATAGAGGAGCTTTGGTAAGAGATTTTTCATCTGCTTTAACTTACGCACCTTTGGTCCTTGTAGTTTTAGCAGCGAGGATGGAAAATTCGCAAGAACTTAAACAGTCGCGGATAATCCAGTCTAAGCTTGTTTAAAGTCATTCAGAGTTCTGAAAATTAGAGGTTATGGTTTGTTGAGCTTAGGAAAAGCAAATGTAAGATTAAGGGTGATTTATTAAACATAAGCCTTGTGTTAAAATATCCTTGTTGAGAAATCCAACAGTTAAGAATTATGTTTAAATCAATCCGCACTGCTAAAGATTTTTTACCACTCTTCCCAACGAAAAAAAGAGCTTTTTTACTTAAGACATCATAGTTCTCTTGACGGCAATCATTAGCCTTATTTCTCGTTATGGAAAAGATTCACCTCAGCCATGAACAATTAGGTTGACCGGACAAGCTGGCTCGATTCTGACACTTGCCCCAATGGCCAATGACTATAATCCACACGACCGCCTCTCGTTCCTCCTTGCTTTTCCAGGACAACAGAGCAGGGTACTTATGTTCGGACGAGAGGCGAACATGTCATATGGAAATTCTAGAAAGAGTCCCCAGGGTACATACACAGTAAAAAAAAAAAACCGTATCGATATGAAATTTATCTTATCATCTTAGATTTAAGTCCCTATGCTTAATGGCTGTCTCGGTGTTTGATTAGATGAATAAACTGCATAATTAAAGTTTTCTTCTAACGTCAATTCGATCTTCTTGAAATAAAAAAGTAATAATTAATTTTCACATTCCGTAGAGTCAATTTTTACTGTGCAAAGAATTTAGTCTGCCGCCCCAGAAATAGGGCTAATTATACGGCCATGGCTAATGTCGGAACATTGTGTGGGTCCTGAATAAGTCATGTCGCTGGTGTGATTACCTTTGGACGACCGGGGGTTCAATGGCCATTCGCACGAAATGTCAATCACTCGTAGCGTCGTAGTGCCCCTGCCTTTCAGCTGCCCAGTTATGTGTCCAGGAAATATGCTGTGCTGTCCATACGTACAGCAGCAAGAGAGGAAACGTGTTTGCCAAATTGTTGCAACAAATTTGTAGCTACATTAATTAAATGCGGCCACGCACGAGGCACACGGGTGCCATTCAATATGCAAATGCGGCGCCCAATAATCCAGTGCATATTGGATTAAGCTCAAGGAACATCATTAGTGCAGTCCCGTCAATCTCCGCAGGCCAAAATCCAATATGTATATGCTGCGCCATGCCACGGACCAGTTGTTTTTGGAGTTTGGAGTTGAACGCCGCACACGAAACTCCACACATGGTATTTTGTTAGGGACGCCACAATTAAATATCCCTGATTAAAAGCGAGAGCATTGGATCTGGATCACTGTTGTCAGGAGAAAAATCGGTAACAGTTTCAAGTTCTCATTTGGCATTCAATCGATTTACGAATTTAATTTGTAATTCGACCCGTATCTTTAGTCTTAGCGAACTTTTGGCCCCAGCTTTTAGTCTGCCCTTGGACCCGGGACTTAAGTTAGTTCAAATTGAATCGATTGTTTGGCTCCGATCAAGATAACTGGCGACTAAGCCGACAGAGAAGTCCTGAGAGACAGTCATCAAGCCCCTTTTTCTGCTGCCGCTTTTCGCTGAAGATGGTGCAAGTGCACTTGGCTGGCAAATGTTGACATTTCTTCTTGGGGATTTCAGCTCGCTTGAGCGTTTGGATTTTGTTTTTATTATGATAATTTTAACTGCTAAGGCAAAGACAAACATACACAGAGGGAAAAAGGCGAAAAGAGGAGGCAGCTCTCGCGAGGGGCGAAAGAGCACAAAATGCAATTTTCCAAGGGGCGAAGGACGACGAAATGGGTTTGGCGTCGGGCGTCGGGCTTTCAAGCCAAAGCCAGACAAAGTGAAATGCAATAAAACAAAGGCCAGCGAGGAGGAGGAGGAGGCGAAGGCACAGTACAGTAGGCAAAGCCAAAGGAGTGGCAGCACAGAAACTGTCTTGTCTTGTTTTTGCTGCTCGAATGCCTGCAGCTGCAGCTGTGACCCCTGGAACACATTGCACCGTCAGTTGCACCACCCACCCAATACTAGCACCACCCAGGGAATGCGCAGCGCATTTACAGAGCAATGATTCAAATTGTCGCCTTGGATTATGGATTTATTACGCGTCTCCTTCCTCGTAAGCTGCCAGCGAGAAGCTGCAATTGTGCATGTTGCTCGCAATTACTATCAACGCTCCCCTTTTTCACTTTCCTCAATTTTTTGGCAACCCGTTTTTCACCCACTTTTGCATAGTTCTCCCAGTAATTCGCTTCCTAGTGACAATGTCATTCATGACAATGGCTTGCCTTGGACAATTGATAAGTTCACTTTGTGAATATTCAATCGAAAGGGTTCTGGATTTCACATTACCTGATCCAAGTTTGAACTCTTATGTGCTTATTTTAAAAACATTTAGTTGAATTCATTTCCTTGTCACCTTTTATTTTCTACAGTTAACATTTTGATGGCCTCCAGAACTTACTCTCGACTATTGTATTTAATTATCTTTGGAAATTTGCTGGCTCATCGAATCTATTTTGAAGTTGAGCCAAGGGAAAAACGGAACCGTCATCGGTACCTTAAACAAAATACCTTTGCCGAGTTGCAAGTGGCCAAGGGAGGCTATGTTAATATCTGTCGTGGACTTTGAGCCCTTTGGATAACACAGATAGTGTAGATATTTAAGCCTACTCATGCTGCAAAGCGTTCTTGACCCGGCGGAGTAAGGGTTCAGACCCAGGTCCCCGTGTCTTCGGTCAAGGCGAATTAGATTCGGATTTAGATTTGGCCACGGACTTAGCACAAAGTTGGAAATCATTCGGCAAATGTCCAAATGCGGCAAATGACAAAGTAGTTGAAAGCTTTTCGTAATTATTATTATGTATTTTTTGTGTGTGCAACTCTAATTGTTGTCAACAACAGATGTGGTTGTTTGTGTTTGGCTTGCTATTCGCTGTTGTTGTTCGCTGTTCGTTGTTCGCCGTTGACAACGCTGACATTTTGAATTTAGACATTGCCTGACTGTTTGACCGCAAATTAAAATGCGCTTTTTGTGTGCCATGGCTATTTAGGATTTTGTGGCTCTGAAAACCCCCGCCGCTACTTGTTTACTTGGGTGCGCATGAAATTACGTGAAAACTCATTTTTTTCTACTCGAAGTATTTCCGTTTGGCCAACGGTTTGGTGAAAAGTCGTGTCTAAATGGGTAAGATCGGTGGGATTTCGGGGGGCTAAAGATGGTTGAGCGGAGGTCACGAAGATGTAGCAGCCACAACAATGCAATGAGCGGGCGTTGCAGATTAATTAGCGTCTGACTGCGATAAAGCACGTTCCAGTTGAAGCCGCAACGTGAGCAACTAAAAAAGGGAAAATTGGCGGAGGAAAAAAATGAAAAATGGTGAGGTATCAAAGAGGGTGAAAAGATGAGAAAACCGGAAATTTGTGGATCAAATAGAAACTGAGATATTATTGTTAAATCAAAATCAATACCTGTACAAAATTTCACTGTTGGTCGTTTCAATTAATAGTTACCAATAGAGGAATTTGGGGTTTTGATTAATTTTGTTAACTTTATTCATCAGATTCCGGGAATGTCCTTCGTAAATAACTAGTGGTACTAATGGTGCACAGATTTCTGTGGTCAGCCGCAGCCAATCAACAGCAAAGTGTCAGCTGCCAATTTGGTTTGGTCCAGATTGGATTTGGATTCGTCGGCGAAATACCGATTAGTTTGAGATCATAACTCTCACGTTCTAAAGATGTTTACTATTAAATCTGAAAATATTCAGATCGCTCATAAATTCCTCCTAATTTGCGGTTTTTTTCAGAGATGCTTGCCTCTTATTTCCGTATTTGCCAGGATACGCAGGCTAGCTGCTCTGCTATTCACTAAATTAGTGCAATTTCTTTGGCCCTCTTTCCCTAGCCTCTCAGTTCCTTCTTGTTTCTCCATTTATCTCACTGTATGAGCTATGGCAAATCGCTGTGAAAACTATGCGAGCATATTTATCTAACATGCCCAGCGTTGTGGGGAGAAACCGCTGGAGAACCCTACTGAGAAATAACGTCTAGACATTTTTTGTGAGGTCTGCTCTCTGTTGATTTTCAACGGCATTTTTGTGGGGGCTCATTAAAGGAACCTGGAACCTGGCTTAAATTTCCGTGTTTCGTGTTTCGCTTCTGCTTCGTGGCCAACTAAATACCTATATAAATATTTTATTACGCAAATGAAACAAGCATTGTTTGCATTTTATTTGCGCGAACAAGGAAACGTCGCCAGCTGCAACAGCCGGAAAATGGCGAGGGGAAATGCGGAAAGCAAGGACATTTGTATGCAGGAGGGACAGCTGACCACAGACACTGCCACAGGAAATGCAAAGCAGAATGCAAAGAATCCCCCGGAGGCAGCTTTCCCACCTGGGATTTCAGCCAGGTGCCACATTTCTCCAATAGGAAAACCATCCATTTCTAAACCGGATTCCAGGCAATCGTTCGTGATTGATTAAAAGCGATTTCAATTGTCAAATAGAGCAAGAGAAGCGCTTTTCCGAGATGCCGAAACAGAAAACACTCTTGAATATATTTACGAGATATGTTTTTCTTTCGATTCGGAGAGCTTTTCTTATTATATAGACACAATTATATAGACAAAAGCAAACCAATGAAATCAACAAATTAAAACACACCCTGAATTAGAGTATAACCAGTAATACCAAATTCAAATCGAATTCCCCAGAGTGGAAAGCCAATTAGCCAACTGTTGGATGGGCAAATCGGTACCGCTAATTGAGCCAAATAGAAGCAAAAAGCCCCTCTGAGAATTAAGGCAATCGAGACTCACTTGTTACCACTTTAAGTTGCACAATTAAAACTTAAGTTAAGTGGATAAAAAATTTAGGGAAATAATAATAAGCATTTAACATAAAAAATGGAGCTTGCACCAAAGCTTAAATCAAAAACAATTTCTGAAATATTTCGAAATCGCCGCATCCTATAGAATAAAGTTATTTTCTATTCTTTCTACATTCAATAAGCGCATAAATTGCGTTCACATGGCATTCATCTCATTTGCGGCCCCACCAAAGAGGATACACTAATATCACTCATGCGCCGCGTGTGACAGCTGAGGAGGACGCGTCCCCTGACCCACCCAAAAAGCCAAACATCAATCAGAGGGGATGGTTGGGGACAACAGCTCCTTGTGCTACTGTCCAAACAATCAAGAACTGAGGAGCCATTGGAATTAGGCTAATGAAATGCTTGTTAAGTGAAAACGACGATGACAACATCCCCAAATGAGCTAAAAAAAAAAAAAAAAAAAAAAAATAGTAAAACGGACACAGGACAATCGATGGGTTGCGAAAATACTGGGCACATTCTCTATTGGCCTACATCGTTATCTGTCCTCGTCCGCTTAGTTATTCATTATTATTTTGCTTTTGTGTCCCTTCATTTGCGTTTTAACGGCTAAATCGCCATTGATGAGTCTCCATTTGTGCGGAGGATCGGACTAACGAGAACCAAAAGGTCCAGTCATCATGCAATGACCAAATGACCATTATGCATGGCCTTTGGGTCAGGGTGATCGCATGACGGCATCTAAGTTTTTGTTGCTGCTGTGATAACCTTAAGAGTCTTTCAGTCTTTCAGTTCATATCTACAAAGTAGGAAGGAATGGTGTGGTTTAATTCACGAGAAAACGAGAAGCAGCGTAAGTGGAACCACTCAAGTTGCTCTCCAGTTGCTTTCGTCTTTCCCCTTAAATGCTGTCAACATGTGTGCATAAATTTCACACGTGGCGCCCAGCGACTCATGCATTTTACATGCACCAAAGGATTTACCAGCTCCCCGTCCCTCCTCCCACCAGAACCATTTTCCAGCTCCATCGGCTAGCCATTGTCCGTGTGGCTGCTCTGCTCTGTTCTTTTTTTTTGTACATTTTAATTTTTGTTTTTTAATACGAAGGCATTTAATTTTTAATCGCTGCATCCGACTCCAAGTTGACGTTGTCCCAGATTCTACTTCTTTCCTGCGGAACCCATCAACATCCCTACACCTTCTGCCGCCTTCCCCTCCAATTGTTAACCCAGCGCGTTACATATGTTTAATGAGGGGAGAGGACCGCACGCACGAGTTACTCGAGCGCCGAAACCGAATTCCACGGGGTTTGCAAGGAAGAATGTTACACAGAGACAAAAAATGTGAATTTGAGTAATAAAGCCAAGAAAGTTAAGCTGAGCTTTAGTATTCTTATTCGATTGGCTTGGAGAAAATAACAGTTTTCTATATTTTATGGGTTCACGATTGGGTTCACGATATAATTTTTTTTCAGTGAAATATATTCTTTGCGGATTTCGCAGCCGGGTATATGAATATATATATATATATATATATATATATGTGGATGTGGGAGTGGCGCAGATAGATATGTGTTGGATGCTTGCTTCTGACTCTGCAGCAAGTTATTATAACAGTTCATTGATTTTCAATTTTCAATGCATGGCATTGTTTGCCGTTTTCTCCTTTTTTTTCGCCACTCACCCACCCACACTCTCTCTTATTTCCATTTAACTCCATTTCCCTGCTGCACATTGCGAATGGCTCAACTTGAGGCGGAGGCAATTGCAACAAATTTCCGCCCAGCAAAAATCTCTTGTATGCATAAATTCATTCGAAGTTTGTTTTTGACGAGGGCCAGACAGAGGCAACGAAAACCGAGGAGAACTGTAAGAGAATTAACAAAACATGAGGTTGAAAATTTAAATGATTTCGCAGGCTTGAAATGCAGCCAGCCAAATGCAAGGCTGGGCCTCAGAAGGAATTGTCCCATTGCAGATGCGGTTTTTAATACTTAAAGCCCGAGTTATTTATGACAGCAGCAGCAGAGGAAACGAGTGGGAAAATGGGAATGCTCTTTAATTGAGCAGGGATATTTTCCTGCCAAGCAGACAAAAATAAGAATAAATCGGGCGGCCTTCCCCAGTCACTGAAAACATTTTATTTTTTATCGCAATTTATTTACATTTTTCATCTTTGCTCTTACGCCTTCTCGATTGAGCTTTAATCGTTAATTGCTGCGACTTCAATTCAAGTCATTTCGATTTAAAGCCAGCGTAGTATTTAACTTCCCTGTGATATCGGATCGAGTCGTTCAAAATTTGTACAAATAGTCACAAGTGAAAAAAATTTATTGACTCCAGTCGGTCACTCAATCAGACATCAGTAACCCCTGTGAAAAAATAACAACAGCTAGACAAACAAGTGAGTAAACAAATAAAAGCTACAAACAGTGTCCACCACTAATCGAATGGCTGTTATTTGTATATATTTTTCTTCCGAAACGGATTGTTACTTTTCATCCTTCACTTTGTAGTGATGAACCACGTCTTGAGGTCACGTCGCCTGCCAACGGATCCCAGCATTTTGATGAGCTGGGTGAATGCCTTGATTGGCACCAACTTCCATTCCCTGAAGGACCTGCGGAGCGGCATCATTTGGTGTCGCCTGCTTGAGGCTCTCTATCCGGGATCTGTGAATCTGGATACTCTGCAAATGGACAAGACGGATTGGCCATGGAACTACCGCGTTTTGAAGAGGACACTCGGTGATTTGGGATTCTATCCCCACATTAACGTGCAGGAATTGGTAACAGGTCGAGTTGGCGACACCATATACATGCTGCACTTTTTCATTGACTTGTTCACTGTGCATTTGGGTAGAATAATTAAGAGGGGAAAGCAGTCGTCCACTAAGGAGGTCAGAGATCCCAAGGGAGTCACAAAAATTGAGAGCGTGCTGCAGTGGCTCAAGAGCTTCTTTACGAGAGAAAAAGCGGTACGAATGTTAACAACAAAAAACGGTTGACATTCCTGTTAGTTTTCGAAAACTAAAACATAATATTACCACACTAATTAAATAATGTTTTCAATATCGAGTGACGATCTCCCATTCCCAGAAGGAACCAAAAGAGAAGTCCGAGGAGGAACTCAATCTGGAATTTCATCGCCAGGCGTTGCTACTGCTATTTCTACCCATTCCGGAGGGCTGTGCTCCCGTTTCCACAGAAGAAATGGTTAAAAGACTGGGAGGCGGAAGTTTGTGGCCAGAGCAGGATCACCAAAGTCATGAGAAGGTCGAGCAGCTGAAGGCATATAGACGACAGAAGACCGAGGATCACCGATTACTCCGATCTCTGGTTGAGACCTGCCTGCAATTCCGACGCGGCAGGCAACAGATGGAGCAAGAATGGTTGGCCAGTCTTAAGAAGCGACCCGCCACATAGGATTTATTTCTATTCTTCCGTCGTTCTGCTTTCCTTCACCTTGCGTTCTTGCGTTTCCTTTCCGGCTCTAAGCTGACCGACACTTAATACACATCTTAATAAGGTTTCCCTCCCGTCCACATTCCCATTTAGTACAGAGTTTTCTCTAGTCAAACTGTTTTTTTTCGCCCGGGGTTTTCCGTTTTTCCGCCATTTGACAGGCGGAGGACAACAAGAAGAGCCTTGGCGTTCCCCTTACCTTGTTTACCTGTAATTACTTTGACCTTGTGCGACGTGCGGCGATGCCCAGAAAAATCGAAGGTGGCTGAGGAGCAAGTTGAGGGACTAAGAAGGTTCAAAACAGTGGACATGAATGAGCGCCTTTGCTGATAAATAAACCTTTTTTTTTGTAGTAAATTGTAGTAAATGGAAATGTAGTAAATTTATCAGTTTATTCAATGAGGAATATCTGCTTGTCAAAAGTTTCTGTAGAAAGTTCTATACAAGTTCGGTTTTTTTTTTCTGCCCACGGTGGTGTTAAATTAGTTTTTCCTTTTCTATTTACTGAGGCGTTGTACCCGCCATTCTTATTACTTTTTCACTTGAGTTTTGCCCTTTTTTTTTTTTTTTTGTTTTCGCCCGCGAATTGCCATTACAATTTCATTCCATTTGAGTTCAGTTCGGTTCAAGTCCCCTGCTCAGTGACCTGCTCCGCCTCATTCCGCGTTTCACAGGTATTTAATTTGATTGTTATGCTTTCGCTCCCCGCCGTTGTGGCAAATCGAGGGAAGGTTCTGGGTTATGTCTTTACTTAAGACCCGCTCATAAATTTTAATTATGTGCATTTTTAAATACGTGACCCTTTGCTCCGCGCCCCTTCTCATTCTCCTGCACCCTCGCTTTTTTTTTCTGGGGCAGTGCATCATCATCATCGGCGAAGCATTAAATAAGCCCTAGAAATAAGGAGGGGCTGGGTGGGTGGGTCCTTTTCTATCGAAGGGTTGTTTTCTCTATTTCCGTTTCGGCTGCTCTTCCTGTGTTTCCCCCTCGAAGGGGAGGACAGGAGAGGTCCAACAATTAGGGAGGCGCATAATGACCTGACACCCCGCTGACCGCAAACAGTGTCCCTTTTCCAATACTTCGGATGGGGTTCGATGCCTTTTAACCAGTACAAAACAAGTTTAAAAACAAGTACGAACTGCAGATGATGCTAATAAAATTCGTAAAAGGTAATCCTAAGAAAGACCGAATTGATTACGGAAAACATGAAACTTGCTAGTTCATAAGGCTGGGAATTACGCAACTCAGTTGCTTTCGGTTAGGATTTGAACCAAGCGCGACCCTCTCAATTGTTAACCATGCAACTCTGCAACAAATCACTCTATATCAATATATATCAAAGCACAAAACATTTGTATTATATAATACAAACTATGTGTTCTTAGAACAGAAAACCGATAAAATCCAAACAGAGCGAGTCAATAAAATCTTCGTTTGGTTTTCGATTGGGCGTTGCATTATGAAATTTTCTTTTTGGCTTGGCCTTTGGCTGCCGGGATAGTCGCTTGTCCCTCCGGAAAAAACAGTTTCCCCTGTCGTACAGTGGAGCATGGAAAAAAGGGGCCAAACACAGATCGAAATAGTTATTGTGGCTCTTGGCTGCCGCTTTCCATTTGGGAATGGGGAGAGAGTGGCGAGGGGTACTGGGGCGGGAAAAACCGGCCCCATGAGTAAACCTATTTCCCAATAGAAATAGCGCCATCAAAAGTGGGCCACAAGGCAAGAGTGTGCAAGGGCTTCAGGTGAGCTTATCATTAACTTCAAGTTTGATAGGTTTTGAGCCGGAAACCATGAAGAATGCCTATGAGATTAAATGGTCTTGCCGAGTTTACAACAATTATCCCACTTCACAATATATCTCCGACTGTAACTGGCTTAACTAACAAATGATATTTCCCCGAACCATCGACTATTACTAAGCTAACCTTTAACCACACAATATGTATGATTAGGCCCCAAAAAAAGATGAACTGCTTATCCTAAAACAATAATTCATGTTCATTTAATGTTTATTCGTTTGAGTTTGTTCGGAAGTTCCTTTGTTGCTTTTAACCTTTTTGGATAATAGGAGTTGTATGCCGTCGTTTATCGTGAAGTTAAGTCCTTGCATACCAAATATTGCAGCCCCATATTTCTTTGTAACCCAGAGACGTAATGATCACACTTTATATTTGGAAACTTAAGCAGAGTAGCCACTCAATTCCTAGGGCTCATCATATTTCATTCAGTATTAGCAACTGGATTTAGTTGCTGTCAATCATGGGTGTAGGGTTTTCCCTATTGCGCATCCTTTCCGAACTTTCGTTTCCCTCTTCAGGCGTTATTACCGCTTTTTTTTTATTTTTTCCCCTTTCGGCGGGGACCTTAAGACCTCTAAGTGCAAACAGCTTGTTGTCTGTTCATCGCAGTCGTTTCGGGGAATCCATAATGCATGTGGCCCCTTTGCCCCCTCCTTTAACCCTCCCCTGTTTGCAATAATTCAACTTCTGTCTAACATCGAGAAATTCCCTTTTCGCATTTCCGGCGCTCGAAAGTTGCAGTCAAAAATGGCCAAAAGGTGTAACTTTTTGCTGGGCGGGTACGCCCCAATAATATTTTTGTTGAACGGCCACTTTAGATGTACAGCTTGGGCAGAAACATTAGCACCTTCTAAGATAATTTTATTTTATTTAATTTTGTGTGTTTTTTTTTTTAATTGGTAAATATATAAAAAAGAACCCAATTTGAAATTGAATTAATTTTCTTTCAAAAAACTCTTTTCTTACCTTAGCGTTATTTTCTCTTCCTCCACTGTAGAAAAGAAAAAGTCATAGAGCAGAGGCATCTAACCAAGTTGTTGTTGTTTGTTGACGATACGCAAAAGTTGGACAGACAAAACCCCTCTTCACCAGCCCCTGAATATTGGTGGAGCCTCCTGCAACGAAATCTGTGTGTATCAGTGGACAGGATTTATGTGTTTATATTGCGAGTTTGAAGTTGGTTTCGCAGTCCACGCTTTTCTAGGCCAGCTTAACTACGAGGGTTGTGATTGCGAGAAGGTTGGGCTGGGTCCGGGTCCGCTTTATGGAGGGAGTGGTGCTCTGCGGTTGCACAACTGTCGGCATGGGCGCATAAATTGCAGCCACGTTTATGTATCGCAAAAAGTGCGGCATCCAAAAGTGCAGAAACAAAACAAAACATTTGTTGGGGGGTTGCAGAATAGCCAGACAAGTTGCCAAGAGTTCCACCAAAAGGGAAATCCTGTTGGAAAGGGTGGTAAGTCTATTAAACCGCTTTGATTGAGAGGTTAACTCCGTTTTGGATTGTCAACTTTAAATAAAGGAAGAACATATATTAAACATATATTTTTGATTTAATAAACTACTTTCATTATCTACTTTAATCGTTGCGTTCGACTGGGAATTATGTTGCACTTCGTTCATGTCAATCCTACCTCACCTTGACTGTAGCACCGGAAAATTTATAAAACATATATTGAAAATGAATGCTTACTTGTTTGCGCTGGGAGCCACGTAAATGAAAAAGTTTTGATTGCTTTTAGCAACAGCAGAAAAAAAGGGAAATGGGAAAAATATGACCATAAGCCATGCAGCGAGAAAAATGGTGAAAGGGGGGAAAAAATTGTGATGCAAAAGAACATTTTTAGCATATTGCCAGAGCCGAAAGCCCCGCACTTGTGTCCCAGAAAAAAACCCCTCAACACATGGCTCATAAATCTTGCACCCAAAAAGAGGGATGGGCTGCATGTGGAGCGTGCCGGGAGGTACAGGTAAGCAAGCAGGTAAGGTGTGCTAATGGCAGAATCGTAGGAGCAATTCTCTGACGGGATGGTTTATATTTTCCAATTTTCAATGTAATTTCTGTCAATCCTCCCCTTTTTTGACGTCGCTGCAAGCGAGCGAGCTAACCTTCCTTTCCTTCATCTCTTTTGCTGGATTTTTTATTGGCGAGATATTGAAAATTATGCGATAGCGCTAACGCGATTTATGCTTATTTTTGGGAAATGAGAAATTAGAGCAGTGTGTGTGCTAAACGAAGTAAACAAAATAACTTCTGCTGGCTAAAAGAATTTTTAAAGGAATTTCAATGTAACACACATTTTGATCTTTGTTATTGAACAAACTGCATTTAAATATTTGATTTGGTTAGGTTAGATTTCTTTGACCGATTACGTTTTGACATTTTTTGTGTGTCAAATCAGGGAGATTTAAATAGAAATCTCGAATTAATTTCGGTCGCAACCAGCGCCGTTTTCTATATACAATAATCGGATCTGACATTAACGCCATGCTCCCCTTCCTTGACCAAAAAAAAGAAACACAAGCTTAAATCCGATTCAACAATTAGTTTAAACCTCTGATGGGCAAGCGACGAAATGAGGCCCAGACTGATTGTGCGAAGGCCTAATGATGATGGCGCTTAAGATGATCTGTGATCTGTTGCATTGTGTATCGGGGTCGCCTATTTGATATTTCAAGTCAAGGGATATTATACATCTTATAATCCGCAGTCCAGTGCTCGTAAATTGTTAGCTTTTTGGCTAGAATTGGTCGAACTCGACCTCGAAAAACTTAATTTACGCTGGTACTTATTAATCCAAAACAACTTCTTTTCTTAGACTTGACTAAATAAATATCAATAAATCAAATATACATTTTATAACCCTAGAATTTTGAAACGAAGATCGTTTTCAAAAGTCTTTGCTAGACTTTTTGCTGGACCTACGTTAACTACATTCGTTTTACATTTTATTCAACAACACCATTTTTCGACGATCGCTTGTCACTCGTTAAGCATTCATTTCTTTCATTTGTCGAGGGTCTGACGGGGCGACTTAATGACAGACAGCCGTCAGACCTTGGTGGTTGTAGATTGCCGCGGAGGTGGTGGCGCAACCGACGACTTGGGCGCTTCGGGTCGCCACTTGAGGCGGCAAAGCTCTAACTATGGCTTAATTACAACACCGATTTTCGGGGCCCGAAAGGTGCCACCAAAACTGCAGCTGCCAACAGTTGACAGGAGGGGTCAAAGGGTAAGGCAGAGGCCGAAGTGACTGCAATTTTGTCTGCAAGCCCTATTGCCATCGATGAGCAACGGATTTCTTAATTCGGCAGGGTGATTTTCCCCTCCCCATCTTGTTCTGGCAATATTTGAGCCATACAACAAATAGTTAATAAATGATCATTGATCACTAGCCTAGGTTTTCGACCACCACCTGATATTTTATTTGAACTGAATTTCTGTGATGTTTTTGGTTGTGAACTGCATTATCCTTTATCTGTCAATTAGTATTTAACAATCTTAAACAGGAAGAACCGAGCGAGTCCTCGGGATTACCTGACACCCCTTATTTCCTCACCATTATAGAGCTAGGTCATAAATCACAATTCCTGGCCTATAAGCCGC